TTTTCATGTTCTTGCTTCTTAAAAAGCACAGAATAATTTATGGGCATTCTTTCACATGCTCAGCAGGCCTCTGCTCATCCCATTAACTATTTCTAGTAAATAAATGATCTTGGTGCATTTTGTTATGCCCCGAAGATGAACATGTTTATATCATGTGTATTAGCCAAATGTTCCATAATGCAGGAAAAAACAAATGCAGCAGAACAGATGATTTTAAAGAGCCTATCACCAGGAAATTCATTTAGAAGAAATCAAACCTGACCCCACTAAGATTTTTTTTTAGTATTACTAGCTTGAATAGCTGAGCAAGATGAATGCAGATTAAGGTTTTGATCTGTCTTTGATATAAAGCCTGACAACAGCAAAGCAGAAATGGGAGCAGACTTAATCATGGCTTTCACCCACATTCAGCAGACCAGCAGGGCACTCATTTCAGAGACTCATAAGATTATTCTTTTCCCCCTGTGAAATCCTCTTGCTGCTTTCTGGTTCACTGGCAGCATCTAAAGATTTGTTCTGATCTGATGTGGTGCAACTAACAAAAGAACTCTCTGGAGCTCATCAATTATAGAGTTTGCAAAAGATTTCACTTCTAACCTAGTAATTGATCTTTAAACTCACTTCAAAACAACGCTTGTCAATCTTGCTGAGCTGGAAGTCAGTGAAAGAAGATTATACTTGTTTTCCTGTTCTGTTCTATAGCACCCTGCTTTTCTCTTGTTCAAAGGTTGAAACCAGTGAAGACAGGAATGATTTTTATCCTGATGGTTTTCATCCTGATGGTTTTCATCCTTAAAGCTTACTATCAAGGCTATACTTTACTAAATCTTTAAATGTTATGGGGCTCCACAATGTCCTTTCTATGGAGAGAGAAGTCATGGTTCCTACAGACTTTCCACAGGGTCCTTCACTCAGCTGAACATCCCTTTCCCTCATCTCCCCTCCTCTTTTCTCTTCTCCTCCTTTCTCTCTCTTCAGCATTCCCCTCTTCCATGTATAAAACTGAAGGCTGTGATCTCTGTACAGATGACAAATATCACCAGACAGTTTTTTCTCTGCCTTAAGTGGAGGCTTCTCTGTCCACGAGCAGAGCTGATAGCATAGGTTAGCGTTGTGCTCACTGTACATATTGTTACAACTTCAGCCAAGTTCACCGAACAGCATTCAGTGATGGGATAAGTGGGGAGGCCGCCAGCTTTACACTGGAGCAGATGAGAAATGTTTTCATGAACTGTTGGTTCAGTCATGGAGCCCTGAGCCACAGCAGAGAGGCAATGGTGAGCCCCTGGCAAGGAAAATATCCTTAGCTGCCAGCAGCCTTCATCACAAGGTATTGTCTGTGGCTGCATCCATCAGCTGGCCCCAGGAAACTCTTCTCTTTGGTACAACATCTGTGTCCAGACTCCAGAAAGGTCACTAGCAGATCTTACTGAAATACCTCTGAGTTGAGGTTGCTCAACACAGGGGAGCTAATACAATAGCTTGTTGCTGCTGGAAGGAGGACAGAGGACAGCCTGCTCCCTACTCAGTGCTGTTCTGTCACACAGTACTGATGCACTGAACCTTGCTGAGAGCTGATTCAGCTTGCTAACTGAGCAGGAAACACACCAGTGAAAGGATAAATGGCTTTCTGCTGAGTTAGCACATTGAATAAGCTCCCAGAAAAGTCTAATGAGTGCCAAAGCTGGCACAGAACAGGGCAGGAGCCATACAGCAGAGCCTCTTCTTTTGGCTGCAGCATCATCTCTCCATGTACACCATGTACCCTTGCTCTTCATTAGGAAGCCAACACATTTGACCTTGTGTTTCAGCATACATCAACTACTTTGCCCAGCACTATCTAGAATCAAATTAAGGGATTTTTAGGGATCCCAATTAAGTGGGCAGAAATCTGTTGGTTTCTGTATAAGCTTTGTTTAGGGGAATACTAAACTGAGGTAAGGACTTCAGTGGTTCAGGCTGTTGCAGGAAACACCAAGCTATCCCTTCTCCCTCTCATGTGTATAGAGTGATGATGTTTTATGGTGCTGCAAAAGTTTTTATTGAAAATGTCTTCCATATAAAAGATTGCACATGACAATAGAAATAAGAAAAAAAATACTTATTTTTCTGTCTGGCGTATTTTCATCTTTGTTCTATGGCAGCTCAAATTAAATCATACTGCAATATTCACTGCAGAGTTGAAAAAGCTGTATACAGGGTGATCAGAACGCAGGGAACCAAATTCTCCTCTCCCCATACTGAGTATACTTTCTCTGTTTTCAGTGGGGATACATTTTAGAAAGAACTAGCCTGAGGCTTTGTAAGTCCTCTGTTGGTGGATTCATTTGGTGATGGGATTGTCGATTAAAGATTGATTCATCAGCATGAATTTAATTTTTATTTCAAATAATCATTCTTCAGCTGAATTTGACAGGAAAAAAGGCATCCTCAGAGGGTGCTGTGAAGTTCTTATCTCTTATGTTTATGGGTTTTTTCAATTGGGAAACCAACGGAAGGCTCAGTCTTCTCTTCGACCGTCCCGTGTTCTTCAATGTTTTGTGGAAAAGGGGGAAAAAAAATCAAGTGATTAAAACATGATGTGCCCTTCTAGCCCTGCTCCTTCTGAGACTTTTAATGTTCTCATTTTTTATTACAGGAGCTGATGAACTGTAAGTGATTGGAAAGAGAGAATAGATCGTGCACTTAGCCTTACCATCTAACTTAGTTAATCTTCCAAAAAGCAATTTGTTCTGACTGATAACTGCAGTAAGTTTAATGGAACACAAGGGTAGAGGGAGAACCTCGAAACAAATGCTGTCTGTCTAAAGGCCAATTGATAACCGAATAGTTTGATGATCCCAAACCTTTGTCACTTTTGTGTAATTGGAGTGTATGGAAAAGACATTACATTTTAGCACCCACTAGCATCAACCTCCTTTTCTGGTGATACCACTCTGAATGCATTCAAGTCATCCTGTTGTAATAATGTGAAAGGAGTAGGAATAGAGGTCTTTCAGATCTCTTTTGAGGGATTTTGCCATTTTACACAGATTGCAGTTTGCTGTGTGTATTAGTTTTGGGACACACATGGAACCTCTCAGTATGTTTGAAGATTTTTATGAGCCAGTGTGTCTAAAACTAATGAGGCTGAGCATGTTTGAAGCTAGTTGTGGGGAGTCTCTCCAGCAGTTCATCATCTGTGGTTTCTCCAGATGAGCAGTGGGGGAAAAAAAATAATATTACTGGGGATATTATGCAATAAATCACATGAATGGCATAATGTGCAAAAAGATACAAACTTTGAAACTCGTATTTAATAATCACTCTTAATAGCAATCATTCAGTTGTATCGATCAGAAATAGCTTTCTAAAAACAATTTCCTTTCATTGCTGGCATGTTTGCTTCTTACTCATACTAATAAGTGGGAAAATTCATTTGGAGGAGGAGACTTCATTTCCTTTGGCTTTCAAAGGTTAGAAACAATTTCACATCTGTTTGAGTGCCACTCAGCTGCAGTAAGAATGATGCTGGGAGCAGCAGTTTAAGGCAGTTACAGCTAACTCACCTGTTCTGCCATACAGCGCCTGCTGAAACTTATTCTGCCCTTGCTGCAAAGAAAAGCTGAGTTTTATGTGTGCATTTGTTTTGGAAAGCTCATTATTATGTATGTGTATATATAGCTGTATGGATTATTCTCTTGAATATAATGGATTAGCTTCAGTGTCTTACCAACAAGAGCAGGCAGTTTACCCCAGAGAAGCTAACAGAATTTACTTTTCTCTCTTTAAGGATTCCAGCTACTCTGGGCAGCGCCGAAAACATAGGCTAGAACTCTCAGTGCTATGAGCAAGGTTGCTTGGCCCAGAAAGGAAAGTCTCAGTCTGGGGAAGAGAGGAATCTTACTCCCTCCTTTGCTGCCTTAACACAGTCATGTCATTTATTTCTCTATATTTAAATTTCCCACATAAGTGTTCAACCTCTGTTATTACTAAGGACTGCTAACAGAGCTAGGCTGAAATTGTCACTTTAATTCTGCTGCTGCTTGGAAATTTGGGAATTTGCCTGGAATCTTTATCAAGAAGAATCATACTTAACTGGTATTGTGGTTTTGCAATTCATGGCTACTTGTTAACTCTTTACACCTGCATACTTTCATGTCTGAAAAAAAAGCCTGTTATTTCACTTGAAGCCAGCAGGATTTTGTCTTGCTGCTGCTAAATACTGATATTTCCATGAGACTTCACATATTTTACAATTCTACAAGTATCCACAAGTAAAAACTATCTACTAATGAGGAATGAAGATAAATATATGTAGCTTTTTTCCATCACTCTGAGACCAGGTCTTGATAGTTGTTGCAGATTCTAAAGAGTATTTCTGATTTGTTTTTATGGGAAAGCAGACCAAACCGAAACAATGAACTAAAGGAAATATATATATATCAATATATCAATATATCACTTGATAGAGGGAGAAGCCCGGAGCTACCCAGCAGGAAGCTTTTGGGGGATGTATGGAGAGGCAGGGAGGAGCAGCAGGCAGTGCAATTTTAAAGGGAGGTTCAGTGGCAGAGGAAGGCAGGGCTCCCATGAAAAGGATTTATTTTATGGAGTGTAAGAATGCTTGTTTGCAGATTCTCTAGATTCTCCAGGAACATTTGGAGGCCTTAACCATAAGGATAATTCCTGTAGTATTTAAGACTTATGAGGACTAGTGTACCATGGAATTAATAAGGATTTCTCCTACTATTTCCCAACAATTCTGTTCTAGTTTCATTATGATTGCCTCTGAGCTCACAGCTAATGTTTCTAGAAAATGGACCAGAAATACTGGGAGATTTTCTACAGCTTGTGTATCAAATTGGAAGCCTGACCTCACACATCCCATTTCTATTTTATTTTTTTTCATGTGACCAGTACTACACATTTACTGATGTTGAATTTTAGTTCCCATTTAATCACATCTGCTGCTCATTCTTGTGAAATTTCAGGTCTGTTACTCCTGTTCTTCTTTTCAGATCATTGATGAGCAAGTCCTGGCAGAACCCAATGCAGATCCAAGAAGTGCACTGCTGGTAACCCTTATCCTATGTGAAAACTACCACTTGTTTCTCATCTTTTAATAGATTTTAATGCAGTCATTTCAGTTAGAATTATATCTCATAGAGCTTGTTCTCATTTTCCTTGTACAGTGGATAAACAGTGCTTCCTGCTTTATAGGGACATTGTGAAGATAAAGATATTTCAAGATTATTGCAAGTTAGTCTGAAAGTACAGTCAGAAGGGAACCAGATACGTGGAGGGCATGAAGGCAGCCCAGAGGTGAAGCCATGCACACGAAGCTCTGGGAGTCCCTTCCAGGTCCAGTAATCAGATAGATCCCCAGTGACAGATGTTTATTCCACTGTGAGATTGAGCTGAGGCAATCACTGGCTGCTAAATGTGGAGGAATATGTTGGCACATAAGGATTGTTTGTTGTAAAGAGGTGTGAAAACCCCACAGATAATGAACAGTTGGGAAACTTCTGCTCTGAACTTTGTAATTACCTCCTCTTTATAAAAATAAGCTAACCACAGCCCTGGTCCAGGCTGCATCTCAGAACCCTGGTGGAATTCTCTAATGGGAAATTTGAATAAATGTGGTCTATAAAGCACTTCTGGCTAATGATATTATAATGGCTCCTCTGATTGATCACCATCTGTTAAATTCCTTTAAAAGGCAATCAAATTGCCTTTTAAAAAGTTTGTTTGCTTGAGAAGGTAAAAATACTTGGGATACTTTCCTCATTTCTTCCTCATACGTAAACAAGGTCTGTTAGGCAGCTGTGATCTGTGAAGTTCTGTGTACACAGACAGGAATTCAATCCTTTGGTCAGTGTTTAAAAAACTGAAAATTTTTACTTTAGCATATGAAAATCTGTGTGGGGTTAGATGTGCTGTGTAGCATTGTGATTCCACTGCATATATGGAAACTACCCTTGATTTACACCAAATAGGTAACAAGGCCCAATAGAACAATTCAACAATAGGAACAAGGCCCAAGGTTTGTTATTTCTTGCAGCAAGACACAACAGTTGGTGTATTGGCTGTCAAATTGCTTATTATTTCACAAAACTTTAATAAAAAAAAAAACCTGAAAAATAAACCAGAGCTGAGTTCATGTGGAATCAGAGATAAATGAGGCATCCTTTCCAAATCACTTTCCACACAATGTATTCATATGATAGCTTCATTAACTTTGGTGCAATAATTTGCAGATTAATTCCATCCCCCAAAAAAGCAAGTATTCAAGCACTGCTAATCTCAGTTAGGTTTTTGCACATTAAATTTGTGATAAAGCCATACTAATTATTTTGAATTATCTTGAGATGAAAATACGTCACTCATGTAGGTAATTATGTAAGTAATTTAAACCTGATTAAATAATAATGATTCCTTGCTCATCGCCTTCGAAGTGCTTATAACCAAATTTAATTTTAAGCAGGATCAAGAAAATAATCACTTGATTCAAGCATTAATTACTAATTTTAATTCTAATTCATTAAAAATTGACTTTTTTTTTGCAGACTCTGCAAGGCATTAATTGACATCTTGCAAAATGAGCCATCATTTTGGCATGCAGAAGCATTTTTCAGACAGTGAATCGTGGCTACCAGGGACTGTGAAGGAGCTCCAAGGGAGCTTCCATTTAGAAAATGCAGCCTGCTCAGCATCAGAGCAGTTCCTCTGCTTGTGACTGAAGGAGTGGCTGTAACACAGCTGTCTGCAGCACCCAGGGAGCTGCTAACTACCTTTAATTACTAGCAGCAGGGGCGAGCTGCGCATGAACTGACCTAACGTAAACAGCTTTGCCGAGACAAACTGCTACAGGATAGGAAACAGTTAAAATCAGTTCAGAAGTGTTAGAATTGGGAGTTTCACGTTGCTTTCTTTCCAGTCGAATCAGAAATTGACTTACAGTCTCAGCGATTTGTTCAGGATTGAGTTTTGGTAGGCGCAGCTTTATTTTTTCTGGGTGGTGCGGTAGTTTGACTAGCTTGTCCAGGCTAACAGTCGTCCTTTGTGAGGTACTGAGTACAAAGCTCTTCAAAAACAATTGAGTTTTGGACTGTGGCTCCCTTTGGGAAAGGGCTGCTTTTTGTTGTAACTGTGAAACCCAGTGGCTGAGTGCTCCTATATTACAAGAAGTCACATTAATATGGCAGTAATTTTTCTCACAGTAGATTTAAGCTCCAGTGGGATTATTATGATTGTCATCTAATGTACAGCACAACCTAAGATTTCACTGTGTGTTCCTGTAGGAATTCCATAGTTCATTTGTGGTCTCTCAAACTGTATGCTTTGTAAGATTCAAATGCTCAGAACTGCTCCTAAGGGATTATACCAGCATTCTATCAGTTCTGCACTGAGGAATGTTTCTTCATGTTCCATCTACATTTTCACTCTTCCCAGTTTCACCCTTCTTGTTCTTCTCTTCCACAGAGAACTCATTTTGATCAAAGAACAGGACGTAGCTTCTGCTATCAAAACTCAACAGAGCTACAGTTTTAAAAAGGAGTCATTTCTTTTGTGAGGAAGAACCAACAAAAAGGTAATTTTTACTCTTTTTTGCTCCAGACAGAAGGTATTATTTTGTACTGATCTTAGAATGCTGTCAGTCTTCATGAGACCTTGGGATAACGACAGTATAACTAAAAATACAACCTTAAACACACAGTGCAGCAAACCTAATGTCCAAACATCATCTTTCTCAGCCTGAATGATTTTACTGAGTCTGTGTAGAGACCAGTGTATGAGCAGGGTTGCTAGATTGTTATCCTCTGTTGAAGAAGCAAAAGTATGATGAGCAATTCTATGCAAGACAGATAGACCTTTATTTTAATAGAAAGCTATTTGTAAGATGAAAGCAATTAAAACACTGAAGAATACTCCCAGCCTTTTATGAGCACAGAGCAACAATAAAAGCATAGAAACACTGAAGATTGAGGCCGTATATCATCTGTAGCAAAAGTCTGTCTAGCTTAATGCAGTGTCCAGGTAGAAACAGGGTGAAGAAGAGAAGTATAATTGTCTTCTTCCCAGAACTTCTTGTTGTATACCTGTGCTTACAACAGATGGGCAGCTCCAGCCTGGCAGATTTAAAATCTAGATCTCCTTGTAGAGGAAATTTGGAAGCAAATGGCCTCTGGGGTGTCCTAGTTCTGGTCTGGTTGGGCTGCAGCTGTCTCCCTGTTGGTAATCACAGCAGCTGCTGAGCTGAGAGCAGACAGCTAGCACAGCACAGTTGGTTGGCAGGCCTTTAGCATTGCCTTTGGCATTTTCAGCAGCAGCAACATGCCTCCTGATGAACCACTGCTACAGGTAGCTTTTCCTTCACATCACTTCAGTGCTAGCCATAGGTGAAGTTAGAACTGGCACTACTATTAGAAGTTCTAATTCTGAAGCTTCTCTGTTGGTATTTGTTCTTTGTTCAAGACAGCTTATGAACCTAAGCTACTGAACATGCTGCTAAGACTTGTAAGGCAAAGAACTGGCAGAGTCACAGTCCCTGCCTCTCTGTCCCTGCTGAACAGTAATGTGAAAAAAATGCAGACATCTTAATTGATTTCCAGTAAGCAAGCAGTTAATTCCTTCTCCGGTGACTAGCCAATTGCCCAGGTGACTAGGATTGAATGAGAAAGCAGGCTGTAGAGTAAGCTGGTCAAATTCACCAGGGAAAAGAACAGGAAATTCATAAAAACCGATGCCAGTAAAGTATAGATGAAAAAACAGAGAGGGCTCTTATGTTGAGGAACATTGGAGGAGTCTTAATGCAGATCTGTAAGATTACTTCAGGGTAAGATTAATTCTGTGTGTGATCCATGCTAAGCTGTTCCTTAACTTGAATTCCTAACACCTGTTTATCTTTCTGATTTTCCTTTTCTTCCTATATAGGCTTTTTCTGGAAAACAACCTATGAAACATTATATTTCTCTAAAAACTGGAGGAGTGACCACACATCTCTGCATAATTTGTCAGGGAAATAGGGGAGGTCTGTATCAACTTCCTCATTTTTTGATATCTGTCACTTTTCTCCAGCATAAAATACTGCTTGGACAGTAGCTCATTATTTATTGCTTCTATCTTTGGCATGCTGACATAGTTTGCTTCTCTTTGGTTTCTGTTCCAGTGTCATATATTTTCTTGCAAGTGCAATGGAAATAAAACCAATCTTCAAACCAATGTTAAATATTAGAATCTTGTCCTTGCCTCATAACATTCAGGCTACAAGACTTTCAGAATGTAAGAAATTTGCTAATGCAAATAACAGAACAAAACTCCACAAAGGATGTGCAGGATACAACGGATTTTGATTTCTTGTTTGGCAGTGTTTCTCTTTATTGCTATGAAGAGAGGGAACACAAATGGTTGTATGTTGATCAGAAACATGAGTGACTTAACTCTCGTGTTGTCCTCTTTTTTTTATTGGAAAGCTATTGAATCCTTTCAGACGTGCATATTTAATTTCTTCAGTAACTCTTCCAGCAAATAGAATGTCTCCTGGATAGACTGGAAAATGACAAGAGTTCCCATGCTAGAGATAGCAGAGAGCATGAGCAATCTAAGTAGATCAGAGGCAGAAGGCATTTAGGAGTAAAAGGTTGATCTGTGAAGTCTAGCTGGCTGTCCAGAATTTCCTCTTACTATGCTTTTAGTGCCATGCACACACCATGGGAATAATATATTTTGTCACCAACTTTGATGTTCTGAATGCAGATTTGAGTTTAATACTCTGTGAGGAGACTCAGGGTTGTTCTTAGACTCACAGGAAATTTTACATTCTCAACTGGGGGGATTAATGGCAGCAATGCATCTTGGCTCCAGTTTTTGTCACTCTTTTCTCAGAAGAAGGGAAAGAGACTTAGTTCTTTACTCCACGACCTACAGAAACACAATGCAGTTCACACACAGCAGGATAGAGCTTTTTTAATTGTCCCGTGTCCCATAAAACAAAACGGACTTGACCTTAGAATACAGTTTTCCATTTACTTTTTCACTCTGTGAAGTCCAAAAGGTTCTGCTTAAATAGCAATAACCCCAGAAATTTAAAAAACCCAATAGAAATGTCCCTCATTTAGCTATCTTTCAACCTTCCGAACCCAAAAGGAGTGCTTGGAATCCTCTCTGATAGAAGATCCATCATTGTGACCATCTGTGTCCATCATTAAGATATTTCAACTCTGATGGACACAGAGCATAAAATATACCAAACACACACAAGAGTAATACTAAAATGACAACATGGATTTGACAATACAACACAAAAAGTTGAACAAATTATATTAAGACTTTTATCTTAATGCAGGATACATGTGTTTAGTTAAAAATACAGAACACGAAGAAAAATATAACACTATTAGTATACTAAAATCCCTCAAACATAATTGGAAAACAACTCTAAAATATTCTGTACATTCTTTTCTCTTTACAAAACATTTGAAAATGCCAGTCCTACAAACTGGTATAAAAATATCATCTCTGGAACACTTTCCTAAAACCGTGTAAAGGTGTGTTTTATGCAGAAGCATACTGTACAGCTTGTGTCATTTCAGCATTGCCCTCCCTGCCTAGATGAGGTAATTGATCTTAGGTGCAAAATGAGCTGTAAATGCGGGAATGCTACAGCAATCTTATTCGTGCTCCTATAGTTGCTCACCAGTTTACTTTCAAAAGCCTTTTAAATCTGGCCTAATCTATGGTCAGAGTAGTGCAGCCATTCCTGTGCTTTGTGAAAAGTGTAAAAATTAAAGGTCTTTCAAAAGTCCTTTGTCATCTTCAAGGACTTGTGTGTTCCACGGCACTGGATTTGTGCAGTGATTTTCAATGTCCAGACGAGTCTTAGCTCATCTAAAAACATCTGTGAAAGGCTAATAATGAAAAGCAAACCTGTTGTTCTAAGAGGTTTCTATTTGTATCCTTACAGCCTTTATCTTTTTTTTCTATCTAGCTTTCTGTTTCTACAGGATATTCCTACAGCGCTGACACTTTTCAAAACAGTTTACAGTTCTTCTTTGACTCTTCACAATGCCAATGACAACAGTTAGTTACTTAGTTCCCTCCCCAAAGGAGAAAAGTGAATTGCTCAGTGGAGCAAAAGAAATTGGGCACAGTGAGACAGAGCACTCAAACCCCTGTCTTAAGGACACTAGGATTTCTTTTGTTTCTATTAAACAGAAAGTCTCTTCTAGTAACGTAGCCTAGCAATGCTGTGACAGCACCATCAAAACTGCTATTGCACCATGTTATTTAACAGGAAAATATGGATTTATACATAGAGAAGGATGGGACCCCAGTGGTGGGGCAGTGGTGCTCATCAAAGCCAGGGTTCTCATTCTACAAAGAAAGAAAAATTCACTGTTGGAAAGCCTTTCTTCCCCATTAAGGTTAATAACTCCTGAGCATTTATCTCATTTATTTGAACTTATATTTTATCACTGCAGTGCTACACAATATACTGGATTAATTTCATTAATCTCTGATACTTTATCAGTTAGCCTATGTGCTATGCTGTTGTGAAGAAGCTGAGGTCATAAGCTGTCCGTTGTTCATTTTTTGCCCTTCTATAACTCAATAATGGCCAAATGCTTAGAAGCTGCACCTGGTATTTATAATGCTGCATACTGGGACTGTGCTCTACATGCTGCTAAGGAAGTAGGAGGGTTTCAAATTATTTTGAAATAGAATTGAAATTCTTGTCATCGTCACCTATTGTTTCGTATCTTCAAATCACTTAAGAACCAGAAAATAATTAGGGTTCAGAATATTCCTGAATAGTGGCCAAGTGAGCTCTCTAGCACTATTTACTGATCAGAAAATGTGACGAAGATGAAAGGATTTGGCAAAGCCCAGGTCGAGGTGTTTTTTGTTTTTCAGTCTTTCTTTATTCTGAAAGAAAATGCAAGACACTTGTCTGCACCAATGGCTTCGTATCTATAAATCCTAGTAATTCAGTCTGTAAATGAGTAGTGGAATATGAAAACATGTAATGCTAAAAGATAGCTAGGCCTGGTTTTGAAAAACAGCTTTCTGCTTTGCAAATGCCATGGACAAAACGGGGCAGAGCAGGAACCATTTCTATCTTCTGTCGTAGACCAACAGTTTGTGCAGCCAAACACAGCTGCATTGACTCCTGCAGAGACTCCTGTTAGTGTAGGCACTGCTGCTTACAGCTCTTTATGAGCTTTATGAACAGCTTTGTAAAAGTGGTGGGGCTTTCTTTTGCTTTATGTTGTTTTGTTGTTGTCTGACTGTTTGTTTTGTTTGTGGGGGTTTTTTTTTGTCAGCACCTGATTGTAAGAAAAGTTTTTCTAAGGTTCAGAACAATTTTCAGCCAATAGCTATCTCTAATTGCTTGTACTCTTTGTGGCTGTACTTATTAAATTGCCTTTTCTTATGATTTCTTTCTTATAAAGGCATCAGATACAGTTGTGTTTTAGGCTAAAAAATATCAAGTTCTTCTGGTTGTATCTTGCAGAATTTTATCCACTTTACTGATGGCATTTCAGTGTTTTCTCATCTAGCTACTGCAATTTCACTTAAACATTTGGTGTCTGTAACTGTACACAGCTGTCTGGCAGGAGCCCACCAGGCCTTTGCACAGTGGCTTGAGTGGTTCTCAATAGGAAATCTGTCTTGGGGTGCAGCTGAGCTTTTATGACTATCAGATTCAATCTGAGTCATCTTGTGACAAACTCTACAACCGAGCTTGTTTTGTTGTCAGTTAACAAGAAATATAGCAAAATACTTTAATTTTCATCTGCATGAGCTACTGTTTGTACTGCAACATCTTATTCCATTCAAACTTCTCTGCCAAGTCTCGTAGGAATTTTTTTGTGTATCCTGAACCTTCTCTAGATCAGTGCTTCTCAACTTCTCATCAATCCCAGGCTTGTAGTAGCTGTGTTTCAGTGATTCACGAAAAAGTTAACCCTATATGAAAAGTTAACCCTATTCAGTTGCAAGACTGATGCGTAAGAAATTCCACTTGCAAATGCCCCCAACCCCCACTTTCTTTTCAGTCTTTCCTTCTTTCCTTTAGCCAGCTGCTTACACATCTCATAATCACACTCTGAGTTTCCATTTTCTCCTTCTCAATCGAGTTTTTCACATGGTAGCAGATCAGATGCTCCAGATCAGTGAAATCCCCACTTGGTTGTGGCAAATCTGATTCATTCTTTGCTTTTAGCCACAGAAATTCTGCAGACCTAATTCACTCCTCTAACTTGCAGGTCCTTTTTTGCACTGCCTTCTTTTTTCCCCACTTAAATCTTTTTTTTTTTTTTTTCCAGCTCTAAATTCCCACATTGCAATTTTACAGCATCAAAACAGGTTTTCTTTTCTACTTTAATATGAAGTCTGCAGTGGAACCACATCTGTAGCCCACACTGCACAAACAGGAAGAGTTGAGCATTGCACTGCCTGCTCAAGCTGATGCTGAAAGCAACTTTTCCTTTATAGGTTGAACTTCTGACCCCTCATAGCTCCATACAAAATATCAGATGGAACTGAAACCATTAAACAGAACTTAAAGCACTAAAGAAACAAGGGGTATAACTGAAAAATAAGATCATATCCTCATGATTTATAATATAAATCAACTTTTAATAACAAAAATGCTATTGTTTTCAATGAGAATAACATGTACATTTCAACATAAAACAGTGCACAGTGTAAATGCCCTTAGATGCTCTTCTGTGCATCTCCAATGTCTACAATGACTGCATAAATGAGGGCAACAATCCTCACCAGGCTATATAAAACTGCTGCAGTTCTGCTGCACAGAACTGATGTAGGCAAATCAAGGATCTGAGTTTGTAAGTGTTCTTTTTACATTTGGTTGTTCCTACGGTTCTTATTTAGATTAATACGAAGTATATTTTAAGTTGATGATTCAGTAAAGAAACATCCATTTCTTCTTCAAACAGCAAGTGGTGTGAATCACTCTCACAAAATTGAAGGGGAAAAAAAAAAAAGGAAAACAAAGAGAAAGTGCACTGAAATAATGCTTTGTTCATCTTACTGCAGTACAGAATGGCTACTGTAGTAAAGTCCCCTCTATCTGACAGCTGGCTGATGCTGGGCTGCCCTGGTTCCCTGCAACAGATTACTGTAGGTCAGAGGAAATATTAGAAGTGAGAAATTTAAACAAAGACGTTCCTTATCCCAAATTATTGTAGTCTGAGAGGCAAGAAAGAAATAATTAAAAATTCAGAGACAAGACTGAGAATTTGTGTCCTCAAACTTGGCCTCAGCTGTTTTGTGCTGATGTATAGATTAGAAAATGTGAAAGAACTCAATATCCACCTCGAAAGACTCTAATGTGAAGATTTCAATTGGTTGGGTTTTGTTAATAAAATTAAGCCAGCTGAAAAACAAACGATCTCACAAATAAAAAATCCCAAACCTTTATTTTCTAGAACATACATCACTGCAAAGCGCTTCTGGATTTTTAACAATTGACTCTTTAAAAGGAGGCTGTGGAGAAACAAAGGAATGGTGAATGTCCTGCACGCTGTCCTACTGACACCTGCTACAGATTTGTTACGGATGGGCGGTCGTTTTAAGGCACTCACTCTAAAATATCACTATTTCTGTCCTGAGACTGCTGCCGTGTTTCATGAGTTTCAGCCAGTAATTTGGAAAAAATCACTGTGTTTAGGATAATACTGACAGGATGGGAAACAATTTTTCAAACAAGAAAAAATAAAGTACATTATATACACGATTCCTTTTTTTCTTTTAACTTAAAAGCATCCCTAATACATCTTAATAACTGTATTAAAGACTACTTAAATATTGAACGATTTTAAATAATGTAGATTTCTTTTCAGTAAACTGGGAGTAGCTGTGGAATTGCCAGCATATTGGTCCCATTTTAAACAATATAGTTTTTATTTAAATCTTGTATATATAATAACATGATCCAAAACACATATTCCACTCCACATAAATAAGTATAGTTCTTCTGACCGGGTTTTTAAAACTACATCTGTTCAAATAATCAGATTCTAAGACTGTATTTTTCCTTTGTAAAGTTTGTTTTAAAATCTTTCACTCCAATCTCTCCCCTGAATTATTATTGTATTTCCAGAGTACATAACAGAGCATTAGTAAAAAGAGTTAATCCCAAACTGAAGGCTACAGTAAGTAAATGAAGTAATGGTGACAAGTATTATGGAATGTATACTCTGCAGCATAGAGAGATTGGTTCTCATTGGGCTGAAGTGGAAAATGAGTCCAGTAGAAATTCTTTTTGCTTGCATCTGAATTAGCCATTGATTGTGCTATTTGTTGATCCAAAGTGCAGGTCAGTACATTACAAAGTGGTGTTTATGAAGCTACTGTTCAAGGCCACTGACCAAAATTATGCTGGCAATTAAATGGATGCCAGACACAGTGCAGGGAGAGACAGAGGTGTCATCCTGGGTTTTCTCAACCAACCCAAATCTTCAAGTCTACGGCTTTTAAGTGGCAGCACAAATGTTATCAGTAAAACTGCACTTTCTTGCTGCATAACTGTCACTGTTCCAGGCATCTACCAATGGCAGTAACATCCATCTTAGTTCTGTGGGGTTTGTTTCAAGAATTTCTTCAAGAGGTCAAAGAAATACAAGAATCCCTGCATGTGCTGCAGGACTTCAGAGGCAGATTCCTGATGCCTGGGGCCAACAGGTTCATCTCCTGCAAAAGCAGAGTCTCCTCCTCTCTTGTTTCAGTGTCACAGCGTTGGTTAGCATGGGTCCTCAGACAGGGCTGCTTGTTGGTGCATGTTTTAGTTGTGCCACAATGTGGGTGCCTCTGTCACGTTTATAAATCCCCATCTGTAGGTGGCTGGCACAGCCTGTAGAGTCTTTAAGGCAGATTAAGAGTATGGTATTAAACGTGGTAAGAAAGATAACAAAGTTACTGGCACAGTGTATAAAAGCTAGCTTCTCCTGTGTCATTCTGCAAGCCTTAGATGCAACCCAATAGCAAGAATACCATTATTTTTATTTTTCATAATTGCAAATATGAAAGTGTATTATTAACTCTATTTATTAGCTAAAATATTTATTATCATTGTTTAAATACTATTTGAAACACTGTATCACTCCTTTTTACCTTTGGCCCAATTTGGGTCTTCAGCAACCCTTTTCTTGTTGTTTTTTTTTCCTGTTCTATTTAAATACAGTGTAGTAACTGGGTCTTAGCACACAATGGGACTGCAGCTGAAGTACTGGCTTATGAATTGTCTTTGCATATCTGCTGTCAGATTTGCCATTCAGGAGTTTTTCTCTCTCAGCATTCCACAGGTGGCTGTCAATCACTAGCAATATCAGCCCATAGCAATGGTCTGAAAAAGACTCTTCTTTTTCTTCAGTGATTTTTTTTTTTTTTTTTTTTTTTTTTTAGAAAATGCAGAAACATTTGAAGTTAATGATATGCAAATTGTAACAGGCTGAGCTTATTAAGCTACACTGCACTTAATTTAGTACAGTGAGAAAGGAGAACATGATTTTTTTTTTCCTTGCTGTTACTACTAAGGAGATCTGTGGTTCCGACAGGATCTGCATAGTTGTTACAGAGGCATAAAACAAGCATTTCAGATAACATGCAGAATCCAGAACAACCTACCGAGGCGCACTCTGCGGCATTTGGTCCATCACTTTCAGATTCTTGGCAGAGATTTCTACTCTTGGTCCCTAAAGAAACAAAGAATTTATGGTACTGATGATATTGATAACGGATCTGATCCTTAGGGGATAATAATGTAATAGGAGTGCGTTTTCTTTCTGAGAATCCATTAACTACTTTAGAAAAGTTGGAATCTGTTGGTAGATACATTAGTCATCTGTGTTTACTGAAAAGATGAAATTAATCCCAAAGCACTTTACGAGCACTGTTGTCTATCACTGGGGAGTTTCTACAATTTAACACTGATTGAGACTTTTGATTTTTGTACATGCAGAAACTGTCTGAAGTATCTTAGCTAGTCTCTACTTTCTAACCATCAAGGCACATACTTTGAATAATGCATACTGAGGCATATAATGGCTGTAAATGGCTGTACCTGCAAACCTTAATTTGTTGTGTCAGAGATGGGTAGCTGTTCAGACACTAGTAACAGATTGACTGTATGAGTTCATGGTGAACAAAATACCATGCCATGCTGAAATAAACAGGAGTTTCTACAATTACTGGAATGTTACTGGAATAAAGGTAGTGGCTTGCAGTAGACACACAGGTCCTAATACTTACTTGCTTTCGCATGATGTCTGTAGCTTGCATGATACACTTGGGCAAAAGTCCATGACTTCGAGCCAGTATGGCTGCTTGCTCCAGGGACACACTTAATGTACTTCTGAACATGGGAACAAGTGATACTAAATCATCGATCATATTTAAAAATGTATATAGAGGCAAGTATAGGACACTTATTTATTAAGTATGGATTCTGTTAGCTAGCTTTTTTATATCTATTAGTTCACTTTTTCCACTTAAAAAACTATAAAACGAGCTTCAGTCCTGCATTTTCAGTCCTTTACACTTGCTTCCTGCAATGGTTCAGGTCTCCAGCAATGTTACTATGAGGTATGTTTCACTACTCTTCTGCACTAATTTCTGTATATGCAATTTCTGTGTATATGCAATGAACTCATTTAGTGAATGGCATTGGTTGACACACTGAAACAAAGTTTATGTGCCCAATTTAATTATTAACAGAACTATTTACATCTCAGCCTACATAACATATTTACATCCTTATTATATATAGTCCCTTAACATCTACCTTGCTATTGATTTAAACTGAATCAAATATATTGCCCAAGTCTCCAGAAAAGACCAACCTTTGCATTGCAACACTAACACTTCTGTTTCCAAAATCTCACCTCTGCATCCCAGTGCCACACATGGTAATCTGGCAGGCTCCGAGTCGGTAACAGAGCTCAGAAGATATAGGTAGCAGGCCAGCTCCTGATGTGTTACTGCTAGAGTATCCCGACAGGTTGGGTTTTGTGTTAATGAAGGACTTCATCAGCCTGCAAAGCTCATCCATTGCATTGATGGGACGAATAAGCTAAACAAAGCAACAAGAATAACAAAAACATCAGTGGCAGGTGTACTCTTTCAGTTGTAAATTTACAGGGATTTATCCTGTCTCCAGACATACTATCACTACACAAGTGACTGCTGCACAATAATGAATATTTGAAAGTGAAAAAATACAAGCTGTGACTTAGGTGTGGGGCAATTTTTTGCAGTTATCACAGATCACTGAGATTGTTTACACTGTACATTACAATGGCAAAGATGATTTGTTTTCACTGCAGTAGGACTTACTGCCTTATGGGCAAATATTCCCAAGTTACCTGCCCCAGTTAGACTGCCTCTAGCTGAGATGCTGGGAAGCACTCATGGTCCTGATGTTTCCTTCTATAATTGTGAATAAAGTTTAATTTCTAAAGTTCATTTTTTATACATCTGTGAGACAGAAGAATAAATTCATTCTGTCTAACATCAGATACCCCATTTAGAAGGAGATGAACAGGGCAATATGAAGTCTTACTTGTGCCTAAATTAGAGGGCTTGTGTTCACTCCAGTTACCCACGCTTTTCTTCAAACAAAAGCCCCAGAGAAATTTACAGCACTTCTTCAGGGCAGGGAATTCTTTTAAATTGTATTTGGGTTTGTACAGGCCTGCTTTATGGCTATCACATGACTGAGGTTTAAGAGGCCAACTGATGTAGAAATAAAACCAGTAACAAAATAACAATACCTGGTCAATCTTCACTGCAGTAGTATTAGAATCAGTGGGCAAGTTTGATCTCTCTAGATAAAATGTCCTGCAAAAAGACCAGCAAGAACTACATTAGTCAGCAGGTCTCATTTCAAGCATATATGTGTACTTATGTGAAACTTCTGAAAAGACTGTGAGAGAAGTCTTGTACTTCAAGAGGTGCTTTCTTACTGAAGCATTTTGTCGCCGAAACTCATATAGTCTGTACTGAAATATTCCTGAAACACTTTATCAATTTTAGCTCTGTTCAAAGTTCTGAAGTCAAATCAGACAGGAATCTCATCCTGTACAGTGCAGCGCTTCAGAACAAGCTTAGCTGTGGGAAAAAAAAATAATGGGTTTCTTACACAATGGGGATCTCCAAGAATCATATTTGTACAGGAAATCAACAGGAGTGGGATTTTCTTCATTAGTTTTACTGTCTTTAGCAATGAGCACTCTTTTAGATGTGTTTTAAGTAAAGGAGAAGTATGAAATACCTGAGTTTACGGTAGTATTGCTGCACTTTTTCTAGAGATTGACCATTAATTTGCTGTGGAAGTTCTTCTAGAGATAAGCCAGCTGGTTGTGATTGCCCCTCTGTACTCTCTAGAGCTAAAAGAGAAAATGTTTTATTGTACTTTAAATTTAGATAATAACATTTTAGTAAGTTTTTACTTATTTATCTCTGCATCATTTCACTGCTTTGCAAATGACTGTTGGATCATGTCAAGGCTAACACTGCCCATTAATATAATTTTGGTGTGAATGTTTGCTTATCTAGTCAGTATTCCTTCAATTCCAGCCTGGATGATTCTGTCACAGCACATGCTTCTAAAAAGACTTGCCTATAGCTCGGAAGCAGCTCCTGGTACCATACTAGATCAGATTGTCCACGTAAAGACCAATATGTCTTTATGACCTGAAGCTTTAGAGGAAGGCATAAAAAAAGTCCCAGGCAGGCATATCATGTTCTCATGACTGTGTCTTATTCGAATCTCTAACACGCTCTAGGAGTGTCCCAGAATAGAACCACCTGCTTCTCAACTATATCTGTAATTTTCAGCTCCATTATGTTAAGAGTTTGATGGTCACTCTCTATTTTGAACCTTTTGCTATCATCAGTTAGCTTATTTTTCTAAGAAATCTTTTTATAGATACCTTTTGTAAATAGCACCGTGTGTAGTTTCAAGCTTCCTCCATTCTGAAACCGAGAAGGCAGTTTGGAGAAGTAGTAGCTGTCAAGATAAAAGATAACCTTCAAGGCCTGACGGCTTCCTTCGATGTGGTAGAAGACATGAGTATCTGCAGAAATAAACATAAAGATAAAACACTTGCTGCATTACCAAAGTGGGAGAAATTTGTAACCATTGTTGCTTCAGTTTGTTAGATCATCCATTGATGTTTCACATCTCCACCATCAAATTAATAAGGGAGAGGCTTTGTTGAGAGAAAATGAGTTCTGAAATATCATTCTAGCTGCATCTTCTAAAGCATAGTGATACCACAAACAGGGCTAACAATCAAAATCCCATCTTGTTTTCTGCCATCCTGTGGTCAGTAAACATGGAAAGAGAGTTGGTGGGGTGACACAGAAGATGAGAGCTAGTGAGGGACAGTCCTTACACTGTTGGTAGTGAGGTACTGAGAATTATAAACATCTATAAAAATCACATGGGTAAGGTGCTGTGGCACAGACCATGGCTCCAAATCACCGAGCTTGCTGCTCAGTACTCTCCAGACCTGACGTCTGTTAGATTTATAATCATGGAGGATGGTAATCCATAAAACAAACAAGAAAAAAAGAGTTTAAAAGAAACTGAGTGTACTCACTTGCTACAAGACTTTCATCCAGCTGCTTGAAATAGAAGGCAACTTTGTCCAGTTCTGTCAGAGTGACCTGGATGTCTTCCAGCATGGTGCGCTCCTCCTTCTGTAGGGCAAAGAACCAGATATAAATAGGTGACTGTCTGCCAGGAAGAGATCAGTAACAGGACAGTATAGCTGCTGCTGGCGTGTTTCAGTTCAGGGCACCTAGTGCAGAATACAGAGATTTCCACAAACTCCCCCCAAGTAATTAATCACTGGTGGCTTTTTAACTTTGTGATACAAACACAGCTGCCCTTTTGCTTAGATGTCATTTGATGTGATTCACAGGGAGTGCAGAGGCTTAAAGAATAGTTTTGAAGGGGTCTGTTTCTCCAAACTTTATCTTGTGTCTACAAATGTAAGAAGAGCTTTTTGGTTACTGTGAAATAAATGTGCATACATTCCATGCAACGTAAAAGAATAATACAGTTGCATATAGTTTGGATTATTGTTAAAAAGCATGCTTAACATATTATGTTTGCAATGTTCAAAACTTTTCTGTAAAGTAATAATAATTTGTGTACCTTCTCCTCCTTAGCCATGGTGCCTGTAGCTTAAGCTCCAATCACAGCACAATGGAAGTGTGTCAGAGAGATTTCAGTCTATCTAGCCTGCAGAATGGTCACTGTGAACATAACTCTAGTTTTCTGTTTGGAACTCCAGATGAAATATTCCCAACTTTTCTGCCTAACTGTTGATATGCATCATTCCACCAGAAGAGGGCAGGCCACCCATGCCTCATTAACAGCTGAGCAGTAAACCCTCCCTAAATGCTACTTGGTCACTCCAAACATAAGGACAGCCTGATTCCAAAAGGCTCTGGTGTAATGAGTCCAGTATTTGTGAGGAGATGGAAATAATGGGATATGGAAAATACTGGGACACGGTTGTCAGAGTGGGAGTCTCCTGAGGTCGCTGTCATCAGTCTCAACACGCTGCTAGCACTGGCTGTGCTGTGAATGGCAGAGAAGCATACATGCAAATGTGAACAGACCCCAGGGTTCCATAACTCTTCATCTTACCACAGTAGGGGAGAGCAGGGACTGGTAGTTTAATAAAACACCAGTGGCTGCTATCTGTTCCAGCCATTTTCTACTGGCGTCTCTGCTGCTCTCTTCATATTCCCCATTGTTGTTGTATCGATAGTTGAGAGCAGCCAGTAACTGCTCTGAAAAGGTGCAAATAGCAGCCACAAGAGATTGGCAGAAGATGGAATCTCGCCTCAGCTGTAGTTCAGTATCTGCAAGAGAAGGAAGGACACACAAACAAGGCATGAGAATACTTCTTTTATCTCACTGCCAAGGAGGCAGTTTCTATGTATGTATGAGATATTTAGCTTCTGCTGTAGCTTTACACAGTTGTAACAGATAACATCTTGCTGTGTGACCTGGGTGTAGAAATAAAAAGAGCATTGCTGGGAAAATTTTGCCAAAAATTTTCTAGGCCACTTGACTCTTTGTTTTACGTTTGCCATCTGCATGCTCCTTCTTCTGGGAAGAGCTCTAACTCCTTCGTGCCATATCTGGACTGATTCCCTTCTTCTTATGTTTAAAGAAGCAAGAGAATTAATGAAAGAGGATCTCTGCCACTGCTTCTCTTCTGGGCTGTTAAGAGAGTCATCTTCCCCTCATCTACCTGTATTTCATGGTCTCCCCAGATGCTTAATGCTTTAAGTGGGCCTGCCCATAGGGTACCAATTGGTTTCTGTTTCTTGGGAGGATTTTGCTTCCAGGCTGGCTGCCAGGCAGCCACATTCTGGTCCAAGCAACCTCGTCACAGTTAAGGGGATTGCAGGCCAAAGACAAACATGAATAAGAGAGGAGCTCCTTCCCAGGCACCCTGGGCTCCTTCAACAGTACAGCAGTCTGTCTTTGCCAAGGCAGTGTTCCACAGAGAAAGAAGCTGAAGACACCATTCAGAAGATTTGAGTTTTTAAAGTTTCTGTAGGCACTGAGCATGGTATCCTCACTGATACACTCCAGGCGCAGGGCCATATATTCAATCTAAAGGCAACCAGTCCTTCCAGCAGTACTCCTCTGTACTGCCAAAGTAAGGCAAAGAGAGCACAGAAACGTCTGTCCTCAGAGCTAGGGAAAAGCCAGTTTCCACAAAGCTGGCATAACCTCTTCAGTGCCATCTGCTGCCCCATTCTTTCCAGAGGATATTAGGGAAAATGCTGCAGGAGATAGGGCAGAGGTAGACACTTATGAAGTCATTACATCTGTTGTCATTAAAAAAACAGCCTTTACGGATGCTAAGCTGACACTGCAGGCAGGTTTTGACAGACTCATGGACCAGCCCTGGCAGGAGCAGAGGCAACAGAGCCATACTCATTTACCATTTTCACTCTATGAGAACTTGAGAATCTAGCTGGCACAGCAAATTAATGACATCCTATTTCAGTCATGTATTACCTCATTTGCAAACAAAAATACACCAAGTACAGTTTCAATCACAATAGGAGACTACACATTCACCCCTAGGAAAGGCCTGTCATTTGATCTGCAAGTACGAAGTTTAGTGCACAGTAGCAGATAACAATATCCATTCACAGTGTATTTATGTGCTGTCTCCACACTTAGGTTTTTAGTCTGCTCCTAGCTATGATTTCAGTATATACACTCTTAAATCCCTAACTTGCCTGCTCTGTTTGGAAAGATGTCAGTGTCTGTGTTCTCACAGAAAGTTGTGCAACATGTCTCATTTTTGCTGCATGTTTTCACCACAGAAGGAAACAGTAAAGGCCATCTGGGAGTGAGAGTTGTACAAAAGAAAAAAAAGACAGAAAAACAGCGCTTGTGCAACATCAATGACTAGCCAGGAGACACAGCAGCCTACATGGAATTGAAGCAACACAAACTGAAGCATAGATGTCAGATGCATGAAAAGGCTGTTCCAGATGCAGAGCACAAGAAATGTGAGCTTAAAATGCCAAGACTAAAGCTAAATGCTCAGGAAATAACACTCAGAGGTATGCACATGGAGTCGCATAAATCTCTGTTAGGGACATGTGTGTACAGTCTTTGTTGCAAGAAATCGAAACACCTTACCTGTGCATTTTAACAAGGCCAAAAGCAGTTGATTCTTCCCATCTAAAACAGTGAAGAGAAGGAAAGAAGTCAGCATGATGGCAATATAGATTTTACTGTATTGGATTGACAGTCTCCTCTTTCTCCACAATTCTTGCCTCTCCTCACCCCCTGCATGGTTATTTCTCTGTACTATCATAGTTCTTACTCACACAGGCATTTTAATCATACAGAAAGAATTTTACAAGCTAAATGCTCTACTAACTACTATGAATTATTGGAAACAAATTGTACATGCAGATTAATACTTAATGAAGAAACTTTTCCCAGTGCTCTGCACTGGAGTGTAAATATCAGATTTAGCTAGCCTATTCCACCCCAACCTGACTACAGTGGGTTAGGACAATTTGACCTGTTTTCCCTGGAGTGCAGCACAGCCTTATTACAAATAGACATAAAAATGAGAAATTGAACTGCTGGACTCGATTAGATCAGAGCTATCCTTTCCCTCTGAAACCGATAGCAATCTTTACCCCATTTACAGACCTTCCACGTATTTTTGTATGATTTCAACGAGGTTTTTGATGCGCAATGGAAGGTTCCATGGGTCTTCTTGAATGCTGGCTTGAATATTATTTCGGCACCTCACTGTGGTTTCTTCCTTCTGTTTAAATTCTAGGAAAAAAATGAGTTTGTTAGGCAGTAAGGAAGTGCAATGCAGAGTGGTTTTTAATTCAAAATGCGTATACAGATGCAAGCAGAGATACATACTATCAATAGCAACAGTTGTGAATGAAAGAGGTTCTTAAATAGTGCAGAAGGAGAAGGAAAAAAAAGAATATTCCTATAATCCTATAATCAGCAGTCTCCTAGCATTGTTTGCAGGATCACAGGCTAGAAGTCATATATGTGGGTGATGTGCATGGTAAGAAGAGCCTTGTGCAACTCATATCTGACATCATTACCTTCTGTTCTCTCTGACGTTCTTATATGATACAGCTGCCTGCTGTGTATCTAAATATCTAAATATATCTAAAGTTTCTGTGGCTGTGCAGAATCAGATCAGCCTTTTGGCTGCAGCTGTTGCATCCCACAACACTGATGAGAAGTTGGGAACTATTCTGCTTTCTTTCATCTGATGGCAGCTAATTGTTTAATTACAGAGTGGAGAATCTATTCTTCATGACTTAGCTAAGCTATAAAGCCCACTGCTGGCGATAAAATCTGTAAGCAGACAGAAAAATGGTGCCAAATAACTGCGCCAAACAGAAACAGGACAAGCATTCAAATTTACATTTGTCACTGCAAGGTGTCTGCAGGAGCAATTAAAGAGACGTTTGGTCTGGGGATTCCAAATGTAAGCAGTGCTTTTGTGCTCATTAGTGTAATGAATGTGCAATCATCAGTTAACTTCAGTTAACTAAAAGACCCTCTCAGTCTAATTAATCTAGCTGTAATAAATTAGACTCCATTTAAGTGAAATAAAATAAAGGAAGTGAACACAGGGTGTCTGTGATTTCCTCACTTTATTCCAACAGTGCACTGAAAGACTAATAAATAATCAACATAGATGTGAATGTGTTTGTGAAGATGAGTTCATGTAACAGAACTTTGCATGGTCTATTTCTGGAATCAGGAAAAAAAAAGAAAGAAAAAAAAAAAACACAAAGAAACCTCCTCTAGATTTTCCCACTGTGACTTAAAAATAGAACTTGTCAAGGTTGGGAGGCCCAGAACTGCAGCACCTGAAGTATACTAGAAGTAGTAGGAAACAGTTCAGATTTCAAGTGGGAAAGGAAATGCAGCAAATGTTCAGAAAATAAAGCTTTGGTATTTCAGTGAGAGAAGAAACCACATCCTGGGCCCCTAAACCGTTAAGACAAAGGTCCTAAACATGCTCCCTGAAGAAAAAGAAAACATGGTATCATTTGTTTGCTCTCTATGGGAATCAGTTTTCAAAATAAGTGACATGTGAGGATGGAGTTTACTCTGGCAATTACCCATCTCTGAAGAAAAGTCATTAAGCAAACTCAGGCAGAACCTTTTGGTGCCTCATATCTACAGTCAGTCCCTCACCAGCTAATCAGTGTTCACCCTGAATCTGACATAACTGTACCTTGTACTTTCGAGGTACATATCTGCGTGCTCACATCAAAGGATGGATCTGGACACTTGTGAAAATGCTGTAAGGATTCAGAAGCATATAAGAGGAAGGTGTTCTGTGTGTTTTAAGAAGAACTTGTGCAGAATTTCAGTGATCAGACATGGGACCTGCCTTTAGAGTCATTGAGTACCCTGAGCTGGCAGGAACCCAAAGGATCATCAATAATACACAACTTCTAATGTACAACTGTTCAGACTGCACAGTTACATAACGCTGTGTGGCAACATGGCGTGTGTGCATTCATGGTAATCTCTTAAGTCCTAGAAAATCACATTTTTAAATACAGTCAGCCTTCTTCCTTACCTTGCAAACTGTGGTCCATTGGAAAGTGCTTGGTTTCTTCAAAGGCTTTAGTTATTGCTGGTCCTTTTAGAAGTGCATTAATTGCATCAACCTACAATCGAAATATTTTCCATGTTAGACTTGTGGAAAAAAATCTGAATGGAAATCTTCTGGAAAAATGCAAAAGCCATTACAGCATTAATATTTTTGAATGAGTTTCTCTTTGTTAATAAATATTATTAAGACTTTCAAACCATGAATTACCCTCGAGAGCCTTGCACTGAATGATGTTCTACACAAAGAGCGAGCCGCATGCTGATGTGATAAATCCCATTGCAAAACAGTTCTCTGGTGCTGGCCATCTATAAAGACATCTGTAGACTGAACTTGTGAGAGCTCTCCTCAGATTTAGAGGTGAGATTCATCAGGATTGTGCATTTTGTTCATCTTATTTTCTCCTTTTCATCAAAGCTTTTTTCTCTTTACTGCTTCATACAAACCAGCTCAACATTGCTTATATCACGCAAGGCAACTTGAATGTTGACACACTGTTTGATAAAACTGCCATACAATATGCTTCCAGCTTCCTTCCCTCAGAACATGATTTCATTAAACAATCTGATACTTAGAAATTCCTGTGTTGACACTGATAAAGAGAAAGCAATTCTTTGTAACAATAAAACCCTTTTTGTACCTGGTTAAAAAGATGCTCCAGACAGCCATGAAGTTTGTCTTGTTTATCTAAAGGAATCCTCATGTCACTGGGAAGCTCATCTCCTAAGAAAACAAAGATAAGTTTTTAACTGTCTCATCAGCATAAGCTGTGATGAGGCCAGAAATGATACTAGCACATCCTCACACTGCAGTGGGTAAAAATTGATCACTGCTTTATCTCAAATTTCAAATGCTCATACTTCTTTCACATAATACAAAGACTTAATAGTTCTTCCATACTCCAAATTTCCTGTGGTTTGTTAGAAAAAGAACAAATCTTGATCTTTTCATATTCTTTTGATTAGTTTGAAGGAACCACATCTGCAATTGAAACATGCATTTGCTTATAATCAGCAGAGTTATCACCCCCACTAAAAGGTCTGCTATGAGAAAATATGCATGTTACCTAGGCATGTACTCACCTGATCCCATCTCATCACTGCCCAAGTAAGAGCTATTACTCCGTACACTGGTGTAAGACAACACTGAATCCCGGTTGCTGTTACATTCACTAGAAAGAAAAGCAAAGTAGGTGACTGATGCTCCCAGCCTGAAGCAAAGGAGGTCCTGGCCTATGATAAACTATCATTTACACTAATCCCCACGTCAAATTCTCTTATGCATATGGAAAAGAAATCCTAATTACATGCAACGTTTGTTGCCAGCTCTAAGGACATCACCATAACAGCATAAATGGAAGCTACTCAAGATGGGAGAGGAAATTTAAGGGATCTGTACCACTGGAATACCAAGCATGGCAGACCAGCAAATGCCTAAGGAAGCAGAAGAGTCACTCCAGTTGCTTTCACACCACTGCTGGCTGATGCATACACGAAAAGTTGCAGCAAGAATCATTTCAGTTCAGTTTATACTAACTATAACTTACTGAAGGTGATCAGAAAATCAATGGATGTCAGTCTGCCCCCTCCAGTTAAATGACACAGTGTTTTTAATGGCACAAACCAAAAATAAAATCCACAAAATTCTCCACATTGTCTTTTCCTCTGCTTTATTTTAGACTAAGGTGAGACAAAAGGGTAAAAGCAATTGAAAGAACCCTAATATGGATTCTTGCCTGTCCTTTCTTAAACCTATTGCCAAAGATACCTTTTTTTTTCTAAGAAAAAAATAGTTTATAGCATCTATATCACAATATAAGCCCTTATGAAATGTGACTTGTGATCCTCATAAAGCACTACTATTGCAAACAAAATATTTTCTTATTTGCAGTTTGGTTTTTTTTGTAGTTCCTCAGTAGTTTTCAGATCGAAATGATAAAAACACACTTTGTTCTCTATTGGATAACTGCTATCTGTAATATACACATAATTGGCTAATAAAGACAGAACAGAATAATCTTTCTCAGTTTTCATTTACGTGTAAAACTTTGGAACAAGTGACAGATCCACAGGCACTGTTCTTAATGTCACTTTGTTACACAGGATCGATTATCTGCATTTATAGAAATCATTTAAACCAAGCTGTTCATGGGATTCCTATCAACAATGAGAGAAATACTTCACATTTCAATAAAGCAGCTCTTGAGCACATGTGCAGACTTAAGTCTAGGACCACAAGTAGATACTGCAGATCTCAATATTCTAAGTGCCAGTTCTGATCCTTTACCGACTGGATATTTGCTGTCTTGTATTCAGCTGGGCCAGACCCTGTGCAGACTACCTGCTTTGGCCTTTTCTGATGGAGGGATTGGACCATGAGGACTCCAGATGTTCACTGCAGTGTAAACTATTCTGATTCTGTCATTTTTGCAGACCTGTAAGAATACCACGTGGTACCACTTGCAGTATTACAGAAAACCAGCACGTAGTAAAGAGTCATGCCTGTAGTAGCATGGAAGTAGCTAAAACGTATAATTTATTCAGGTTATTCTAAATCCTGCAAACTCACTATAATGTATTTTTACATCTTTGCACAGGAAAAGTCCTATGGCCTTCCAATTAATGTAGAAATGACCTATTAAGGGTGTAAAATTGCAATGGTCAGACACGATTGCAACTTGTTCCATTTTTTGTGAACTAAACTTTTCAAAAGTTACCTTCCAAGAAAGACAGAGTTGAAGTGTGTGAAATTTCCTTCAGTAGCAAATATTCCAGGAGAAGCAGTAGTCACTTGTGTCCCAAAACAAGATTTCAAGACACCTGAATAAACATTTGCACTTGTGGTTTCAGAGGCCCATTAAGAATTAAAAATAAAAAAAAGCCCATTTCTGTTTCTCAGTGTCTTAGATTTCTGGGAAAATTGTTTGCAGAATTGAATGGAAAAAAACCTTATAATAGCAGCTATTATCAGGCTGAAAACTCTGAAGCTTCTGAAGTTTACAGCTATGTGATATAAAAGGGGAAAGTCAAGCTAGATTTATTTACTTCATTTTGTTATGTTTTTGTTAATATTCTAGAAGTGCTGGTATTTTGACATTAGTTGATATTTTGGCATAAAACATTTTTTCAGACTAACCTGTAGGAGTCTCTGAAGCTCATTGTGTCATGTCCAGAGTCTTCCTGGTCCTCCTCAGAAACCTTGAAACAGACCTTCTTGATGCCACCATGCTCAGCTTTGTCAGGATCACTCTCTTCTGTTCCCAGAGAAGGTGGAGACGACTCCTCAGTGGATGGTGGCTCACAGGCACCACCTTCTGTAGGTTCTGTTATGGTGGACAGAAGTCTGCAGAGATAAAATATGGGGCTGTCAGGAACTGGTGGACAGTTTCACAAATGAGATATAATGGCTATGACCAGAATTCAGCTATGTGAAATCAAAGACAACCTTGCCAGTATTTGTACATGGACTATAGCTATGTAAAATCGTGAACTCTAAAAGCGGTTCACTGAAACCTGTTTATCTCAATTCACAACAACTCCTGTTTCTGCAGGAACCTTATCTCCACAAGGGACAATTTAATTGTTGTAACAATGCAGCCTGAAAGGGCTCTGTTTTTAATTCAACAAAGTCTGCAATTTCTCCACCCCAGGCACTGGATTTCTCTCCTGGGGAAGTGCTTGTGCTCACAGGTTCTCTCCCAGCAGCTCTTGTTCTTTCTTAAATGTGTTTGAGCCAAGGCACTACATGCTTTCTGATCAGTTTAAGTTTTTGGTGCATGATGGGCTCTTTTCTTTTGTTAATGAAAGCAGCTGTGGCCTCATGTCACAGCGATCACTCCTGCAGCACCTGCTAGCAAATCCCTTCCAGTTATGTCCAATACACAGACCAACTATTCAAATCCTTAAGTACCATTTCTAGGAGACCTGTGATGATGAAAAGAAAAAACGAAAAGGAAAACAAGTTTAAAAGAGAAAGCTGCTGGAAATCACAAGTTTACTTGGTCTGCCTTATGTCAGACAAAACCTCAAGGTGAGGCACCATGTCTATACAGAGTTCCAAAACCTCTGGCACACAAAACACTCTTACCTGCTAATACAGTATACATTAAGCAAAATAGTGGCTGTTGAATTCAGGAAGATTTTTAGGTGCAAAGGGCAATAGTGAACATAGGGGTGGATCTGCGTGGGATAGGTTTGACACTTCATAATAGTCAATGAGCTGTAAAGCAAATGTAATAAGAGTAAAACAGTAGGGGCTGATAATGAGGCTTCTGGGGTTAACATCTCCCTTCTAATCAGAGTTGCTCTTCGCAGTGCATATTGGATTCTTTACTTACTTATTTATCTGAACGACGTATTGCTTCATTTCCTTCACTGCAATGTCAAGTTTGTTAAAAAGATGCAAGTATGAGTCCTGTATCTCTCGATCTTCCTGTTTGAGCAGAAAACTGAGTCCTCTTTCTTCCTGACTTGTTCCTCCATTCTGCTGGCCAAAACTACCATCAAGATCTCCATCTTCTGGGGTCAGACATCTCCAGGATGGTGCAGCCATAGTGGTGATGCAATGTTGAGTATATGAGACTGGATTTACGGTACCTGCTAAACGTTAAAGAGTCTAGTTAGTATGGCTCTCATGAATCTTAACAATCCAAATGCTAGTTTAGGATAGGTAGAATTTAAAACGAAAATAAAAATGTCACATGATTATTTTATATAATTATATTCCATTACAAAATCTTTTGTTATTATTTTTCACTGTCCCTGTCATACCAACTAGGTGTTTTGAATCTAGTACAGTCCAGAGACAGGTTAAATTCTGGGAGCAATGACAGCACTCATAAACTATCTATTTTGCCCATTTGAGTATCTAAATGCATTTGTTGTTAATGAATTCAACCTCTTGGCAGTTGGTCTGTGTTATTATTCTTCAAGATTTAAAAACATTTACATAACACACGCACATATGTATAAAGACATACATACATCAAGACATAGGATGATGTAATTACAGAAGATAAAATATGTTTTCTTTTTAAAATGCTGACAATTTTGGTGCTATATTTGAAATACCATGGAATTTTAATATCTTCAACTAAGTGGGCTTCTTTATTGATTCATTTTGAATAAAAGCAATATATTCTTCAGTGGATTGGTTAGACTACAATTCACTGTATCTTTTCCAAACATTCCTGAACTCTGACTTTGTTAGACAGTGAATCAGATGCACATTATGAGGTACTATGATGAGGAAATGTTGGAACTCAGGTATTCAAGTTGCAGGATAAACGCTGTGAAGCAGCTACTTTTCAAGAAGTACATCCCCTTGAGACAGAGTAGAGACTTCCAGCTCCAAGATAAGGAATTTATTTACTAATCAGAAAAGAAAATATCTGATTGAACAAGTTTTCAGCCTGAAGGAAGCCTCTCTTCACAGTATAGAACCTTTTCTAGCACTGCTATTACAACACAAGCAATTATTGTTTTACTATAAAATTTTGAAGTGAAAACAAGGGTAATGGCAAGACTTTGTTTCTTTGGAACTAATTTTGACTTCACTGAGCAGTGTAAAGATGCAACTTTCTATGCGAATAAAAATCAGTATGATTTGAAAGTTAAATACCTTGTTCTGGATCAAGACCAATAATAGAAGGTTTTCGTCCAATGCGAATGCTGAACGACCTCCCTGCTGAGGTAGTGTTTTTGGGGTATGACACCTCCATGAGGTTAATATGGCAGTTGGTGGGGCAGAAATCCATGCTGTTGAGGGAATGTGGTTCCATGATGGCTTGTTTGAAGGCTGGGCTCACCTTTGTCTTTAATCCATCTGCAAACTGGCAGAAATAAAGCAAGGATATGCTATTTCATTTGCAAAAAAAAAAAAATATATATATATGAGGCAATGTAGATAATCCTCTTCTCTTCCTGCTTCTTATTGAATCATATGATTCTGCTGTAGCTGAACAGTACATTCCCCATAAAATGCTCATAAACAGCAAATGAAAGCAATTAGCAGTACTTTCTAAGGCACTCTTTTCAACCAGCTCAGGTAACTGCACAGAAGACCACACTTAGTTTCTTTGCACTTTGATATACTGTACATATGCTTATCTTAATTCTACAAATCAAACATTGATCATCCTGTTGTGGCCACATTTATACAGTGACATGGTGGAGATGAGCCTGCAATAATATTTTCCAACTCACAGCTCTGACAAGCTGAAAGGAGCAATTTAAGGTTAAGTTCTTTTTCCTCGGAACTTGCATTCGAGTAACACATAGAGCTGTTATCATGCTACTGTAAAGCTGTTTGAATCCATTAATAAAGACAATCAAAACCCAGTTATCCTAGGCAGAACAGTCTTGGGGCTTCAATAACTAGTAGGGTTGTACCTCTTGGTAGTTTGCAAGCCGCCTGCTAATGCTTTCCAGCTTAGTGTCACAGATCTGCCGGAACTCATACTGGGGCATGGTGGACACAGCACTGCTTAGGGATATAAGCCTTTTGCAATTCCTTACGAAGTGGTTGTCTTCTGCAGCAAAGGCCTCTAAAATCTAAACAAAAAGACAGAATTTTCATTATGTAAGACTTGACAAAATTCCACCAAATTAATGGTAAATCCTGTATAATGTCACGCTTGAGTAAGGTTGTCTTCAGAACAAGTTGCTGTTATAACCACCTGAGAGCCATTAGCCTGTCTACTCCTCAGACAAAAAAACATTTCTCAGAAACTTTCAGAACAACAAATTGCTCAAGATATTCACTGCTCACTGCCAAGGTAATCTGGCTCTGGCACACTTTGACTTTCATTGAGCTTAACAGTAATGTCACAGGGATGTGATAGAAACATTTACTATTATCTCATCATTGTGCATAGATGGATCCAAATACATGGCACTGTTGTTTTGCAGTAGCTATGTTTCTATCTCATTCTTTCAGTGATCCATCCAGTCCATCAGATGGGGAAAAGAAAAAAACCTTGATTTTTTATTTTTTTTTTTAAGAGTAAAGGAAATTCTTGCCTGAAGAAATTAATCTTCAGTATCATCAAAAAGTACATTACCTGTCAGAAAATAGAAAGAATTCCAACGACTCTTAGTTCCAGAGAGACTCTCCTATCTCTCCCTCAACAGCTGAAACCTAGGAAGATTTTGCTCACTTGCCCACAACAAATGAGAGCTAGTTTGAGTCAGTCCATTTTAATGAGGAAAACTCCAGGCAGAGTTGAGACAGTTGCGTGCTACCTCATCTGAAGTAACAAGACAATTATAGAGAAATGCCCATATTATTCTCTTCCCAGTTCTGTTCAGGAATGAAGCTGGCCATGTATGTTGGTCAGATACCTTTGCTGTGAGACAGAAGCAACCTTTTGGTTCCACAATTTTCTCTAGGACAAAGGATTTGATTCCTGCACTGCTGACATATTCATATACCACCCCATGCTCCAGGTGAGTGTTATCCACAGTCAGGCTAATGAGAGGTGTTTCTTCACCACTTATCAGTGGAGAGCTGACAGTCTGTTGTATCTGGGCTGGAAACAAAATAAGTCATTAGAGGCGTTCAGCAGCACACATGAATTCAGACATGCAGAGGAAAGAAAAATCTGTTGAGAGGTATTAAATGCAAAGACACAAAGATACAACTTCTGGCTCAAGGAGTCTGGGAGGGTATTGTGAAGAAAACATTTGCTGTTGGCCACTACAAGAGTTTTAGACAACCCACATGCTCCAGTTCAGATTCTGATGTTCTTCCAAGTGTGCACATGCACAGCCATGCACAGAACACCATTTTAGTTCTGTTCAGCATTCACATACATAGTCCTTCACAGAAGCTTTCAAAGGGAAGTATGCTAATCTTAGAGCCTTGTTGTTTCTAACAACCCACTGGAAGAATGCCGCTTTTCTGTTGAAGTTTTAGGAAGCTAGGTGATCTTTGAGGTCCTTTTCAACCAAGGCCATTCTATGATTCTATTAAGTGTTCCAGATGTACTTTCTGTACAACTGTAAGACTGAGATGGTAGGGCAGAGACAGGGTGAGGAGATGACATTTTTAAATAAGGGCAATAACATTGTCATCACAGAAGAAATTTAAATTTTAATCAAATTGAGATTTGCCAGAGGACTGCTCCCTTGCCTTTAGAAGCACCCCTCCTGCTGTTGCAATGCCAAACTGCACTGTTTGGCCTTCAGACTACCAGCCTCAGCAGTCCTTACCTGGGATTCACAGAGATGTTCTTGGAAAAGTTGCCAGTGGCATTCAGAGAATCCAGGCTCAGACCTTTGGAGCGGATCTGGCTTCAGTATTCTCCCCTACCATCTACTTTTCCAAGATGGAAGAAATATGTTCCCCCCCCACCTCTTGCTGACACAGTGGTAACACGCTCTGAAAACTCACTCCAGATCAAAATTATGTAAATGAAGTTAAAATGGAGCTACTTGCAGACCTTCCCCTCAAGCTGCTACTGCCCATAAATTCCTAGTTTGCAAGGGCTACCAAATGGTTCTAAACATGCTGAACTATTCCATTTCAAAAACTGGCTTTTGTGAAGACAAGGGATGGGATCTGATTACTTTTATGGCATCCAGCAAACTGAAAAATATCAAAATATCAAAAACAAAGGCAGTACCTTAAGCCTGAATCTTGTTAGCATCCTACATCTACCAGTGTGTAAACACATCTTATTCAGCCAAATAACATAGGTTATCTATATCTGCTTCTAAATTGTGCCTGGACTTGTCCACACAGCTTTGCTTGCATTTTTTTTACAGGTTCTAATAAGAATATATACCTTTTTTTTTTTTTAATAGCCCATAGTAGAAACTACAGAGCTAACATGTAAAATAGAGTCCAGACATCTCATAGGAAGAACCTCCTTTATCATTATTTTAAACTGGCTTTTGTCTCCTACTTAGATTTTCAAAGGACAGTTAATGTCTCCTTCAGGCCTTTTATTGAGTATCTTGGCATAAGAGAGGGCCTTCAGCCATGAGAATGGTTTTCTGGTGGGGAGTATGCTGACGTGGCAGAATCACTGTGTGATTCTGGTATATGGCTTGATACAAAAGCAGTCAACAAAATAACTCAAATCATTACCTACCTGAGCATGCAAGACCCTATGTCATTTACTGAGGGACTTGGGCTATAACAGCTAATAAAAAGCAGAACAAACAACATATTTTTTTCTCTACTTACATAACAAATGGCATTGCTACGTATTATAGAGATTCTCTAAGGCACTTGCTGGAAACAAACATCTAAGAATTCACTTAGTGATCCTAACAATCATATTTTCTGTTCAGGAAAGAGCCCATAACTCCAGAGAGTTGCAGGGGTATGATTTCTATGTGTATCTCTTTTTTCATTCTACTAAATAAACTGCAAGATAAGAGCACTTCCTCTGACAGACCTCATTTTATTACAAAGCTTTACTAGCACAAGAGATATTCAGGAATAATCATAACACTTTATATTTCTACTGCAGTTTTCCTTTTCTAAGCCCCTAAATCTTCCCTAGGTTTCCTTCTCCTGTTTAAAATCTTTACCTGATTCCTGGTGGATATTTTGAAGTGGATCCAAATCTTCATCTCCTGTCAGTGAAGTGTCTTCTTTGTTGGACCCTGGATGACTGCCATTCAGATATGCACTGGATGCTGCTTGCTGAACTCTGTCCTCCTCAGCATCTTCATGTGTTCTGTACACCCACTGGTACAATCCCTTGCAAGAAATTATGACCCCAGTAAAAAATGCTCAGTGTCCATAGGGCTGGATTACAAAGGTGAATCTAGCTGCCAGTTGATTTTTATCTTCTACACTGGCTGAAATATGAACGTTATCCCAGTATTTGAATTTCAGAGACTAGAAAATCAGCATCAGTATCTGGGTGCACTTCAAGTCTTAGTAAGCAGCTAATAACGTTTAGTAGTGCATGAACTGATACACATGCTATTGGTACATGCTTTTGCAACTATACACAGCTGGGATTTACTGTAATCAGCTCCCTTGGTTACACTAGGACTTTGGCATGGGAGCAAGTTGAAAGAGGCTTGTGTAAGTTGCTCTTATGAACATTTATAGAGTATAAAAACACAGAAGAAAGGGAGGAATTAATGTACTTTGAGGTTTTGTATTCATACCAGCACTTCCTGTTGTTTGGTCCTGTATGCTGTAAAGTGCTCCAGAACATCCATATAATTTCCATGTGATGCATTACTCCCATTGACTTTCAAAATGCATTGTCCTGGATGAAGGCCTACAGCTGCAGCCTCAGAACCTGATAAAAACAACAGCAGGGGAGTTAGGCAGAAAAGCCTATGACTCTGACTATGGAAGAGAAAATTGAAAAGGTTGGAAAGGGTTTCTGGTAAAGAACAGCAAGAAGGAAAAACAGCTGAATGCTGTCTTTTCAAGGCTTTTGCTAAGTCCTTATTTGAAGAGAAGTTAGTTGTATGAGACAAATGTATCTATCCTTCAGAATTTCTGTAGTGCTGGGAGAAAAAGAAACTTGCACCATGCTTGGTGTATATGTACATACTCTTATGTAACATATATGTACTCCAGCTTAATTATACCACAGTCTTCCTACTTACCTCTTCCTACTGCATGAACATATGGTGGTGCTGCTCCCCGTATCTGAAAGCAAAGTGCTTCAGGACAATCTGGGATTTTAATGATCCTGCAGGTAGATCAAGAGGAGGAGAAAACAACATTTTAAGTTAAGCTGTTAGAGCTCTAGGCAATGTTAAAAGCCTTTTTCTTTGGCATTCGCAACTGAACTTTGGATAGAGGAAAGCACCCAAATAGTTCACAAATAAATAAAAAATAAAAAGACTTGAAGAAATCACTGACTACATCTACATTCTCTGAGGCAGATGGGAGATTTTCTTTCTTAATTAAAATTTGAGATTTGCAAATTTATTAATTTTTAAGCAAGTAATGCAGGACAAAAACTTTCTATGGTACTCATATCCATATTTATTTCCATTTCCAGGGAAACCTCAGTACAGCTGTACTGACATACAGCAGCTGAGGATCTCTGCAACAAAAATAAACAGACAAGAATCCAGCATCAAGTGATAACTGGGAAGGTTCAATTTCATAGGAAATTAGGAGGTTACAAAATTTAGCAATGTCAAAGATATTAACAGAATCATGCCTCATAATAAAGTACCATAATGGACTGAAAATGATATGGGCTGATAGAGTTAGTTATTCAAAAGTAAGGCAAGCTTCAACAGAGTGGAAATTACTTTTGCTTGAACAGGTATTAGGGTCTGAGATATTTTATATCTGTGACAGATGACAGCCCTTATGGGTCAGGGTTTTTTTTTGCACAAATAGGCCAAAAGTTAACTGCTATGTCCAGAACATATATCCTAATTCATTTCTAGATGTATGGGATTCATCACCAAAAACAATCTGTGACTTTTGTACCATAATCATTTCTGTCATTTCCCTGTTTTCCTGTTGAACAGTCTCTTATTCGAAAGACTTTACACAGCTCTCACTACAGACTGTAGAAAACATATTTAATAATTGAAAAATAACCCCCCCCTGCTTAGCACTTACTCTTTTGATTTGATGGCTACCAGAAGCCTAAGTGGCCTTCGTGAGCAGAAGGACTGGCTTAAAATGGTTTCCACTTCTGTAAACGGGCGTAGGAAGACTAAGTCCTCATTGATGGAATAGATTTTCCTTCCTGCCTGCAGGCCAGCCATCTGCAAATGAAACCAACACCACAGAAACTTTGGATCATTGATAGTATCTCTGAGATTTCAGGCTCCACGGTGTGTTTAGAGAGGTTTGACTGCTATTGGCAGTTCCAAGGCTTGCAAAAAACTGTATATATTGTATTGGTTCATCAAATCCTTCATCATTCATCCTTAAAAGTCATCTGCATTTACAAAAAAAACCAGATTTCGCCAACAAACCCATTGCAGATATATATATCTTGCTTTGTACTTTTCTGCCACATTTTTTTGTTTCCTTAATAGGAGACTTGAGGCTAGCTGTGTTACTCAGTGAGATAGAGTAGCGTGATTTCCTACAGCCTACAGGCTGAGCACAGGAACAAGTTGTTTTTGGTCCCTAGCCATGCAAAAACAATCTATACCTAATACCATAAGTAAATGCAACCTGTGGCAGTATAATCCTGCCTATGCTTTAAATGAAGTACTTGCTCTTCATCAGAATAAAAGGACACAATGTTTTCATTTTAATTCCTAACTTTTTCATCTAACTTTAGTCAGAGACAGATTCAATGATAGAATCCAGATCCCCTGTTCTTCCTGCTGGACAACAACCCTAAACATACTCTAAACATAAACCTTTCTGCATATCAGTAAAATGTGAATAGTAGCACCTACATTGGGCGTTAAGATATCAAGAAAATATCAAACTTCCTTTTAGTGAAGTAAAAATATATAAATAAACATGAGTCTGTGGCTTCAACTATTAACCCTTTATGGATTAGTATTATTTCCCTTTACTTCTGAGTCCAGCAGTTGGGCTTGTTTCTAAATGTGACAAGCCCTTTCCCTGTTCTGCCTGGAAGCCATTGGCAAATGTCTGGACTGGGAGAAAGGAAGTTAAACAGTATTCCATAAATCTCTTAAATATGTAACTCTGACCTCTGAAAAAAACAAATCTGTAAGTGTACGACTGGAAAAACTTTGACAATGCCTACACATGGCTTGGCTTTTCCTAAATATATCAGAGATCAGTTTATCTACACTTTCCTATACTTTTTTTTCCCCTCAAAATTAATGGGGAAAACTACAAAGTGCTCTCCTTGGTTTACTTGCTAAGCTTTCTACAGTTCATAACGTCCTCTTCTGTACCCACACTTAACGTTTTTTCCTTTTTGTACATAATGCTCTATAAAGCTGATAGTATGTATAAATAGCAGTAGATAGGCATTTTAGCTTAGAATAGAATTTTGTAAAGTTTATTATTCAGAGGAAATGTTCATGCTATTTGCATTTAGAATCATAGAATCATTTAGCTTGGAAAAGACCCTACGATCATCAAATCCAACTACTTACACTGATGAGTTTATTATAAAGTAATAATTGTACTATACATTTCTAAAGTCATTATGGCTTAGGTCTGATTTTCTCAGAGTAGCTCACACACTTAGTGTACGTGCAGCTAACTAAAATCTTTGCATATCTGCAATCATTCTACCAGTGGATGACCTCTTTATATTACCAACTTACTGCTTGTGCATATGGGAAACCTACCTGCACACATAATCATAGTAGATCTGTAAATCACAGCTCCACATGAATCCCTACAAACAAGTAACTTCAATCTAAACATCTTTTACTCTATCAGGATTTAACTAAGCCGGCTAATAACAAAATGACAACCTGTCTAAGAGTAAAGACCTGCGATGTCACAGCACTTGCACTTCATGGATAATGGATGCTCCTCATGACAACTCAATGCAGCTGCCTGGATCCAGGCCACTGTATTTTCCCACACACCAGCATTATTCCTAGCTTCCAGCTTGTTCTTTGCAATTCATCTGCATGGCCACTGGCCAAGCGGCTGCGCTTCGAACACATGCTGTTCAAACACCAGACATCTGCTCATCACTTGACTGTTCACAGTAAGACAGCAACTACACCTCCCAAAAGGATAATCTTTATTACTGTTGTTTCCTTCTGATAGAATATAATTCATAAACCAGCTCCAAGATTAAAAGCCGGGGAAGAAGTCCAGCTGTAACTAAGCTACAAGTGAGCTAGGTTAAGAAAGAAGGTAAGGTGCAAACTGAGGAGATGCTGACTGGTTATGGAATGTATTTCTGAAGGCACATGATTTTGGGATTGGCATGAGATGTGCCATATCTAAAACCAAAAAGCCACCTGTGGCATGTGCATGAAGTTCAGTGCTGTGTGCCACCAGAGCCTATGCATGACAATTTTGACCCTGGTGTACTAGGAGATCAAAATGCCAAACTGAAAAGCAATGCACTGATCTTTAATAAGTCCATGCAAACTATAGGTTTGTTCAGTTGGTGAATCTGGAATTGTACTCTGGTCTAAAGTCTGACAGTTCTAATGAACATAATGCGCTGTGGTGGGCACTGTGAAGCAAAGCTGTATGTCTTAATTTTTGTCCCTGAAAAGTATGACAGCAGGCATATGGTCTGTAAATGGCCTACAGCTGCTGAACCACACGGAATTACATGCTGGATATCCTTCTGGTATTACAAAGCCATTAAAAAGCCCAAGATCATAATTAAATACATTACTATTAGACTTCAGGTCTTTCCAGAATGAGCCTCCAATTCAGAGACATGCAGATTTAGTTCTTTTATTGAGCAATATTTTATGTTGAGGTTGAAAAGATGGGCTTATGGTCACAAATAATTTGTCTTGGAAGATAAAGATTCCTTAGAAAATTGTGTGCTTCTGTTGTTTTAAAACACAAGCAGATTTGAAGGATATTCCACAGGCAGATTGCCAAAGCAAGGACAGCAGGATTATCTATCAGGCAATGGTTTACAGTGGAAGTTTAAATTAATAACATTTTTGGCCAACCTATGTTGATTTTAAGGATGGAATCAGTTTCTGTGGTGACCACAAAACAAATAAGAATTAGCAATACTGAGGTTATTTAATAATTAAATTAAAAAAAAAAAAAAAAAAAAAATCTGCATTAAGTTTCAGCTCAAAATCCCTTCCTGTTTGACATTCCCTACTTGCTAAAATCAGCATGCTCCAGTCAGCTGTCTGCATTTGGTCAGTCATCCAGGCCTACCTGTAGCCTAAAGATGGGATCAACAGATGACCGTAGACATTCAAATCCTGTAATGGTTGTTCCAGACTTTTATTTGGAAATATTGCCTCTGTGTGCTGCCACACAAAGTGATTTAGTCTCCTGTCTTGTCTTTATAGGTGTAATTCTCATGAGAAAATTTAGGGCATATGTTTTATGGAAAGAAAATCACAAATCTAAAGTCTCCACTCAAATATATCTGTTTGTTGTTGTACATCTCCACTACCCCAGCCAACATTACTTGCCCTCTCTCATCAGATTTATCTGGTTCCACATCCTGGGCTGCAACAAAAGAGGGGTGGTAAGAGAAGAAGGTGATTGTCCCCCACTAACTTGTAAGGCCCATCTGGAGTGCTGTGCCTGGGGACTCCAGTATGGGAAGGATGTGGAGCTGTTGGAGAGGGTTCATAGGGCCATAAAGGGCTGGAGCACCTCTTCTATGAAGAAAGGTTGAATGATTTGGACTTGTTCAACTTAGAAAATAGAAGGCTCTGGAGAGATCTAATTGTGCCTTCCAGTACTAGAAGAGAGCTTACAAGCAGGAGGGAGATCAACTTTTTGTGCAAGCAGATAATGACAGTACAAGAGGGAATGGCTTTAAGCCAATGGCTTTAAGAGGGGAGATTTAGGCTAGATGTTAGGAAGAAATTTCTTACTCAGAGGGTGGTGAGGTGCTATAACAGGTTGCCCAGAGAGGATATGGGTGCCCCAACCGTGGAGGCATTATGGGCCAGGCTGGATGAGGCCCTGGACCCTGACCTGGTAGTTGGGAACTTTGGTTAGTTGGTAGTCCAAGGTCTTCAAGGTCCCCTCTGACTTCAGGCATTCTATGATTCTATGAACCAGAGGTATCCTACCATCACATAAAGATACTGTTGCTGTCTGTCATCTATGAGAAATATTCAGCAAGAAAGTCACTAACAGATGCCAAAACCCTTGGTAATTTACATAAACAGTTTATTACCAGAGGAATTGTAGAAGACTTCAAATTTTCTGTTAGCTGCCTTTAAAATAAACAGGCTTTAAGAGGATAGTTTTATACCTTTTTAAAACACAGAAACATTATTAGCTAGGAAAACCAAAATATTTACAATTATCAGGCCTTACCTCTGCAGAAGACCCTCTTCGAACTGACTTCACCACAACTGCTTTGTTCTTCTCTTCTATGTCAAATCCATAGTCATCCTCCTCAGGTAAAATCTTAAAAACAAAAAGAGCACCAGGCAACACTTCATAAATATGGAGTGAGTTGAAAGGCTGAAGAATGAAGTTCAGAAACTGGACTTTTCATTTAAAGCCATGATTGACATACACTTGCAGATCTTAAGGTCAAAAGGGACTATTGGGTTATTTGGTCTGAACTCCTACGTAACACGAGCCATTACATTTAATCTATTATTTCTGCACTGATCCCCTTAGTGTACTAAAGCAGAATTTCTTGGCAGTTATCCAGCTATGATCTGCAGTCTTTAAGAAGTGAAGAATGTATTCCACCCCCGTGAGGGTTTGTTCCAATAGTTAATCAATCTCCCACTAAAAATGCATGCTTCATTACTCAGTTGCTTTTGGTTTAAAATTCTAGCCCTTCATTTTTTGTAAGCTATTTCAACTTTCAAGAATTCATTAATATTCTGTATTTTCTGTTAGTAAATACACTTACAGACCAAAGTGAAGTGACTTACTCATTGCTATCCATTTTACATAAATTGGGCATCTTATGCCTATTTCTTATAGATAATTCTACATAAATCTACATCACAAGAGTTGGTCAGCTCGATTTAATCATTACTCATCAGTTGTGATGTGTAAGAGAAAACACTGCAGGAAGACATACAAGACTCACGCAACATGCTCAGTCTGTACACTTCATGGTTGGGAGAAGATTGCTGTTCTTGCTTCTGGGAATCTGCTTCCTTTTATTTGCACTGAGGTCACACAGACCAACCTTATCGATATTTTTTTGAAATCATACAAATTATGGCAAATATATCATTCACCCATCCTTTTCTAGTGGTTTATTAACAATGAAAAAAGCTTAATAACCCACTAACCATTTTAAAAAATAAACTAAGCCTGGCCTCTGGTAAGTGGACAAATAGAAATTCTAGTGGATAAACATCTTGCTGTGAGTTAATTCTACAAATTTAAGGGCTATCCAATGAATCAGAATTGAGTTGAGAGGAGAAATAAAGCTATCTATAATCTAGCATGCCACTAGGAAAAGCACTATGAAGAATTACTTGATTCTGATGATTCCTGCTATCTCAGAATACTGCCCATTAACCACTAAAGTCAATCATCTTAAAATGTTGTCCTTTTTCAGGATTTAACCTTAGGAAAAAAACCTAAAGAAATAGAATCATCCTTTCTTGCAAGAGCCCTACAGCCACATTAAAATAATGCTTAACACAAAAGACCTGCAAAACAAAAATCCTTCTAGAGGACATTTAGATTAAATGATAAAAAGGAAAGAAAGAAAAGAAAAAAAGATAAATGCCATTCTTTGACATTCCTAAGAAAATATTTTCAGAAACAATGCTCTTTAAAGTACATTCAATACAAGGAGAGCTCTCTGTTAATGAGTACACCACCAGTTAGATTTTTAGTATTGCAGGTGTAATGAGTTTCAACCCAATCCAACATGTACTTACAGCACTACATGTCTGGAATTGAACAGAAACTTTTTAGGATACATTACCATCCAATTCTCATTTTGCATTTGAAAGAACTGCTCAGTTTCTTTGATTGGACTTTGAAAGCGTAAGCAAAAAATGTATTTAAAAATTTAGAGGCTTTGATTTGCAAAACTTAAGAATCCATCAGCTACATAAGTCTACATGATCATTTGCATGCAGCTATCATTAAAATGCATGAATACCTTCTGTATGCTAGCATTTTTACTAACCTGTCTTCCTCTGTTTCTTAGTACTGCAAAATGTATTGTTTGAAAGCAAAGAACCAAAGCACATTTAAGAATCCCCAAATGCATCAACATTTGGAGCTTTATCACCATGTTGTAAAGAAAGAAATCTGACATTCTGTATACTGATGTTTCTGTACCAGGAGCATCCTTATGAAAATGTAAAGTATGGATAATATTCTACATGCAATACTTGGGAGAAGACTACGATTCATTCGCTGCTAAAAAGTAGCAATACCTTGCAATTCCCCAGCTGATTACCACTCATCCCTAAGGAGTCCAAACCAATTAAATAACTTGCCACTACAAGAATCATTTCTATGCCCCTGAAATACAATCGGTTCTTTTGAACATTAAGAAAGCAGCTGCTTACTCTTGAAAAACAACCACATTAAAAAAGGTACCCATATGAGATATAAGCCTTTTTAATCAAAAACAGAGGGCAAACATAGTCAGAAGCTATTCAGAGAGAATTTCTGCAGAGATGGGAGGGAAAAGAGGGGAGAAGAAAAGCTATGCAAAGGAAGGTTTATTACACCTGTGTCTGTTACATTCACAAAGCATTTTGTCGCATGGGTCATGAGAGCAGCAGTTAGCAGTGTGGTACCTTTCCTGTATGAGGAGAATTATGGTGTCAGAAAGTGCTTGGGGCATGGAGATGTTCACTGTTTATGAAGGAAGATTTCTAGGAGAATGAAGATGACACAGGTGTGAGGCAGTTTGCTATCAGCTCATCCTCAGCTGCAGGGCAGCTTCTAGCACTGCATACATCTTGCTTGTGGTCATGCTAATATCAAGAGAACATGAGCAGTGGCGAAGTCCTGCAGATAGGCAGATAGATGAGATTTTGTATCCTAATTTTTGAATGGTAGACTGAGGTATGGAACAACTTGAGGTCCTGCCCAGACCATACAGTGAGTTCAAGCGTGAAATTAAACCAAAACTCAGGTAGCCCTGACTTCTGTGCTCAAACTACTGGCTTTCATTGGTCACACTTCTGTACTCAGGCCCCTGAATGACTTGAATTCCAGGACATGACACAGCGCTGGCTGTGAATTGCAGTGAGACACTGCAACTACTCTCCTGTAACTACTGCAGCACACTACTGGGAGCTACTGGATGCCCTGGAAAAATGCCCAGGTCTGGAAACTTGAGATTTAGACTTAGAGTCCAGATCACCAATTCAGCATGGTGGTTTTGAGAATGCTGCATAAAATGTACACAGGTATCACCTTTGAAATCAACTGAAATGCTTTCTTTTGAGATCAGATAAATATATGAATATATCATATAAATATATGTTGCAGTCTTCTGCAGACTGCATTGTCTATGTACCATTTACCTTGGGCATCTGTCCTTGTTTGATACCAGCTTTAATTTGCATTGCAGTTGGCCTGGGCTAACAAATAGATGTGCTGATCACAGGTTCACAGCGTACTGAAATAACCAAGCCACAATGCTTGGAATCAATCCAAAATCCAAATTTTTTTCAACTATAAAAGAATGTTGTATATTTTTTCAGTGCATCGAGATTTATGTCCTCCTGTAAGAAACAATTGCACAAATAAATGTGTATCAAACTTTGTTTGAAGTGCATTATTTCAAACAAAGCACTGTTTTCCCTTGATATTTCCAATGATATATTCGCCAAAGCTTCTGTTGTTTTCTGTTTTCAAGCTCTCCTGTGATAGAGCAAACTTAGATGAATGGATAGGATTTGTTGCAGTAACCAACAAGGATTTCATGGAAAAAACGTGTTTCTCAAAAAACAGCACTGAAGAAACTCCATTAAACTTCCTATGGTGGGCTTGGAGAATGGGAAGCTTAAGAGGCTTCAGTTTGTTCTGTTCCTTTAGTGAATCCTAATAATTTATCATTACACTAACAGAAAACAGAATCGAGCAACTTTAAATCTCTCATTTTAAGACTAACATACAGTTGCTAGGTTTTGGAATTTTCTGTTTAACAGATAACCTTGAACTGGTAGAAAAAAAATGGAAGATACTAGTCAATCTGTTTCTTCAATCATGTCTTGATAAGGAAGAGAACTAAAAATACCTGAACAATGACAGTTCCCATCATTCAGTGTGCAAAATGATTGCTGAGTGCTTTGCAAATCACAGGGGATAAAGCACCCAAAGTGTAACACCTTTTAACTGCTGCCTTTTATCCAGCACTTCTCCAGGAGAATAATCTTATTGGTCTGACACTCCAGTCTCCAGCACAGGATGCATAGAGCAACAATTCTGAGGTGTCGTGGTGCTTTAAATATTACTTCTTGCCATTGAGACAAACACAGATTGGTCTCCCAAGGCAACAGTGAGACAGTAAAGTTCATGTGAACCACAGGGAAAATTTTCCCATGTAATGGACCTCTGGATCTTTTCCAACAATTCTGTTTTTGTAGTTTCTGACTCAAGCTTTTATCCCGCTCCTGCATTCTGTTGTTGTTCAAAGGGAGAAAAAGATGGGCCTGAAGCCTCAAAACAGAAAGCATGCACAATCCAACTACTACCAAGTGCAAAGCAGCATTAGAATAATCCAAGCACCATAAGAACTGTAATGGCATTCAGTGAGGTGGGGGATATGGGGAGAAAATAGTGTTGCAAAAGAATTAACATAAAGAACAATATTTTCTTGAAACTGTTTTCTGTAAAACAAAATAAGATTGATATTTGATCCAGCAATGCAGGGCATATTCACATCACTTGATGCCTGAAAACGTCTGTGTTTTGATCAGTTGTTTAACTCCTCTCTGAATCTACTGCCTCTATAATGGTGCTTAAACTGTGTTTACACTTTGTGGCAGATCACTCCCAAGATAGTACTGCTCACTGCTTTCTCCTCCACCACACTAACACTGTGGTGCATGCTCAGCAAACTCCAGGGCTATTAAGACAACATCCTGGTCCCAGCTCACTTCCATGTCTCTCTCAAGGGCTTTACAGGAGAAGAAATGGGTCTGGCTGTGAAATGGATGAAATAGTCATATCTGTGAGACTCCTCTTTTCTTGAGACCTGTCAGAAATAGGCAGGAACTTACTTGCATTTGTCGTGGGTGTCTGTAAGCTTTCAGGTAGTGCAGTAGGTCTGGTCATGTGCTAGAGAAGGGAGCCTGCAACTCACTCATGTCTCTTGCTACTAGAATAAGTTGTGTAGTCTGCCTAGCTAGAAGAGTTTAACTGCAGAAATTGGAGTTCTGCAGCAAAATAGTTGAAGAATTAGTATTTTTGCAGTAAAGACAAGTCTAGCTAAACTGTAGTTCCAATTTTTATTCTACTCTATTCACTATTTTCCTTCTCATTCCATAGCACAAAATAATACCAATTTCATAGAAAAATAAAAGTTTGCATTAACATATTTCTTACCAGAAGACCCTTTCCCAGGATGTTTTCCACAAGCTTAAAGTCATTACGTAATTGTTTGCTCTTGGAATTGGTGCCTTCCATCTCTTCATCAGCATAAAAGCGGAAATACAAGGATTCATCCTTAAATTCACTTTTCTCCAGAACTGGAAACAATATATATGAAAAACATACAAGCATTTACACAGAGCAAGACACAAAACAGAAACAAAAAAAAGAAAGTTAACGGAAATCCTAAGTATTTCCCCTGTCTTTATAGACCAAAGACCAGATGCATCCCCATCACTAAACTATTCAGCTCTATATTTTTAAGCTACTACTGTATTTTACGGGCATACTTTTCTTTGCAGTGCATAGTAGTTCGTGATGCCATGTTTGACTTCCCTGACAAATATATTTCATACAAAATGCAAATGATCCTCTTGGAAGAAAGATGCTACTCAATATTTTGGGCCTCTGTCCCATACCAAAAATAATATGGTAAAACCATACAAGAAAGAAAGAGGAGTAAAATACCTCTTTAAAGGAAAGAGTGACGGCTAAACAGCTTAAGACTTTTCAATAAAAATGGTTTGAAAAGAAAAAGAGATCTACAAAATTCTGGAAGGCATGATAGAGTTCTTCAATGTATTTTCAAGTATGAGACCTGGAAGGCCACAAAATAAAAGGTGTAAGTGACAACTTTGAACCTCGAGGAACTACTTCTTCATTCATGTATACTTTGCTGAGGAACTTCTTGCCAAACTGTGCTGTGACTGCCAAGTGTTAACATGGACTCAAAAGAGATCAAATTCTTCAATGAAAATCAATTATTCTTACATCAATTCTTTATTAGTTACTTAAAATATTCTGCTCTCAAACAGACAGAAAGTGTTATTTATGACTTATGTTGATAACTTATTGGACAAATACTGTTATACTCTGAGGACTTTGCAATTTGATACCAATACAGTTGTGGTTTCTTTTCTTTCTCAGTTCAGCAGCAGCAGCACTAAGGATGGTTGATTCCTAAACTTGGCAGTTTGCTACTTCAGATTTGGAAGCTTCAGAACTTCAGCTTCAAGGATTACACTTTTTGTCCAAGCTGCAGGAATTAGGCAGTTTTACTTTGTACTGGACATTTCTTGAGCAAGATTTCAGTTCAGTACTTAGTTTATGCATTGGCCAGATGCCAATGGGATGCAGCAAAAAAATAATCCCCCTCTAGCTCATCTAATCACTGCAGTGTTCACCGTAGCTGGTATCAAGGGGATTTACTTGGGAGAGTACTCAGCTCAGACATTTTACATTAAGTTCAAAGGTTGTTTTTATATGGACCTGCTGGGATGTCAGGAGTTGTTTGCATGTCAGTATATATGGCACAATATATAGAAAAGGGATTTGCAAACACTGTCAGCTAGTATGACTAAAGAGCGCCTTTAATTGGCTGTAGGGAGGGATATTGATGCATTACCATGATGCATGAAACCATTATTGCAGAGTCCAACACCCAGTGCAACAGCTTCCTCACGAGTCTGACAGTCTCCCTAGAAACAAGACAATAAATGTTATACCTCAGACAACTTCCTAAACTAAATTATTTCCCCTCCCCATCTCATGACTTGTGGCTCTGAAATTAGCAAATGCTCTCGGTAGGGAACAAAAGTAAGCAATTTATATAGCTACCCCCCTTGTCCAAATAGCATTAGTTCCTATATATGCATCTTTTACCTCTGACAGGAATTAGTAGGACAAAGACCAGGATTCTGGAATACAACTGTTTAACATACAAAGGGATATAACATTATCTCAAAGTAAAGACTTCTTATTTCAGTTATAGTGTCAGACTTCAGGACCCATTAGGCACAGACAATAAAACTCAGACAGAGAGGTTGAGAGATCTTATCTATACTCAAAACCGAAGGGAAGAAAAAAAAAGTGTATTGCATGCAAACTGCAGAGGTCGGGCTGGTTAAAACTGCAGCAGCGCTCTATTTCCTTACACAGCAGTCTGACAAACAGGATTCAGTTGCTCACTACCTGAAGCCTTGAGTGTAGTATTTCAAAGCAGGTACCAAAGGTGACTTACAAATTTACTTTGAAAGAAACAGCATTACATTTTGCATTAAATTTTGTGGGCTTCACATCCTTGTTAAGTGGAGCAGTAGCTGTTTGTCAGGCAAATACTGGCAAAAAATACTATGGTGTAAAGGTAGTACTTAAATGCAGAATCAGTTCTTTCAGTCAGTTACATTACTGGCTCTTGTTTAAGGACCTTCTTATTCTAAGGAGCAAGAAAAAGTCATGACGTTTGCAAATCAAGAACTAAGTACTATTGTATAGGCAAGAAAAAGACTGGAGCAACCCTGGAGGAACTGCAGGATTATGTAATCACACAAGGAGAGGCAAGCAAAGGGCTTCAGTACACCTGAAGTTTAATTCTTATAAGAATTAATTTCAATCCCTGTCAGTCTTTCCTCGTTTTTAACAGCCTGCCATGTGACAATTCTCATGGCTTACTTTACAATAATTTATGAGATAAATGGGTAGTTTACAGAGGTTGGGACTTAAAAATCTAATTTATTCTTTCAACTGTAAATAAACTGAAAGATAAGAGACTCCTACAGTTATTTTTTTAACCTTTAGATATCTGTTTGTGTTTTAGACAGCAATATGTGTGTAGGAAGGCCATAAATCATATGCAATTCATACTAGATCAGCTTATTCCTGATGCTTGATCTCAAAACATTCCCCTAGCAAAACAGCATTGTCTAATTAAAGAAAGTAACAGGCAGTTATCAAATCAGGCACCATCACCAATATTTTCAAGAACAAATGCCTAATGTTAAACTGACACATTGATATTTGAGCAGTTAAATAAACAGCCTTTTGCAAAAAGCTGAGCGTTCAACAACTCTCACTAAAATCTATTGTTAGCTAGCATAGCAATTGAAAATAATTCAGTCAGGTATGAAAGCTGCAAGCAAACTACTGTTTGTAAGAATTCAGCAGCAAAAACTGATTTAGCTACAAAGACTGGAACTCATCTAAGCTGTAGACAGTGATTTAAATATTTAACAATGTTCCCTTTAGACATAACACAGAAAATTTCCGCTCATCCTTGTACCATTGTATGTGTATGCATGGACATATGTGCATAATGCAAATTACACAGAATTCTATATCTCCATTTCAGGTTTTAGTACAAACTGTTTCAATCTTAATCTAAAAGTTCAGTAAATAGAGAACTAATAGCATACTAACACACCAGAAAGAAAAAAAATGGGGAAGGAAATGAGCAACCTTTTCCCAGAGGGAGAGGTGATCTTTTACACTGACATTTGGGTCTTTCTACTGTCTGTGGTATTGATTAGTTGTTGTAACGGCCAGATTAGTCTGATTTCAGCTCTGTTTTTTGGCCAAAGCAGATTTCTTTCCTTCAGCCTTCCATGAAGACTGTTAAATTACACGTAATTGATACAACAATTTCAGTACTAACGTGCTTGCTCTCCTCCATGCTTTTAATAGGAAAACAATCAACTACTCCATTCTCATTTAGTTATTTAGCACAGAACAACCTTAAATTATAGCGATCTTACTAACATAGAAGGATGTCATGTGCAATTATAGGAAACATTTCTGACAAACAACATCCCTGGTAGTCAGAGGTCTGACTCTAACTCAAACTAGTCGCCTGCTGTGCCATTTTGGCAGTATAGGACTTGATGTGATTGTAAATCAGACCATCATTTAAGACAAAACCAGAGCATGCAGTAGACCCTACGGCAGTGAGCAAGGGGACATACTCTCCCCTTAGACTGCTTTAGACTGTGAAAGCTAAATTGTAACTACCCTGATCTATAGGCTTTTCTCTGTAATTACAAGGTAAGTATTGGGCAACTCCAATTTGTAAAGATAATGGTGCAGGTTGTGGTATGAAGCTGTAGATTCATTCTTAATTTGTACCACATCAATCCTAGATTATAACAAATGAACACTGCATTTAATGTCTTCAAAAAAGAAATCACAAGAAACAGAAATGGTCTGCAGTAATGACCAGTTCACCACTCCTAGGGCTAATACAGGACCTCCTTCTTCTTTATGCTGCCAAATAACAAGCTTTGACCACATGAGCAATAAAATGAGTGTAAATTCAAAGAAATTGAATATATTCAATTATATTAAAATGCCCTCTAGAGAAATGTGTTATATTTACTTTTAAATGGAACTGAAAAATTAAGCTACTTCTCAAAGACAGCAACGTCTTAAAAAATCCGTACCTGTGCAATAAGCCAGTCCACCAGCTTACTTGCAGGTATTACTGATTTGTAGGTCTTTAGGTGATAATCACGGTCTCTAAAAAAGAGAATTCAGGGAAAATCAGGCATAACTAAAGAACGAAACTTTCATGGCCACTGGGACCATTTCACAGTCTATTTATATCTGGAATGGCAACTCAAGGGAAGTCTTAAGTCTTTGTGTCAAATCAACCTCTTCATTAGTACCACATAATTTTATATTTCCTTTTTCTCTAAAAATATGATATCAAACCACCATCTGAAATTCATCCCACTCAACTTTTCCTTTTACTAATTACCTACAGATAAAAATACGTTCAGTTTCCTTTTATAAGTAAGTGCAACTGAAAAATAGAATGCAGGGTGTGAGAAATCAGAAATGGGGTTCTCACAACTTTGGGGGGGAAAAAAAGAGCAAAAACAAACAAACAACGTGACAGCATTTCCAGAAATGTGCTCTCAGAACAAAAACTTTCCTCATAGTGCTTACACACATTTTTCACGTTGTTCTCACAAATTCCCATGAATTAGATCAGAGACATAGAACCCTTTTTATGTGTAACACTTGTCTGAAACATTTTCCTTTTTATATGTTATCCTCCCAAAGCTTGCTTTGCTGCAAGTGAGGTACATCATCTTCTCCTTGAAATAAACCAGCGTTAGACTTCACTTAAAGAAAATTATAAAGACAAAGGCTATATATAAACTCCCAAGTTGCCAGGGAAAGAGCTAAGCAAAATCATATTTCAAGGCTCTCCACAAAATAATTGAATTGTGAATTTTGATTCCTCCAGATCCTCATGGTTCATGCACTACCTATGCTAAGTCATATTCCTATGAATTAGGAATGTTGCAACACAGAAAGTAGATCTTTCCCGCCCTGCTAACAGGATTGCAGGGATCAGCACTTTGAAAATGCCAAATAAAACAGAGGTCAAACGATAGATCAAAAAGTAAAAAGGGGTTTGCACAACTACCTGCTAGATAAAAGCTAGCTCCTGAAACATTAGGCTTGTCAAGCAAAAAGACATGAATAAGACATGGAAAGATAAGAGCCTGGGGAACTCAGTTTTGTAACACTGAGGTAAAGGGAAGGATCAGTAGGAAAGCCTGAACACAGGCTGAAAAAGTTGAGTCTACCCAGATGGATTCTAAAACTTCTGAGATTCTGCAATTTTGCACCAGTCATGCATAGACACGAGCTGTTACTAACACAAATTAATTCTGACACAAGAAGATTCTCCAGCTGAGATTCTATTACATAAATAGCACATTGATAAAAGAGCAACAAAAATGCTTATTCCAGTTTATCCCGAGAAGGATTTCAATACAATATGAGGGTGAACTTACTTTACCACAGGAGTGTACAGGCAGTGTAGTCGGCAGTAGAGTCGAACACCCTGAAGAGGGAAAGATAGATAGATGTTATTACCTTTTTTTAATTTTACAAATAAAATGCTGACTAGTAGAGCTAGAAAAACCTGGACACTGATGTCTCTGCTCAGCTAGAATCTACTGATTAACTGTTCTACGAAACAAATCCCTTATACTCTGACAAACTATTTTCTTCTTTCCCAGCATTCAGAACCCCAAAAATCTGCCCTTCAATCTCCAACCAACTCCATTCCAATGTTTTCTCCATTAATCTTTCTTCCCAATTAACCCATTATCTAATTTCCATAAGAAGAAATGAAATGCATTAAAAAGGTTTATGGGCAGATATGGGTCATCAGAACTCATCTGACATATATTTATCAGGAAATGCAGTTAAATACTGATGGCTTCTGACTCCCTGAATCATACTGCTCGGATTTTCAACAGACATTTTGCATTATGGCATCCTATTTTCTCCTAAGACCTTTTGTTACAATGTAGTAGAATTTTAATCAGTAGTCTTGATTGCGGTGACAACTTTATTGTTATTTATGGCTAACCTCTGCTTCCTCTCCCTAGAGTGAATGTCTCCTTTGACATTAGTACAGTTAACTGAACAGAATGAAGGTAAACAATACTAGGGATCTCCAACACAACGTGACACTGACATTCAGAGGCAGAGGAAACTCTTTTGAAGGTTCTTTTGCAAATCGCTAGTTTTCAAGTAAGCACTGTAACACAAACCTTGGACATGATGTCTTCCAACTCACTTCTTGGCTTATATGTTCCATCATCATAGCGAAATCTGTACATCACCTGCTCATTCTTAAACTGGTGCTTATCTGAAACTAAAACATCAGTATGATAATTAAAATCAGTATTTTTCCCCCATCATGTTGTTCATAGGCCAGCTGGTCCTTCTACATTTAAGATGTCTTGTTTACATATAGATGCTTATGTGCACTTCTGAATAGCTCCACCAACAAAAGCAACTTTATAAAATCTACATTTCTTCCTTTTGCATAAGATTCGATTTCTGTAAGGCACTGGAAATGGTCCCAGTAAAGGTAATCGGGGTTGTCTGATGTTTTTTGATGAATTTTGAACAAAGTGCCTGCAAATTCCTGCAACAGTTATCACAGCATTAAAGCCATTTTGCAGCTGCCTAAAGCTCTGCAGTTCCAAACGCAGAGAGTATTCTGGTGGGACAAACTGCAGCTGTTAGAAGTATTCTTCTACCAGGATTCTTGAATTTAATTGTGAGTTTCTCCTAAAATTTAAATAGCACTTCTGAGAGACCCAGAATTGCAATTCTTCACTCAGAAGAACTATGCTATGGGCAGTTAAAGTTATTTGGTCATACTTTATGCTAACAGGCTTTAAAGACAAGCACAAAATTTTTGTGTGACAACATTTTTAAAAGGCGCATTGGCTAATGTCAGAAGAGTCAAAAAACATATACAGTTTCAAACACATTTATCCAACAAGCTAAATCAGAAGAGGATTGAAGTCATATCAAACCATATGGGACACAAAAGAGGGAAACCCTCACAATAAAGATTATAATTTAACAATTGGTAGAAATTATCTGTTACCCTGATTCATAAGTACGTGATAACAATAGAGTGCCCAAGAGTGTTCAAATTCAAAGTAAGCTATGAAGTATCTTCTAGACAGTACAATATCCAGTGTAAATGTGCCATTGTTCACAACTTAATATAATGTAGACCAGTAACAACTATGTACAAAGGGGGTGATCTAGAGAACGGTAATCTAAGCAGACAGCAGGTGAGCTGGTGTAGCTCAGTCACTGCAATCTTTCCTGCCTTTGCCATGGCCAGATCTTTGTGCTGGCCTGTCCTTTAGCATTTTGGATGCAGTGTTTCACAGTACAAGCACAACACTTGATGAACTGAGAAAAAATACTATTTAAGGTGCACCTTAGGCAGTTTGATTAACCTGAAACAACTGACTGCACTGTTAGTCCAACTCAGAAGTACTAGGATTCAGTTTGAGATTTAGTCTGCCCCTTGCAAAGCACATAGGACAGTTTTTTAGAAGGCAGAAGCTAGAAATTCTAAAGACTTTTCCTCATAATGTAGGACAACTTGGCCCATGTTTTAGAATTAAAAACATTAGAAAGTCATGAAGATTTCTGCTCATGGTGATGTTTTTCCTTAATTTCACAGAATAAACCAAAATATGCAGTATCAAGTGCATATATGTTTGTGTGTGGTGGAATCTCACTCTGGATTTTGTATTTCTAAAGCCAGTTGACATTCAACTCTGTAGAAAGTATCTCTTGTGCCCAGAAGATGAGATTCCAGTCAGTTCTGCTGTGTGTTGTAGGTACCAATACTTACATATTACCAGGCCCAGAGAAAGAAAAAAAAAAACCAGAATAAACAGAAACACAAAGGAATGGAGAACAACACTTTGCCACTTAGCAATCTTCTCTGGCCCTGCTTTCCAGGCAGGCTGAAAGATCAGCAGTTTTCATCTGACAGTAACTTTACGCCAAGTGAAAACAAAAGATAAAAGACATTGTATGATGTAGAGTAGGGGTAACTGCTTAATTATGGTGCTTAAGTTTTAAGTTCTTGCTATGTTAAGGGGTGCATAATGAGAAATGTTCTTCTCTAGTTATTTATCAAAATTTCAAGGGATATTTTCTTAACTAAATCAAGCACAGCAAATACTTTCTAATGTCTAGCAATAACTGTCATTGGAGACAGTAACAGCTAGTAACTCAAACCAGAGGTAACATTAAAACCAAATCGGATGCATCTTGTTTGGTGTATTTCAGTAAGAGATGCAGTGGATGTAACAGCACAATTTCCTCCGAGCTATAAATTTGTGTTCAGACAAAAAGAATGGTGCTGAAAGGGTCAGAGTATGAAATTACAGCAGGGTAAGCAGTCATGAATAGCAAGTCTCACTGACAGTGCAACTATACACATTCAGTTTTCATGATTTAGATTTGCCCGCTGCCATTAATTCTAAAAGTCACTAACCACTGAGGATTTGCCAGGTATGATACAGAAGAGCATTTGAACATCATGTGAACAGCCACAGTCAACTGTCCACCCTCATTCCCAAGGCATGGCTGAAATCTGGCATCTCTTTATGGCACAGAGCACTTACCATGATGAATAATTCCATTTTCCAACAGCGCCTGTCCCAGGTTGACCCCTTCCTCTGGTTTGCTTATCTCTCCAATGTCTGTGAGCCATGATACAAACTCACTGAAAAGGAAAACAGAACAGAAACAATTTTCTTTTTCTCTCTGAATATAAGCAGACACGAGCCTCTGCAAGTCATCAGTCAACCACAGGCAACACTGTCTTTGAAGCAAATGTGAAAATTGTTGTGAAGACTGATAGTTCTCTGTGGCTTAATTTCATACATTTCTGGAATAAATATCTGCAGAAGATCCAGATCTCCTATTCGTGACTTTTCCCACCACTCCCCTTAGATCATCCTAATTAACAGCTACACAAAAGGGAAGAAGACCTATCAGAGTCTATAAAACTGCTGCAGATCCTTACTTTATTGAGCCACGATGACCTTAGAAACAAAAAGTTGCACAGAAAGCAGCAACTCCAGTCCAAGCTCTCTCTCCAAGCTGTGTTCACTGTCTGATTTAATTATATATGCTCACCTTTCTTCACTGGCTCTGTTTTTTTTCTCCCTTAATCATGTAATTGTGTAGGCTTTCAATGAAATCGCAGTAGCACTTAGGACAGAAGATTTGAACTCACTGAATTCAAGCGCAGAACAGAACAACCAACCCCCCCTAACAGTTTAATTTAAGGTCATTTACTAAAGCTGGTGCCTTGGAGATACATAAAAGGTGCTTCTAATTTACAGACAAGAAGTGCTAAGTCTGTCTGCATACACAGCATGAAATAAAACCTCTCTCTGTTGAGGGGCAGAGCTGCCCATATGGGCAGAATAAGGGCCAGAAATGGATAGGTAGGATATTACTCAATTAGAAACAGTTAAGTACAGAAAAACGGATATTGCAAGTCCTGCCAAAGCCCTAGGGGACCTGAATTTCCCAGGTTAATTAGTAATTAAGCAAGAAATGCATTAAATTAAAAATATAATAACAAAAGGAACGTACAAAAGTAGAACAACATATGGGAAATCTACGTTCAATAAACCACTTGGGTGCTTGCCAATATGCAGAGGGTTGCTGCTTATCAAAATCAGCATCCATGCCTCCAACTGTGGGCTCTACATGAAGCATTTTTAGTCTCTTCATGTTTATCAGAGCTGACTCATCTAAGCTGTAGGTAGAATTTACATTTTGTCTTTACAATAACAACAACAATTTCAGTAACAAAAATCTGAGTTTGCTGAGGTCCTACTCTATAACTTTCGTAATGTAGAAAAAGCAGAACAATCTGTTCAACTACATCAGGGGAATCCCATGGAAAACAGCAGACTTTAGTAAAACTCCTAAAACTCCTAAAAGTCAGGCTACTGTAGAGTTGAGTCAGGCTCTGTATCTCATAAGGAAATGGAGAAGAAGAAGAATCCTCTGCATCAATTACTGGGAACACAAAACATAGACTCTCTGGAGTGCTCCAGCCAGACGTACTGGCCAATGACAGTAATCACATTAAGCACCCAGGGTAGATGCCCAGGTTGCTATATATTTTCCATCAAATGCAATGGATCCATGACAGTTTGTAACACTTAAACCACTGCCCAAAACTGAAGCAGAACATTGATGACCTCTTAGCTTTCCTACATCTTTCATTTGGAACTGTGTCCCTAGAGTTCATTGGGATTCTAAATGTAAGGCAGTCATCTTAAAGCTTGAAATGGAGAGCTGAAAAAGCAAAATAAATGAATACTATTCTCAATGCTCTGAAGTTTCATTGCTATGGGATAGCTTTCTTAAAAGCCATTTTAAGACTTCCATGGCATTTGACTCATAAGTAAAATCAATAATCATTTGCCTGAAAATTTTATAAACACTGCATAGTGTATGACCCAGAAATATTCCAAGAGGGCTGTTGTTTTTCTCTGGGATATGAGACTTGCTAAAAGGCATCCATTCAAATAATTTGTGGCAAAATTTGATTTGTTTCCCCATCTCATTCTAAGTAGTTCTCAGTATAACTGAGAGCATCTCCACTGCCCAGCACTGCCCTACTGAGTTCTCATTTGGCATACTAGCTAGGATGCCACCTCCCAGCTAATATCTCTGAAATTAAGGGACTGAAAATAGCTGGATTTCTACTCAAGAAATGCATACAAGAAAGATATGAAAATCCAGCCCATCCAGTTTTGTGCAATATTATCAGATATGTCTAGAATCTCCTGAGGTTAACAGATCCTCTCTATTACAAGTACAACACAGTCAAGGGTTTGCAATCAGTTTAGTGCAGTGCTGAAATGAAGCACAGCAAGCATAAGATTTACACGTATTGGCACCGACACTCAGCTTGTGGACTGTATCACTATTTACATGCCTGAATACCAGCACACCTGAAGAGTGGTTAGGAAAATAGATTTATGCTCCAGAAAATAAACAGCTTTATAAGTAAATGCATGTGGTGTTTCTAAAGTTATTAATAATAGTTCATACTCTATTTTCCAGTACAACCACATTTTATTTCTTGAATTATTAGATGCTATCTCTAATATCCAAAGGCCAAGAGAAAAACTGCTTCTGCGGCCTTACTGTTATTCTCAACTGCATTTACCAGAAAACCACTAAGTACATCTCAGCACTGTTCTTAGTTTCTCCCTTAGGCAGGAATAGCTGAAAAAAATAAATAGGTCCCAGCCAAAACAAATTGCTCAGGGGAAGCCCCTGGAATGATATGAAACGTCTGCGAGTCATGACTGGATTGCAGTGATTGAGTTGCACTTAAGTAAGTTGTCCAGAACAGTATCAACATGCAGCTTAAGAAAACATCAGCAGATTATTTTTTTTTAATAGAGTAGCATGGAACATTAGCAGAAATAATGCTGTGGTCAGAGGCCAGAATACCTGTAGGTATCTCAGTTTGGCTTCAAATATTGGCGAAGCAGCGTCAAGCCCTCACTAGCAGAGTCTCAGATGACTACCAAGTAAACTGAGGGTGATGGGCAGGAAAGGTAGTGGGGCATGTAAGAAGACATTTTAAAAGAAATGTAGTAGCTGAGACTATGAAAAAAGTCAGGAAATCCACAACAGATTTGTTTATATCAGAACAACTTCTGATCTGGGACATCTTGTTATTTGGAAACTGGGAAATGCTGGATCATGCCTCCAAGTCACAGCTTAGATGTTTCAATTTGAAAGATAACTGAAGGAGAAGAAAAGAATAAAGAGTAGAAAAGAAGAAAAAAATCTTGAGATGCAAGGAGGTTTTGATAGCAAAATTATTAGCAGCTTATATTACTAACTGCCTTCTAGGCAGAAAGACAGTGCATGATTTCCACATCCTGTACACAAGTAATAATGCCTACAAAATGCCGTTACAGAGACCACAGGGAGGGAAATTCATGGATAATCAGCCATTCGGAATTTCTTTTCCTCACTCAGCTGATTATTTCAATCATAAACAGCTGAGGCAGAAAAGTCTTATCAGGTCAACTGATGCATCTCTCTGTGCCATACAGGACGCTTCCCTACAACAGCCCCAGTGCTGCCATTTCTGATCACTGATCTGAGTCATTCATGGGTCTCTCTTCCAATGCCTCATGCACGACATACTTGAGAATTATTTTGTAATACTTAGCCTGAATGAAAGAGGAATATTTTCCAGACAGTAAATCTTTTAACAAATACATTAGGTTTCTTGATGAATTTTATTTGTGTCTCTTACACTGTCAAACAGGACATTCAGCTCTGAAACGGGATTGATTCTGCTAAATTTAAACATGACCTGGTCTGCATCTGCTTGTATACAAAAGAGGATACAGGTTAGGCCACTAAAAGCCCCGTGCTTGTGGGAGTTCAGGTGTTTTTTCTTACTCCTTTGGCCAATTTGAAACAGCTGTTATGTGTTACTGCTATACAATAGAATGAGCTGTCACTGTACAGCTTGTTCATGGCATAAAACAGAAATTAAGGCTTTTACTGCCTTTTCAATGAAGCTCTATCAAAGCACATCTGATCTACCCTCACAATGCCATCCACAGAAAATCCACAGCTAATTCTTTTAATTAGCATGAAAGTGCCTTTTTTGTTTGAATGCTACTTACTTGCCAAGAAAGCACTTGGGAACAGTACTTAATTTTCTCCTCCTGTCTTTGATAAGGTTCACTTTCTTGCTCATCATCATTTGGTACAGCTTCTCTCCTTTTTCTGCAATCATGACGTATGCATCCCTCTCCATCCCCAGTTTCAAACCTGGAATACAAAGCAGAAATTCCTTCAGATGCAAATCATCAGGTAGAGTGTTTCCCCGATGATAAAAGCAGAGGCCAAAGTGGTAGACACTTGTTTTCCAGATTAAGGGGAAACTGAACCACTTACAGACCTGAACAAAAAGCTGTCGTTTATGAGAGTAGCATCTGGGACCTTTTTTTTCCATTTTTAAAAATAACTTTAAACTCATGGATTCATCACAGCACAGAAAGTAGAACAGTTTACAGAACGTGGCAAAGTTCCAAATAATGAGAGAGAAAACATATATCCCCAGAAACCGGTGCAACTTCATCTTTGACCCTGGAATAACTGCCGTCACAAGACTTGTTCAATGCAGCTAAATGCCTGGCAGAGTAGATCGTTTTTTTGAGTGTTCTATTACTTGAAGTCAAAAATACAAAACTACTGATATCAAATTCACATCCTTAAATAAGTCAAAGGTAGATGGGAACATTATTTTCTCATCTTTTCTTAATTTGCCTGTTTATTAATATCCCTAGGCTAAAAATACAGCCTGAAAATCATATTATCCAGTAAATGAAAGAAATGCTGAATGTTTTCAGACATGATATATATTGAATATAAGGAAATTTTCATTTCCGCTTTGTACGAATTTCCTCATAGCACATGTTAACTTGAAAATTGCCACAGTGAGGGAGAAGATCTCTGAAAAGAACGGGTATCTGTGTTGCAACAACTGTCATCATAACTGGCATTTTCTGACACTCATCTTTATAGACTTGTCAAAAAAGCTTGGAAAATGTGTTTCACCTAGAAATAAAGGGCAAATTGCTTTAGGACAGCACATGAGAATAGTTATTTTGCTGCTGCGGATGCTTTGTCTCTCCTAGCTGGAATTAGTCATCTTGCTTTCGGGGTATATTTTTTTGAGAATTTTCCCAAGCATCCATCTGCATGTATTTAAATTATGGACTGGATTTAGACTGTTTTGTGTAGGTCCAGAACTGAAGCAGATTCAGCTGGGGATGTGAAACTGTATGTTTGAATCTTTCAGTGGGAAGGGTACATCTGGGCCTTGTGCTTTTTCAGACAAGTTCATGACGTGCATACTGTTGAAAACACCAAACTCTAAGTGTATTAAGATGGCTACTGAATAGTAATTGATAGAGCAGGAAGCAAGACTCAGGAGAATTAATGTCTGCTAATTATGTTTCTGAATCACAAGCATGATACTTCTCAATAGGGGCAGCAAAAATCCACTCACAAATCTAGAGAATTCTGGAGTCCAAAATAGAGCCCTGGGCTTGGGTATCTCTAGGATTAGTCTGAAGTCAGAATCAGTTTTTGATTTACTTGCCTAACCTTTACAGAGATTGACATAGAGCAGAATTTAAGTGTTCAGCATAAGGCTAGAAAATGAAAACTATACATTCTTTAGGAATAATTCACCCTAGCTGCGTGTAAATGCTGTTCCTTTATGAATTTGACAAATTAATGAATGAACAGTCTCTTATGTCACACTGGAGATGCTTCCTAACTTTAAAAAAATGTTTAATGCATTTGTTTGAACATGCACTGGATGTGCATGTTCCAGAAACTAGTCTTGTGCTAAGTTTTGTCTTTCAAATATAGTGTTTCTTTCATGTGTCTGATATTTGGCTAAGGGTTTTGGCTCTTCAAATCCCCTGGTTTATTGTCATTATTCTTCCATTCTCTTTGTCCAGTAATGTGATCCAACTCAATGCAAATGCTGACACATGTAGCTGAGGCTAAATTGCAACATGAACTTGTGATAGAAAACAGCGCATGTTTCATGCTGGTCTTACATCACTGAATTCCCCAGGCTCTGATGTAAATGGCAAACTGGAATGCACATTCCATCCAACTCATCACAAAGAATCGGGAACCTCACCAATCTTTCTAATCTAAGCACAGATAGTCTGTGATTTTAAAATTACTCTAATCCAAAGGAGATTTTCCAATAGGTCTGGAATGTCTTCCAGAATATCCACACTTATCCTGAGCTCCTGTCATCAGCTGCCACGTCATAAAACTGTGTGACAAAAAGCATCAGAAAAAATACTCAAGAATACCCAACGTTGCATGGAAAGATTTGGAAAACTTTCTATTAAGGAGTAATTCTTTTTTCCCTTCCTGATATTTCAGTTTCCTTCCTTATTCTCAAGCCCCTGCTAGTATGTGATTGGTTTTTCTAGTTCAGTCTTTTTACTTCTTATCAAACCATATCTCTCACCATGTGCTCTCATAGATTTCAATCGATGCACAGGAAATTCTGCAGAGCAATAGTGACCTCATAAAGCAAAAACTCACTCTGAAATGAAGACTCACTGGATCTTTTAGAGAGATGATTTAGCACTCTGAGGGTAAAACTAAGAGCCAAGAAATGTATTTCATTTAAAACATATAGAACTAGTCAATGAATACAGATCATCAGTTCGGAATGTTAAAATTCTTCTTTTAATAAAAAATAAAACTGATTATTTCTGTTGACCCCAGAGAGCTTTTCTGAATTCACAGTATGCCTTCACACCATACATTTGGAAGTCAGTATACCTACTATCAGAAAAAAATTGCATTGGGACTTATACATGATAAGGTATGTCAGAAATGTTTCACGTTTATGATAAAGAAACACTGCAATGTTAGCAGATTAGATGTTTTCCTGCTGCAAAATATTCTAACATAAAAAAACAAAAGCTTGGATTGGAAAGAATATTAAAGGATTTAGATTCTCTGCTTTCATTGAACTTGTGGCAGAAACTGACCCTCCTGTAAACGAAAAATATTGATAAATATTAATGACACACACCCGTGAAACAAATCATCTCACAATATTCAGAAATGTATGTTTTCAATCTCTTGAGCTTCTTTGTCCTTAAGGACAGATTTTAAGTCTCTAAGCACAGAGCAAAAGCTGCAGTCTTCTTTTTCTCTCAGAAAGATTTCTGTATGCATATTCATTTCTCCTTTTTACACAAATTCATCCTGTTTGTTAAAAAAAAAAAATACTTTATCCACTTACTCTCTCTCTGCTCTCTTTCCTTGATTATAGCATCCAGCCATTTCTGTTTGTCCTCCGCAGTCTTGGCCATACAGACAAACCACTTGTTTTTGGCTGTGTTGTGTATCTTCCAGCCATTTGTCACTGTGTAGCCGTTGCTGTGGTAATCTGCTGTAAAAACCCAAAGCACAATGCACACAGTGAATAGAAGGCCTTCTTTAATCAGATCAGTGTGTGACACCTTTATTAAAATATTCTTATTTGGAGAGCTTCATATTTGAAGGTGTTCCTCATGCATCAGTCTTACTAACTGTCCATATAAGTGTTTTAAAAGTATCTATGGCTAGGCTGTTCAACTTGAAAACCATGCCCTTTTATAAACACCTTTTATGTGAGAAAGGGTGTGATCAAGGATCGCTGTGACTTCAGGAGAGTTGAACTTCACATTTGGAAGTGCCCTGGAAGTTTTTTTTTTATGTTTAGAGCCAGGGCAGAGAAAATCCACACCGATTACACTGATGACTGAAGTTCCATTCAAGGCAGACCAGCATTTTCATATTTCTTGCCACGATACTTTGTCCACAAAGCCATTTTCTCTACAGCTTCAGACCTAAGGTGATAGTTTGTAATTTCACCCCAGAAGAGGTAAAATATCCTAAATGGAATGGCGCTGGTGAAAAAGTCTACAACACTTGTTTTCATTATTAGTTCTGAACTTTCTGGGAATACAGCAGGCTGTTCAGAACATGGAAACTCTTTAAATGTCACCTGTTGAAAGGAAAGAATGCTAATTCCTGACTTATTATAGCAGTCGCAGGAGCTGGTGCAGCCTTTGTGGATGAAGTCAGAACCCATCCATTCTTTCAGCATGTGTCAGGACAAAAGAACAGTAATGCAGCAGCCATTCCCATGTTTCATCATGGCCACATTCCATGCTACTGATTTGATGCTAAGACTAATATTTGGTAGTATTCTAAATGCGAAGAAGATCTAGAAGTTCTGTTATTATAGCTGTAATGGCTTAAGATCTGAGAAAATAAAGGACGGAAAGAAGATAAAATATCTTTTACTAAATTAACTTGGATTAGGAGAAAAAATAGACAAGCTTCAGGATACACAAGCTCTTCAAAAGGTCACTTCAGAATGAAGAATGTTTGAAAGCATGACCAGTCTTTCAACTTTATAAGTTGGCCTAAGAATGAAGACATCAGATGTTACAGCTTACCAAAGATTTCGTTAAAGGAGTAGGGTGAATACTTTTGTAATAACTTCCCACACAAGATTTGGATTTGCTCTGTTTTAAAAAACAAATGGTAAGTTTTCTCTTACCTGTTCCATCCTCCACATTCTCCACCTCCATGACTTCTGTATTTATTCGACCCCTGAAGATATAGAGGGATCCATTGATTGATTTTGTCCGTTTGGATGGTTTTTTCCCAGCAACTCTGCAATTAGGATTCAGATGGTTAGCTAAGCATAAGCAACCAAAGCAAGGTGTTTATTACATACATACATCACATATATTACAACACACAGCTTTTTTTGGATTCGATGGATACAGAAAACAACAGCAAAAATCAACCTGGGATGTGACTATTAAAAAAGGAATCAAGTCTAGTGTGTTGTAGCATTCAGCCACTTCTCAGATTTAAGTGCTCAGTGAGTTTACAATGATAAGTTTGCAACAGCATCAGAACAGCAAGAAAGAGCTTATTTTGCATGATTACTTGGGGATCGGATGTCTTTAAGATTTGCATTCTTGAGTACTTACCTGAATTGCATACGAGTTTGGAATATAACCCTTAATACTACCTACAAAAATGTTATACTTGCCTACAGCTTTGAAGAAATTGTGGTGAGTGTATAATTCCAAAGATACAATGAAACGTGCCGTGAGGCATCACATGGCCTTCACGTGTGTCTTAAGTGTCTCTGCATGTGGCATTCATGAAAGCGCTGCTGTGGCAATTTTGCACTAGAATTTATGTCCTCATCCATAAGCTTTTCAGTGTCTGTTGAAGTGTCCTATAAAAAACTTCAGGAAAGCACTTTTCATTACTATTTATGTTCTGATTTTTATGTCTAGAATAGGTTTAAAACTACACAACCAACACCTGCTGAGCTTTAATATCTAAGAACAACCCTGCTATATGAACCAAAACATGACTGGTCAAATGATCACTGCTTGAGATGGCAAGTGTCCAAACTCTGTGCAGTGAAGGGATTGCACTGGCAACCTGCCAGGAGTTCATAAAATTCAAAGAATAATGCAATAAAAAACAGCTGGGGAGAAAATTTTTGTCAGAGTGAAATATCTGTGATAACTGTGGTGAGATGAGAAACACCACGGGTTTTTGAACAATTTTTCCTTTTTACAACTAGTTTAAGCGACAAATATACCTTTGGTAATGACCATAAATTAACATCTAATCAGCCTGACAGAGCCTGAGATCTAGGAGCTATTAGATCATTTCCTAAATATGTCTGTTGTACTCAAAAGAAAAGCTGTCCTAGCAGCCTTAATAAAACCCTTTAAATACTCAGCCCACATGAAACATATTGTTCCTAACATCAGGATTCAATTTAAGCGGCAATCTGTGATACCACCAAAAATACAAAACAATACTCAGCTCAGAAAAAAAACCAAACATCTATGTCATCAGGTTGGCAGGCTTCCCAAAGCTTCTGCAAAAGCTGAGATTGTAATCTTAGATCTAAAATCACAAATCTGATTCTGATTCTAAACGCATCTTAAAATGGTCACAACAAAGCTACTTCTAATTTGTGCTGTTGTTAGAAAGGTGATGCCCAAAGTAAAATGGCTACAGGAATGATTATCTACTGAAGATTTAGGGCTGCATTCTGATTGCACTTTTTGATCCAGGAAAAAAATCCACTGACTTCTACAAGATTAGCATAGTGTAAGTGGGATAAGAATCGTGTAATTCAATTTCAAATTGAGAACTGACACAGGCAGGGCTTTGTTTGCTTTTCTTTCAAATCTGTGTTCCACTAACACCTTGGTTGTTCATCAAGCAACAGCTCAAAAGATCATGACAGCACAACTGGAAATAAATGCATTTCCATCCTGGGCTAATTATAAATAGCAGCTAGACAGGGGAAATATCCAAAACTAAGCCATGTAGCAATTCCTAAATTTATCTTTCACATTTGGAAATTCCCAGTAGACTTAATAAAATGTTCAGTTTTTTAATAGAAATCAGATTCTGGGCATTCATCAGTTCAAGCTATATTATTAGACAAAGATAAACAATATTGATCCTTTGGGAAAACCTAAGTGTTACAGCAGCCTCCTCCAAAATTAAGCCAAACTACAGAGTAGTTCAGTGACATCCCTGTACAAAAAACAGAGGGTTGCTTAAAAGGCAGTAGAACATTTTGTTTTCTGAATCTTAGCATTCCGGGAAATGTGCCTGGACAGCGGGAGGGGCTACGCTAACCTGAACTACCAACAGAAATAGCAAGACAGCTTTTAAGAGCTCTGAAGAAAGAAAAGATTACGTATCAAGTTGATTTTTTTTTTTTTTTTAATAAAAGATTTCAGTTAGAAGATTCAAATTTCTGAAATGTCTTCTACACAAGCATGGATTTTGACAAACTGGTGAAATGTCAAAAGGAAATGTTTCAACTTTCTTACAAGTTGCTCAGCGAAGCTGTGAATGTCCCCACGTGGGAGGCCTTCAGGGCCAGGCTGGATGGGGCTGTGAGCAGCCTGGTGTAGAGGGAGGTGTCCCTTCCTGCAGCCGGGGGTTGGAACGAGATGATCTTAGAGGTTCCTTCCAACCCAAACTATGATTCTACTCCATTGTCAGAATGCTTCAGTTAGATAAGATTAGAAGCTATTTAAGATGTGTCCTTTTTCCCTTCAGTTAAATATTTATATTACATTCTAATAATTTCTAAAGTAGATTTTGTCTAACAAATTGCTTTTTATATTGTATACTTTCATTGTTATTCACACAAAACGTATAAGCATGATTGATATGATTTTTTTTTCCCAGTTTAATGATTCCAAAATTTCTACTGAACAAACAAACAGAAAATAAACCCAAAAATTTGAAATATAAATATTTTCCTTGGATCAAACACTCTGGTTTTTGAGAAGTTCTAACTGGGTTGGCCATCACCAGTAAAGAGGTATAAACTGAAGAAGAGGAAGGATATTACAGGAGGAGATTCTGAACAGTAGAAGATGCATGGTAAATCATCCAGAAAAGACCAGGACACAAGAATGAGACTAGGAATGTGGAGGTGAAAAGCTTAAGAATTGAAATACAGTATATGGCAACAGAAGAAAATTGCCATCCACTGTGCCAGTGCTATGTTAAAAATAAGTGGCAGCTGTCGATAATGCTCAACTTTTATAAGGTAAAGTGATGCAAAAATTGCTACTAAGAGAAGAAAGCAAGACAATTCATAGAGCACATGGGCTACTGATCTTCATCCTCTATCCACTGTGTCCTGCATCTACTAAATATTCCCTTAGTCTTCTTTCTCCTTTCTTGGCTTTATATCAATTTTCATGTCACCCTCTTCTTCTTAGAATAACCTCACAAAGAAAGTTGGCAAGGCCTCCTTCTTCACATCACTCCTGGAGATCCATCTGCTCTGGGAAGCCTTCCAGCTGTAAGAACTCAGTGATTTTTCTGCACTGTATCAACTTCTGTCTTTGGACTGTGTGCTTCTCAGGGTGGGAACCCCATTAATCTCTGGCATATTTATCCCATCACATAGTAATTTCCTCCTCATATAGTATAAGCAATAGCAATAGTCAAAAACAGAGGAAAGTCACAACTATGACTCAGCCTTACATAGCAACGGGGAACAAAGTGAGTGCTCTGTAAATTCTCATACATCCTATGTACAAAACCTCAGAATAGTCCCATTGTAAAACCATGAAGGCAGAGGAACTCACCTGGATTTCCTCTTGCAATAGACCAGTAGATTATCAAATAGAAAGAACATTCTCTCCTGGATATTTCCTGCTGAGATTTTTAACAAAGTTCCTTGGAGCAAGAGCTGTGTGCAGATATCTGTCAGATTTGACCCCTGAAACAGAAAAGAGATCTTGTTTACTCTTCACTTTTTTGTGTGCACACAACGAAACATTCTTACTAAAATGCTGTTATTTTATCTGCATGTCATTAAACTGCAAAATGATTGACGCATTCATGAAGAGGAAGTCTTCGATTTCTTATTGCAGCTAAACACATCGTGCCTTTCTGGGTTATAAATGTTTTGGAATCTTCATATACCTTGATAAATCTCCCCTAGCTCCAAGAGATTTTTCCATAAAGCAGCCATATTGTGAATCTCCCAAGACCATTAATCTTCCCTTTTCACCGCAAGCTATCACTGAAAGTATGACAACTGTTGGCTTTAAAAAAGCGTTATAGAAGAACAGTGGTACTTCCCTAGCTCTGATAGTCATGTAAGTCACTAGTAACCATCTCTGGAAAATCATAGTGGTATTTCTCTCTGACTCTTTTGTTAGAAGTATTTGCAACTGCTCTCCTTACTGGAGTTCTAAAGAGTAGATGCAAGCTAGAAACATAGCCATGAAAATCACAGATTGGGTCCCAGACACTGTGCTAGCTGTCATGTGCAAATTATTATGTGCGTTCAACAGACATAGAGATAACTGAGCTTAATGCTCAAGACATTTAAGTGCATGAGGATCCCCAAAAGCTCAAAGCAACCAAAGCAGATCACTAAGCTATTAATTCCCCAAACAGTTATTATGATTATTTCTAGTGAAAGCTATCTAAGTCTTTGAAATATGTTAGGGCCAATGGATTTGAAAAACTGTCCTGGTTGGTTGGTTTGTTTGGCTAAACCACAGTCATTAGTGAAAAGTTCTTTGGCCTAATATTACTTCAAAGGTTCCTGCTGAAAAAGGTCTCTTTTCAAAAAAATACACGGACACACAAGAAACATTTACACCCTGTTCTGGAACATTTACATTTATTTTTTATTTGGAAGGAAGAATGACCTAGAGTAACACCATGGGTTCTGTACACGGTCTGCATGTAATGAAGTAAATTAGATAATATGATCTTTGTCTTGAGTCTTACTGGAAAACAGAACTGACTATGGATTGCACGATATCCATTATCAACAAACTGCTTGACTTGCAAAGGCCCATTAAGTCTATATTCACAAATACCCAAAAAGATTTGTAAAACGCAGTTCATCCCGCTTAACTGAAAACATCTCTTTGAGCAGGCATGAAATTTACCTCCATCTAGAAAGTCATCCCAGAGGGATTTGTTAGTGTTCTTAGACACTGCATGAATGAAATTTTTTCAGGTCAAGCCTGCTACCATTAAGCTGAATTAAATCAGCTTTTCCAAATGCAATGCAGTCCCTGTAAAAGTGTGAATGAAGATTTAATTACATTGTTTTCTAAATTAAACCATGGCAGCTGTGCTGTCACTTGCTTTTCACTAACATGGAAGAAGCTATACTTTAAAGGCTGCCAAGAATGGACACCAATGTCCAGATGTGTCTGTATTCCCTTAGATTCAATCGCATATGAACTAGCTAGATGCAGTGCTTCCACCTGTTGCCCTGATATGCTTTTATTTCCTTAATCCATCTATAGAAATAATTAACATGTGTCCAGAAATAACTGCTTGTTATTTTGAAAATGACCTGCTGACCATAACTACCTCCAAGATAAATAACAGCATGTCAGAATTATAACCCCAAAGGCATGTATGCAAATAGAAGCAGAAACCATCCAAATGTACAATATAAAAGCATGCTCCCCACATGGAACAATTACCTGGCCTATTTTGTGCAGGAAATAAAAGCAAAGGCGGCAACAGTCACTTTTCAAAATCTAAGAATCTTTATTTTTCTGTCAGACCCTTCATGATGGTATCTGAATAATGGTGCTGTATTTCCTGTTGATGCATTTCCTGTTAACCTACCTACTTCTCATTTACACCCATTTGAGAGATTTTTCAATAGTAATAAACAGAGCAGGAAGATTTATTTGATGCTTCCTGAGACAAGACAGGATTTCTCACTTTTCTAAGTGGGACCAAGCTGCAGGCAAAAAGAAAACAAAACATCATCGCTGGTTAGAATTGCAAATTGCAGTCAATTATGAAGTGACTGATCTGCCTAAGTGTTAACACATCTTACAGCTCATTCTGTTCTGTGATGGGGGTTTTGTTTCCCTAAACATTTCAGATCGGAGAATGTGTGTATTCTTCATTATTCAGTGAAAATAACACAAAGAAGAGCTCACCGCACAGAATAATCAATATTCAATTAATGAAAACAATATATTAACTTTGCTAAACAATCAGAAACGTTCTACACAAAAGCTGGCCTTCTTGAGTACTCTACTTTCTTTCTCCTGTTTATAAAGTAATACTTCTTTTCACAGAAGGATTATCCAAAATCAGACTGACCTGCCTGAAACTATTCCATAACATACACCTACGAGGATTCTGTGCATTCTAGAAGAATGAATCTGAGTAGAGTTCATTGAGATGAACAAACCTCTGATCAACCTGCAGACTTTCAGATGCTTCCCAGATTTGGCCTACTTTAGTGTGACCTACCATCATGCCTCCAAAAGTCTTATAGGATGAGATCAGTTTATGCTCAGTTTTGATATTGAGACAGAGTTGTGTTAGAAGGAGAAAGAGATTGGTGAAGAAAAAGAGTAGAACTGAGAAAAATTACCTAAAAAAAATAGCAACTGTTCTTAATGAAACTCCAGATGACCCTCAAGAGCAAGAAGATGAGACATTGCAGAGGCAAAATCATTTTATATCATTCCTTACATTAGAAATATTGAGGGTAGCACTGAGGGCAAAAGGATGAAGATCATACCAAGGATCCATCCCACTGGAACAATTTAAAGAAATAATGATTACAAAACCCAATGAAACCTTGCTGATACAGTTAAACAGAAACACTAGAGAAAGTGAAGCCTGTTCCAAATTAAAGAAAAAAGTTACTCTAAGTTGGGCTGCTTGCACACACCCCAGAGCCAGGCTGTATCTCATACAGTCATAAAAGACATGGTTATAAGAAAGCCGATGCTCACTACTTTTTGACAGTTTAGATGTCTTGTATTAAAGCTGTTGGAAACCACAGGCCTTATCAGATTAGTACAAATGATGCATGAACACACAAACAGGGCTTGAATGTTTCGGAATCTATAACCATAATAATGGATAAAAGAGATTCGCTGTTTCCTAGTAGAGTTTTCCAGCAGATAAAATCTGAACATGAAAGTTGCCTTATGCACTTTCTCTTACAGACAGTTCTGTGTCTTGTATCCCTCCATTACTAAGTTTAAAGTGCTTTTAATTCATCATTTGCAACATTCCACAGGATAGGAGTTAGGAACCCTTCTCATTCAGAATATTTTATGAAACACATCTGAAAGAACTACATCCAGCTATTTAGAAACAACTCTTTGCTCAAGAGTCATAATTTACAAGAACATAGTACTGTGAAAACCCAAAAATAGAAAACTGTCGATCCATTTCAATTTGTTTAATGTGCACATAGAAAAAAAAAAAAGATATGTTTAGCATTAGTCTGCATTTGTAAATCTGGTTTTCCTCCTTTTAACAAGCTACTATGAGACTCAGAAAATTTCCACAGCTTACCGGGAATGAAAAACACTTGTCCCTTTTTGAACTTTTGGGTTGAGTAATATAGGTGACTACCTTTCAAAACAGCACATATAAACAAATCAGAAAGTGTTTTCAGACCCAGACTGTTGCTGTGAATTTGTAAGCCTCCCCTCATCCACTGTCCCCAAATTGCATTAACTTTGATACTACTTCATTTATTACATCATGCACAATTTAGGAGTTGTGCTTCAAGCCCTGGAGTTCAAACATGCCTCTTGCCTAGACGACCCATGAGTTGCATTGAATTTGAAATGGTTCTGACTGCTTCTAAAAGTCCTCCTGTATAGAACATTGTATGACTTTTTTGTTTGCTGAGCTTGCTATCCAAAAAATACACAGCTGGATATCTGGGTTGCTCTCATGTCTTTAGCTAGATGCCAAGAACATCCTTTGGGGAGAAAATGAGCAAGGTTTAAAACATACACGAAAGACAGAAAAAACAACCCAAAAAAGAGTCATGGAGAGCACCCAAGAATCCAAACATGAGGAAGTTTACATGACCTCTAAAAAGATGTCCTCAGCTGGCAATGATCAGTCTCGACATTTTAAATGTCAGTCTTACTAAAAGCTGACGCCAGTCTCCCTGTGAGACCATTTAACACCATTGACTCCCTGTGGTGCATCCCCCAGAGGCTTCCAACTCCACCATTTAAAGGGCCTCAATTAAAATCATCACAAGACAAGCTGCCAATTCTTTTGTGCACTTTTTAGCAGTATTTCTCCTGGGTGGCTCTTTTTCCATATTTCCTCTTTCCCCAGGCTTCGCATCTCAGTTCTCTCCCTCTCACTTTTCTCTCTTTCATTATTAAGTGCCTCTACCCATACAGATCCACTCATTGAGAAACACTTCAGTAGAAACACATCCATGAGAAACTTAACTGGAGAAATCACAAACATAATAGTTACTTTCTAATCTAACTTTATTTTTTATACAGGAAATCTGCATGATACCAACTTTCAAAGCTCATTCAAAAACTGAAGGCTTGTAGGAATAGAGAGAGAAGTTTGTGCTATGTAGATCACTCCTGATTTTACTTCCGGATTTGTCCTTCAAACAAAACCTGCCCATCTGAAATTTCAGTCCTCCCCAACTCTAACAGCTTTACCTCTTTTAAGATTCCCACCTTCTGCTACAATTTAGCAGCAGCCCACACACTCAAAAATAAACACTGAATTCTAAACCTGTCAGAGTGATACCACCCACACTTTCAAGCACATTTACACATCAGAAATCCCTGTACACAGTATGCGTCACCAAACTTCAGCCCACTGCATTGAGCAATGAATTGTCTCCAGGGAGCTTGCTAGTCCTGCATCATACCTCCCATCCTTCAATGTGGGACTGCAACTGTTCGAGAGCTTCCAGTTTCTCCATCTGTCTCTTGGTCTCGTTGATATTTGTGCAGACTGTTTTCATAGCCTGCAGTGCATTCTGGACAGCTGGGTGATCAGGATGCTTAGAGGGAGTCCTCTTAGCCAATTCCTTGCAAACAACAACAACAAAAAGATTAGATGTAGCTTGTGGAAAGGCCAAACACAGCATTAAAGTACAATCCTGTAGGAAAATGCCAGAAGAATTTCAGATTTAATGGGTTTTGTGGACAGCGTTCTCTGCTCCTCACACCTGCAAGGCTGCTACTATATATGAATGCTGCTAAATAAATGAAGAATCACCATGTTAATTACATTAAATTAAAATTACATCAGACTAAAAGAACTCAAGCCAAATATGTTTTGCTGTGTCACATTCGTTTCTGGTATGATCAAGACAGGCACATGGCAAGTGGTGAGGGCTCCCCAAAAGGCAAACATATCACAGTGACATGTGCCTTGACTGGAGTGAGTAATGTAGAAAACAACTTGTCTGCAAAGCATTTCCTAAGAGTCTGCTTCACTTGTTTCAATGCACAACATCCCATAAACACTGACCACTGAAGAACAACAATGGGAAAACTTGAGACCTAGCAACATCTACCAGATTGGCAAAGGGGCAACCAATGTCAACACATAATTAATCATTTTTTTAGACCAATGCTATTTTATAGTCAGCCACAAAGGGATAGAAATACATTAAAGAAACCTTAGCTAAGCCTGGTAATTTCCTCTTGATACATAATATGGTGCTTAAGACCCACATTTTCAGATTGCCTGAAATATTTCTCCAGTAATGTTTTGCTTCAACATAGTATTTGGTTGTTTTAAAGTCGTGTGAGTAAATGGCAAACTGCTGCTGAACTGCATCATTTTGCACGAGAAAGGAGAATGTTTGAAATGTAGCCAGAGATCCTGCACAGCAGTGTGCAGTGTGATCTGGACAGAGCTAAACTGCTGCCGTCCATAGCTCTCACCAGTATGAGCAAAGACAACCGGATTGCTCCAGCTGGTGATCATCCAGGATGAGAGATTACAACCAAGTGCTTGTCGTAGCCTTCAATGAGGTCTATTTTGTAGTCCTATTTGTCTTTGGCTTCTCCACATCAACATGTTAACCTAAGCAACTGACTCTTCTCCAGGCTAATTTCTGCCACGCTGACATTAAAGATCTTTGTGCCTTCTGTCTTTCTCGACAGTGACATACTCAGATTTCAGGTGATCCTCAGTACTACAGGGGCTTGCTTCCCTTGGGTTGGTAGCACAGCATGGAATGCAAGCATTGTTCATAAACTGGTTTCTGTTCACACAGCCTCTAGCTCAAGTTAACTGGTACTTCTAGGGTCTAGTTCCAGGGCCTGTCAGTGAAACGATGGGGGTTGAAACTCAGCTTCTCCTGAAGCCTGCTAACCCAAACACTCCATAAATCAAGAAGCTTTCTCTATTCTATGGTTGGTTCATACATAAGCTCTATGAAGTTCTTCAGACAGAAGTCACTTTCGGTGTGTGACTAGTTTGTCACGTGCTACCTCTGATAACTAGCAGGTTTATCTACAGAATAAGTAGTAAGAGTGTGAGGTGCTCAAACAACAGCAAAAGTGGAGGGCATATTTTAAAGGAGGAAGCTAGTGCTAAAGTACAGGTTGTTCCAGCCTCTTTCACAGACAGTCTCGGTACTTCCTCAGACTGACTGGAACAAGACTTGGTTTGCTAGTGCTCATGAATTACCTTGACACCCAGTGTTACAGGACTGCAAAATATGATTTTGCAGAACCTTTTAAACTAGCATCTGAATCTTGAGACTAATTTATGTGACTACTGAGACTCTTCTAGATAACAGAAGAGGCAAATATAGCAATGGGAGGTATTCTCATGAGCACACAGTCAGATTCTGGAGATGGAAAGGTCCAAATGAATTGGAGACCATATATATATGTTTATCCAATAAGATTGGGCTATTCAATTCTTTGCATTGATTAGGTATTTGATAACATATTCACAGCTGCAACTTCTCCTACCTCATAATTATGAATGGTGATTGACAGTGCCTGTTGTCAGAGAAATGATGGAGGAGATGGGCTATGTGCTGACAACTGGGAATCCCATCAGGAAAAGGAATTAATGCTCTCGCATGATTTACAGAGTAACACATGCACAAGAGAGCTGCCTGCTACAACTGCCAGTCACTATCACTAACGTAATTCCCCATGGAAGTGGAAGTTACCCATATCCCACTTTCGTTCAGAGTAAGTTGAGGAAAATTCAATGTTTAAAAAGTAACAATGGCAAAGAAGTAGGTGAGAGATGTTGTTCCACTTGGTGACAGTAGCTTCTGCTTCCAAAACAAAGTGCAGAATTTTTGCTACATGACAAGTGTTAACCACTCTCCTTTAGAAACATATGTAAATATTAGCACTGTCTAAACATACTTTTTTGAAGTATCACCAAGACACAGAGGAAGAGTTCTTCATTCACAGAAGACCACAGCTGCGATAAAGAGACAAGAAACCATCTTCTGCTACAACAAAAATTGCATCTACACCTGCGTAATATGAACTATTTCTCTTAAGGTTTGCTTGTAGGCAAAGGAAGGCAGTCTGTGGCATACTATTGTGCTGTCTTGAACAGTACAGGAGTCTGCAACTTTAATGCCCCACACACCTGCAGCTACATTATCTTCCTAATCTGCAGGACATCTCTCAGCTACTCCTGTTCCACCCGGTGCCTAAAAGCAGGGAGGGAAGATACAGGAAGGAACAAGTGCCTACTTTCTGAACCCCAAGCTTTTTTTTTTTTTTTTTTTTTTTTTTTTCCAGTGGCTGCGAATGTGAGAAGGAAGTTCTTTGAGATTCAATCCTTTTCTTTTCTATTCCCAATCCACCCCCTACCCTCCATCTTCTGACTTCAGAAGATTCTTTATGTATCCAAAGGAGATTTTGAAGAAGGGAGGACAGAAAGCAACACATTCGCCACTCCTGCTAGCTACCTGCTGTGCTGAACAAGAGCAGGAGAGGGGTCTGGATAAGGCAGGGAGGGCACTAGCTAGGGTACTTAGTTTTCACAACTGCAGTAGTTGACAGTCAGAGAGTCACTGGGGCAGTGACTTGCTTGCCCCCATCCCTGCTTAGTATTAATCACCAGAGGAAGAGCCCTGCTGCTCTGACACTGGCATCCCCTATAAGAACACTGCCCAGCACTTCTGAAATACAGCCAGGGAGCTCTGCGTATTTATTTATTAGAGTGGCAGATTTATGATGTGTAAACTGCAAGAGCATTTGCCAACACTTAGAAAGGCAGCTGAGAGAGAGACCAGATGGCAAACCTTGGGTATGACTGACCTGTCCTCCAGATAGCTCATATATAAAGCTGTCTGGAACGACTGTCTCATATATTGCAACTTACGCACTACAAGGCCTAGAACATGAGGTTGCTGGCACTTACAGAAAACTATTCCTTGCAAAGAGTGTCTTTAACTAATTCATAAAATATCAACTTTCCAGCTACAGACTTGTTAATCCTTCACACTAACCAGCAGTTGAAAACAGAAAAGCTGGTATTTTTCAGTCTCTCATCTTAGGCATTATCTTCCAACTTCTCACTTTCCCTCAGAGAAAGAGAAAAAAAAAGAAAAGTTGCAAAAATATTCTGTATTAAAAAAAAATATCTTTAATGAACTAAGATAGAAATAAAAACTGTCTGCTCCTGACACAGCACTTCCCTTTTTTTTCACTACTTCATAGCTGCCAAGTTTCAGGTTGGGACACTCATAGCCCCTTCATGCAGAGCCCAAATGATTTTACAGAGGGAGTCATAACAAGGAACTGTGTGCAACAGCATCAAATGCTTTGCACAAGTCCAGATAGATGAAGTCAGTTGTTCTTACTTTTCAACCAGCACTGTGATTGTAGAAGGCCACCAAATTTGTAAGGCATGATTTGCCCTTAATGAAGCCATATTGGCTGTCCTCAGTCACCTTGCTGTTTTCTATGTGCCTTAGCATAGCTCCCAAGGAGGTTCTAGTCCAGGATCTCACCAGGCACAGAGGTGAGAATGACCGGCCTGCAGTTCCCTCTGGTCTTCCTTTCTTCCTTTTAAAAAATGGGGTTACATTTCCCTTTTCCATTCAGTAGGAACTTCACCAAACTGCCACAAATTCTCAAGTATAAATAGCAACTTCACCTATCAGTTCCCTCAGGACCCTCGGGTGCATCTCTTCAGGTCCCGTTGACTTATGCACCTTCATGTTCCTTAGATGGCCTCAAATCTGCTCTTCCCAGTGGGCATTCTGCCTTCAGTGGATAGGGCAGTATGGTTAAAACACTTGCAACAAACTGAACTTTGAAGCAGAATCAAAAAAGTCTATTTGGAAGCTACAATTTTCCAACTAATTCTTGATAGAAAATATAAATTAACACTGGCAAAGCTCTTCCACTTGGATTCTAAAAGATTATTTGGCTTCTTGATTCATCTGAATTGTCTAGCAATCGGGAAGTAACTATACAGGAAAGGCAGTGCTAGAGATTTGAATGCTATCTTACTTCCTATTAACTGTACCCTCCCCCCCCCCCAAAAAAGAGAACTCTTCATAGAAATGCCAATCTTCAATTATGCAATGTAGTAAAAGGATTTCCAACTAAAGTATTTCAGTATCAGACGCAGCTTTAAATAGCATATGGCTAAAATACTTCCAAATAGAATAGAATTTAAATGTAAGAATTATTCACAAAAAGACAACACATCAGCTGTTCATGCATTTGTTACCTACTAATTGTGCTTGGCACACACAGAAAACCAAACAGAACAACAACAACAACAAAACTATGAGGAGAGAACTCAGCAACAAGAACGTTGCACAGGAAGATGCAAAGAGGTAGCAGGAGGGGTGATGAGCAAATAATGCATGCAGGCAGAGGAAACTAGAGGTTTTTCAAATGTAAACACAATTTTAATATTTCCTAGCAGAAAGGATGTCATTCTGCTTAACTGATCTTTTTAAAGAAAAGGAGTCTGTCATCCTTCCCCATATCCTGTGTTGCTACCCAGAAAGTGATTCTGTACTTACAACTCAACTGAACATGTTTTGCAGTTCAAATATCTAAGTCCCTGCATTTTAAAAATTCCTTCTTCCTATATTCATACTCTTGTCACCCACACATGGCTTTAACACTAATTCTGTGCAGTGACTGTTAATGTCGAGCAAATCATTGCTTGCCAGGCTGTGTTGCTTTGCACTACAAGCAGCGCATGCATAAAACACAGTTTCTGGGATGCATCCGTTAGTTATTTTAGTGAACATCTCAGGATTACAGAGATAAAAAAGACACCATATTTTTTATCAATTCAAAGAGATGTGGTAATAAATGGTTCACTTCCAAACTGAGCTAAAAAAAAAAAAGGAAAAAATGCTCAGAAAAAGACACGTTCCTTTGTGTTTCAAGGATTTTTGTATTTGTATTTTCGGTTTTTAACATTTGCATGTATTTAAAAATCTATTTTCCACTTAAACTAACCAGAAAATAGATGCTACACCAGGCTCTGCATCTGCCAATCACAGTATTTTTTTTTTCATCCTGCATACATTTAAAATGTATAACTTCTGTAGCTGTTTCTGCAAGGTAAAAATCAGGCAACGGTAAATCAGTAAAACTGATGACATTAGATGTACCATCAAATCTGCAATACATGCCAAATTAAAGCACAACAAAACCATGTTTTATATATATTAGCAGTTATTTGAGATGATATATAAGAAGTGTCGAAGACAGAAGTATGATTTATAAATTGGCAGTGTTCCTTACAGCTCTGTAGGGTATATATAACTTTTAATGTTGTAATGTTATGCTACATAGACTTGGATTTCAACCAGGCAGTATAATGAATCTCAGTGAACATCACTCTTCTGAACAGGGGGTGCAAAACCCCAGAGTTTAAACATATTCAAATTATGGCTAACTAGATTTTCTTCCTTAAATGTTGCTGAGAGGAATGGGGAAGATGGAGAGGGGGGAGAGCAAGTTCTTTCATCCACCACTGGCTTCCTGTTTTTCCCTTTCACATCCCAGGCACCACACTTGTTGCAGTCTGTGTATGTTGGGCTCTCCCTTTTGAGAAGGCTATGGGCTGGATGCTCAGCTTTCTGCCTCCAGATTTTCTTTCTCTCCTAGGGCCAGTGAGTCTTCCATCACATGAAGCAATACATAATTACTGCCTTAAATCTTCCAAGGAGTCGTTATATTTTTAAAGGATCAGAGGTAGAATGTGCATTTCTGGCTGGAGATCTAGCAGCTCCTTAAGAGAACAGACATCAAATAAGAAACAGCCCCTGTGACAGCACTGGGCTATCAGAGCCCATGGGGGGCAGTTATCATGTGCTGTGCATTTTTTGCGTGTTGGGAAGAAGAAGGAGACAGAAATGACTGCATCCAATCCCCACCCCCAATGGTGTGATTAACTCATGATCGCTGCTCCCTTAGGGTTTTCCTATGCTGACATAAATGCTCTTTATTAAGGGGAAAAAGGCTATTTTTGTTCAGAGATTGGTTTACACAACAGCTGTTTCTACAACTAAGAAGCATAGTTAATGCTAATTAATATAGAGTCAGAATTATTATCAGTGAGACAGAGTTGCCTTAATCCAAAACATTCTGATAGAAATATTTATTCAGCAAACTTTCCAGCATCCACATCCACGCTGGGGTTGTAAGTCACTCAGTCTATGCTCTCAAGTTCTGTAGACCTGTTTGCCTTTGCTTCTTTTCTTCTTACCAAACCATAATGTCCATCACAGAAAGCATAGTTCTACTTTGTTTAAGCCTGCTCAAAGCCTCTTTCTTACTTTTAAGCAAAATTTCTGCCAAAGCTCTTCAGTAACAGACAAGTATTCGGAGTACCTATGTACCCAAATGGACTTTAAATCCCCTGCTGAACTGTGACAGCAAGGAGAAGAGGTGGAAGGTTAGTTACTATTAGGGAGGGTTTAGACTGGGGATAAAAGTAATTTACTGACCAATGAGTTTGTGCTAATTCTCTCTTGTGCTTTGTGAAGCACGTAAAAACTAGGCTGGGGACAAAAATGTTAACATCATTGCTGCTCTATTAGCACAGAGATGGTGAAACAGCATGGCAAGGTCTGAGTCCCATGTTTCAAAACACACATAAGGCTTGCAAAAGCTTCATCAGAGGATAATAAAATGTAAGTTTACCAGTTACAGGACGCCATACTTTACACTGGAAAAAACTGATAATATTTGCTTAAAGTGTACCTGTACATGAAAATATTCCAGTATGCTATTCCTAATTAACTGAAATGGACTCTGTGTGAGAAACTATTATTCTGGAAGAACAATGCTTACATATAGTATTAATGAAAAGTAGTTATCCCATTTAAATGTGCTTTACTATTCAGGCTGGCTTTCAAACACTGGCGAGTCTGAGCTACAGCGCTCGTATAATCTTTATCAAATCTAACTGCTTAGCTATACTAATTAAACTATAACAAGGTCATATCAAAGTCATCAGAAGATCTGGATGTTCACAAACTCCTATTAAAAAGAAAGTAAAATAGGAAAGTGGGTGTTGATGATTTTTCTAATCAGGTGGAATACAGTGCATGTGTTTGCTCTGGGAATTAGATAAAATAAGATAAAATTCCCATGAATACAGAACAGCTATTTCTGTAGCAATAACTGCAGTTCAGGAACAAAGGGACAGCAAACACTTAATTTGAAGGTTGTGTTGTTTTTTAAATCTATTTTACTTTTTTCTTGGAGAGCTGCATTTTCCTCACCAGCACTACCAGAAATCAGTTTTCTCTTCACTCTCTTCACTCAGCCTTTTTTTTCTTCCACATCTGAAACATTTGCACCCGCTCTGGCAATTTTGTACTAGCAACTACCAGGCAAACTTTCAACAGGACACAACTTGCTAACCATGAATGTATGGTGAAACAAAGCACGTTCTTCTGTTCTTTGTTTTTTCTTGCTGTTTTTAAATCATAAGAGGAGTCTGCACTCCATTGGATGGACTGAACTGCTAAACTGTGTGCATGCAAATCTCAGTAGTTACATCCACAAGACATGGCGCATGAACGTGTACTGTAAGATTTTAAGATGAGTGTCTGCTGGACACACAAAATGATTCCACCTGTAGGAAGGACTCCAATTTTTTTCTGTGAAAGCTCCAAGGTGAAGGAAAGAAATGATTTAAATATTCCTCAGATGAATTTGGACTTTTATTAAAGGAAAAACATCAGTATTGAGCTAACCAGCCTGGACCTTTGAAAGTCCTTATTCAGTCTGAACTTACAGACACAGTACTGCAATAATTTTACATGATATACACTTGATTCATAGGTCCAGCCTATGCCCAAGAGAACCGGATCATTACAGAATCATTATTTTCCTCTGTGATTAAGGAAGGAACCATTCTGTTGAGATGAGAAATTGCTGCTTCTTATATTTATTAAGAATTACTTGTATTTTATTAAATATAACATTACTCTGAGAATATGAGACTGAACATCACTGAAGATTTGTGGCTTTTAGCCATTAAGTAGCTACTAGATCACTGGTGATGCAGGCTTTCCTAGAAACTGATTTCTCCTTTTACTTCTCCCCACTAGGTGCATGATCCAGCCCTGACCCGAAGGAATGAGGTAAGTTGGCTCTTTTTATGTCTTTGGTTCTTTAACTCCTACAGTACACCAGCTAGCAAGGGGGCCAATTAGTGCAAATTGCAGGAGTCATTTCTGCAATAACACCTGTCCAGTAGAAGCTTATCTGAGACACCAAATGGTTTTCAAACAAGTCACAAAACAGCTGTCAGATGATGAAGAATTTTGATAATTACTGACCTGAGTACACTCAAACTAGAGACCTAGTGATGAAAGATGTGTCCGGTTTCCAATCCCTAAGAGCCATGGAGTTCCTTAGAATACTAATAAAATTCCATTTAACCACAGCTTTTCAGGAAGGGGCTAAAATAGCACTCAGGTCTTCATAAATATCAGAAGAAATCTGAACTCAGCTGAGGAGTACCTTACCCTGTCTGGTCTACCCACGCCGTTACAAGATTTAAGAGTGTCATCAGCCAGTTTTTGACTGCATCCATAAAAAAAAGCCATTTTCTGTAAACAGGATTGAACCTTTAAAAGCACAAGTCAGGACGGTAGCAGTGACAGGAAATCAAGGGTTAAAAAGTTGCAAAAATCACTCCAAGAGAAAAACAACTAGCCAAAGACATTCTTTCTTGGTTTACCTTAAGCAGAAGTGGATATTTGCAAATTCTCTGAATTGGAGTCAGTAGATAACCTTCCAGTGGAATGTCTGTAGTCTTTCTGCCTCCCAAAAGCATGCAACTCTATAATCAAAAAAGGAAGTTAATGTTAACTCAGGCAACACTTTCACATGCTCTTTGACATTATTTGCTGTTTCTATAATACACATTATGGTCACGATGAACTTCACCATTCCTAAGATAAAGGAAACGGGACGTCACTCTCCACTGAAATACAGCCATCAAGCTAAGCTGCAAAATTCTCCACGAGTCAGCAAAAAAAACCTGCTGTGGATACCAGTGGCTGCAAAGAAAGGTCTCTTCCCACTGAGATGTTATACAGCTTATGGCTCAAAAAAATATAACAATACAATGACAGTCAGCAAATCTAGAATGCACCATTACCTTAAAGAATCCAACCTACCCCACAACCAAAACAGTTGTTTGTCTCCATTCACTATGCAAAGTTTGCACACATCTTCCAGAACACTCAAAGGATAAAATAAAGCATATACATAAAGAATCACATAATTAACTCTAGTACAGTCTCTATGTCTGAAGGAAATCAAATGCAGCTCTGAAACAAATGAGTCATCAGCATCTCATCCACCAATTCTCTGGCAAAACGTTGTGTCTAAACCCAGCTGGGCAAACAGTAGGGGTGCACTGGCAGGCTAAACAGCACAAATGTAGCCTTGAAGCAGTTGTAGTACATAATACTGCAGAAGAAGTTTGGGGTTATGCAGGCAAGGCTGCTGTGTGGGAAGGAGAACACTGATGCAAGAAGCAATGACACATGGAAAACAGATTTCTGTAATTCTGGTGCTCATAATAATAATAATAATAATAATAAAATCTGCTATGTTTCAACCTTAGCTCTTTGTCTGGAAATCAGAAGGCATCACAAAGAAATTGAAGGGCATTTCTCCACCCAGAACAATGACTGCTCTTCCAGTGTTGCTTTAACATATTAAGGAAGATAACAATAGAAACCCTTGATAATACTGGACCAATACACCAAACAAAACAGAAGTCCAAACAGATTTTAGGTTGAAAAACAGGTGAAGCAACTGATGAACTCTTGCAATACTCACACAATGAATTCTAACAGATTTGGAAGGGCATTCTATAAGAATCATTTCACAGATAAGTTTGTGCACACCACCTCAAAACAAGAGATGCTTATTTTCTTAATCAAATGAAAATTCATCTCTCAGGACTGATATGAAAGGAAAATATAAGAATTGTGCATGGTATGGAAGAAAAACAACAGCCCTTTACTCATCCCCTTATTTCTTCACAGTAATCCATAATATGTGTGATAAATAATCACTGATGAACTCTAAGGTTTTTATATTTTTCCCTAAAGATGCTGGCATTGCCCACTGCTAGAGGTAGGCACTGGACTCAGATCAACTTCAAATCTATTTGAGATAAGCTACTTTCCTATGTTCAGCCATTAATCTGGATAACTTTACTCCAATAACCACCCAGGGCAAATCTGCCGTGTTAGCAGAGGATGAAGTTTAAATCCATTTCAGCCAAGATGTGCTTTTGTTGGGGGCATCACTGATAACACTTTCCCTTTGAAGTGTGTGCAGTGGCTCAGATGCACTCTGAAATACAGTGGGTTTGTGGCTGTAGTTCAGTAATCCTCTTCTTCAAGAACTGTTCATAGACATCCGACATAACTCTCATTATTTCTAAGTGGTATTTTTACAGACAGTTGTCTGTAAAATAACTCTTCCCCAGGGCTATTCTAGATCTGTGGCATTGGCTACCAGCTCACAATGCTCCCTGTCCAATTTTCCAAGTCTCGGGTGATTCAGTCCTTCCCGTCTCTCCTTTCAGCCCTCCCTCTAGCTCTGGACTCAAAAATGCCCTTTAACACTTACTGATTTTTCAAACACATTCCCACATTCTGTATTTCAGCAGCTGCAAGGGGGCAATCGGGCCAAATCCATCCTCACAAGCAAAGCTTTGTATTTTAATGCAGCTCTCTGCATGGTGGCATTATAGCGTTGGCTTTAGGAGGCAGTGGAGAGAAGAGTGAAGGCCTGGAAGAAATTACAACAGCCACAACAAAGCAAAGATTTGAGCATAGCCTCTCCTTCCATAGTTACTGTTATTTTAAAAATCCCTTGGATTCAGGTGCTGCTGCAAAGCCACAGCAGACAGTGCGACATCTTTCATGTGCCTCATAATTAGTTTGCCAGCTGCTGACGGCAACACAGACAGGAGCTTGTTGCCAATCCAGCTGAAATGCAGAGAACACTCTGGATGTTAGGAAGGATGGTATTTATATCCACTTTCATTGCTTGTCTTTCTGTTTAAGTTTCTCTCAACAGAAATACCTAGAGTAGATCATGAGCAGGAATTGCTCATTTGGTGACTTGAACTAATGCTTTAACAGGGTTTATTGAAACTCAGATGTGATAAAGAAATTCTGAGTACCCAGCAGCGTGTGTGTTCCTGCTCCCCCCTCCAAGGTCTATATTTTGTGGCTAGAAGAATGCTCTGGCCCTGCTTGTGACAGGCATTTATGCAGAAGTTTTCTTCTACTGTACTGTATTAGGAAAGAGCATGCCTTTGGCAGAATGGAAAAAAGCAGAGCAGAATACAGAACAGAATCAGTCCATTGCAAAACAACAGCCTTTCTTTCACTTCACAGCATTTACTAAGACACAGAACTAGTGTGTGACTGGTCCCTCACCTATTGTCCATCCCCAGCCCAAATGCCTTCCATTCATAGCAAGGAAAATAACACCTAAAATCAAGGAGAATTAAGGGGAGGCTGTAAGGAGAAACACCTATCCCTCTAACCTGGATTAAAAAAAAAAAACAACAACAACAAAAAAAGCTATCTACTGGTTGTTTCTCTTTGTAGTCTAGCTCTTAAGAAGGCTGTATGCCACGCTTCCTCCCAGCACACGCTAATATTTCATGGGTTGGATGAGGAGTTGGGCCGTTTTTAATACAAGAAACAATTATGCCACCAAAATAGTTCATCCAGCCTATGTTTCTTGCCCACAAGTGGCCTCATGGGGAAAAGGATGTCAGAAGGAGGCCACATGTTTCTGGTGGGTCTGCAGATGGTGAATTGATCAGAGAATTGAGCAGGGAACCAGTCTCAGCCCTGCTGATAAATTATTGCATTACTCCTTTCACAATCTTTGCTCAATTTTTCTCTTATTTTTGCTGATGTTGTTTTTTAAAATACTTCTCTGTATCCACTGAAATTACTCATACCATAGCTGTGCTTAGTTGGTACTTGAATTCACCAATTATTTCAATATCCATCCTTCTCAAGTGCTTCGTAGCTGGAATGAATCATGTCTGCAAAATGTTTGGCATTCTTCAGATACTAAAGAAGCATTATGAGTACAGTGCAAAGTCATACCATTAAGTGGAGAGTGCTAGAGAAGGTGCTTACCAGGAGGAATGCTCTCACTGTTGGGATCTTGTTCAATTCCATCAGCAGTCTGAGCGCTTTCTCATGGTTGCTACAGTACTCCTCATACACAAAGAACTTGTCTTTCTGCAAGAAAAAGCATTAACTTATTGACTTGGAGAAAACTAGACTGTCTGTATTGCCACAGTCTGATCCTAAATTCTTTACACAGAGGAATGTGCACTCTGCTTTAGAGTGCTAGAGTTGCATTTCACATGATATGCACAATATCTCCACATGCAAATAATTTATAGAAGTGTTCCCCTAATTCCTAACTTATTTTTGTGAATTAGCATCAGTTTTCTGACCACAGACCTCCTCTGTACTTTTCCTTTCAATGCATCACTGAAATAATACATCCTTTGCTGAAAGAATGAATTTTGCTATCTCAGGGACTTTCATGTGCCAGGATATTCCATACAAGCAGACAGAAGCAAAGTAAAGCCAGAAGCAAGGGAAACCTAAATGGAACTGACATATCTGAACTATGCTAATTACTACCACAGGAAGAAGAAACAAACAAAGGTGGCTGGAAAAAAACAAGCACTGGAAGAAGCAACCAGCTGGAAATCCCCAGTCTTACAAGGCTGCCCACAACATGTCTCCTGAATGGAAGCATTTTGATGAATAAACACAAAACGACCAATATAATAAAGAAATGCAAGGAGAAAGGTAGCTTCCTAACAAGATGGAGGTACTTACAGTGAGCCATGTCACAGCCACCACCAGTTTATGAGAAGAACCTGATGCTTTCGTTAGATGCTCCAGGGCTAGATGTACATGCTCAGAGACTGAAAATTGCTTCTTTTTTAAATTTTATTTTATTAATTTTTATTTATTTTTACTAGTAATTTATTGAAAAAGTTTTCTCTCCCTATACATCCAAAAGAAGAATTAAGAATAAAAAGATGCATGGCCAAACACAGCAACAATGGTACAAAGTAAATAAAACCACCATCAAACGGACACAAAGAGCTGGAATGCAGATGTTCAAGACATCCTTCATCTACAGCTGCTCATATTAGTAATGGAGTTTAGTACTGGAAGCTGGAAAGAAACAAAAGATCCTGACCACCAGATACAGGAACGGCATGGCTGAGTCAACAGCACAATAGAAAAGAAACAATTGAGAGACATGGGATTATTTTTTTTTTTTATCCCTAAATTGTGGAGCTGCAGAGTGACAAGACAGATTTATAAGTTTCTCCTACACTTCCTCCTCTCACCTCCCCTCATCTTCCTAGATGCACACAAGCAGCCTGCTTGAGACTAAAAATAGTAACCATTAAGACAAGAGCATCCGCTGCATCAGTGCACACAAAATGTCATTGCTCAGGTTTCTGACTGCAGCTCTGAGTGCCAGAAGTTTGGGGAGGATATATTTAGATCATGACAAAATTCCTTTCTAAACTCAAGACAGTACAATAATTATGCACACACCAGAGTGCTTTCATCAAGTCTTTTCCAGCTGCCCCTCATGCATGAGACCCACAAATATGACAACTATGTTTTAAATTACTCAGTGTCTGAAGTGTTTAATTTCCTCTCTGGGTGACAATCAGTCCTGGACTCCCCATCTCCTGGTGAGGAAATTATCAGTTACATGATTACAGATGATAACCCAGGAATTTGGAACCTGCAGTTACACTGTATGAAAGTGTAATTATGGTCAGAAAAATGACCCCATAAACATGGCACATTCTTACTCAGCAAATCTGCTGGATACACAGATAGACCTTCTGACTTGGTGGCAAAAATAAGTCTATACTGTTCTTAGTTAATTTAAGAAGTCTAAACCAATAGTTTATTCTCCATATGTTATTTTGGATCTAGTAGTACAACCCACAGATTAGTGTAAATTTGAAAACAGTTTTTGGACAGAAGTTTCACGAAAGACACGCTGGGTAAACTGCAGACGTTCTATCTGGATGTATTCTTAATGAGCCATGACATTTTCTTCTTCGAAAGCAGGCTAAAAACTATTTTGTCAATATGAAAAACCTAAATAAAAAATAAGATTTCGTTCTGAACAAAACAAGATTCCTGATGACTTAAATAGTAAAAGCATTCAGGCAGCATTGTTCCCAAAAATAAGATGAAAACGCATTTCACTCTAATAAGCTTACGGCTACTAAGTTGCCAATGCCCTACCAATACAGCAATAACAGAAATCAGGCATCAGTCAGCCCTCTGCCCTTCTGCTCTGCAGACAGTCTTTTATTTTCATGACCTGCACAAGAAAGCCTATGTTGATGAGGTGTAATTATCCAAGGTTTAGTATGTCTTTGACATAGAAGATATGTTCTACACATTCCATTTTTCAAGCAGCAGATTTTATTTTCAATTGAAGTGTGTTCTTTCCTGTCTGTTATGGTCCACATACTGTCTGTTATTGAACTACAACTCCTTAAGAAATTCCAGTACATCAGAATTAACTTCTTACAATCATCTGATCAAGTGGAGTATGCTAGGACAAACAATGTCTGTCTTCCAGAACAAAACAATCTTTCACAGCTGTATATCAGAGCAAGCACATTTCATCATCCGCTAAAAGAGTTCCAGAAGTCGATGTGTTGCTCTTTTGGAGCCCTTGCAATGTTGGCTTGTTTATTTCAAGTGTTAGCCAAGATCTGGATCCTGCCACGTTGAACACCCAGGGGAAAAGATGTCCTAGCATAAATGTAAATGGATCAACTGTGATCCTGTAGGGCTACTCCAACTAAAAGTTGAAGAAGTTAGAAGAAATTTAGGATGCATAGATCTCACAGACAGGATTCAAAAATTGAATCTGGAGAAGTTTGCTCTGAACCACATTTGCTGCTGGCATTTCCAGCTGGAATCTCACTATTAAAGCCTGTACCATGACACGACAAATCCCTACACTCCTAAATACCTACAGTGAGGCTAGTCTTCTGAAAGGCAGGCATAATCTGTACACAAGGACATGTCATCCCTTCCTCTCTTCATAACCTACTGCTGATTCTTCCCTGCTCAAGACATAAAGTGCCACAATGCTTCCAATGCTATCCTTATACTTTATGGTTACTTCACTCATTATGGACGAGACCAGCTTCTTCCATGTATTACGAAATGAAAGATGTCTGACATCCTCCTGAATAAGCTGTAGGTTTTCTTCCTTATGGGATTATGAAATGTTTGATGTACATCATATTTGCAATGCACTTCACAGACTGCAGTGTAAACTGATCTCAAACAGTCTCTATCAGAAGATCAGTTCTCACCAGCAGTCATCTCTGTGCATTACAGTTCCATAATTTCTGCTTCGTTGCAAGTCTGAGAAGCAGAGAACATTCATTCACTTAATTACTAAATTTGTCAGTTACAAATGCTATGCTCACATACAAGAAAATATTGTCAATGACTACATATAGCAGGTTGAATTCAGCTAAATGACAGGGCGTTAACATTTCTGGTTAGTTGGTGTCACTCTGAAACACAGTAGCCATTTAGACAGCATTGCTCAGGAGACATCCCATGTTGATACCATTGCGAACAAGTACTATGTTAGCATAGCACATCTTGGTAGGCAGTGATTCTACTGAGTATCCAAGTCTTTAATTGAGTGCATCACTATGTCCTTCAGCATCTGACAGTCACTCCTCATAGAGAACACAATTTATGAGCACTGTCTCAATACATTTTACTGTCTCTACATATGCTACTATTTTAAGTGTCACAGCATAAATAAAATCAATAGTTGGTAAAGATCTATGAGCAGAGAATGGCTGCATAATTGCTGACCACTCAAACCTGATGAACTGTGGAACCACGAATTATGATTAGAAAAGTATAATAGAACGTATTTTAATAGGAAGTTGGCCTGTGGCTTAATGCAGTTAATAAAAATTTGAAGGAATATCTATTATATATAGATGCATTCTAATTTCTTCAGACATCCCAAGAGGGCAGCTGCATACAAAAAAAATCTGCAGCTTTGAATTATATACATGTAAATCAGATAACTTTGCATTTAGATGAGTTCATCTCATGACTAGGTATATGTAATAATTGATCTTGCATATACAATCAGTGTGCTCTATGCTTATATTAGTTTGCAATATAAGAAACAAATTATAATGAGAGAGGCAGCGCTTCTCTGATTTCCATGATTTTCTCATTTCCAATTCCTCCATTTCTTGTTCCCTGTTACAGGTCTGTGCCTTCCTGGGTCACCTTACAGTACCAACCTGGTACTGAATCATGTTGGCACGCTTCATCATATTATGAATATATAGGAGAACAAATAATACAACTTTCAGAGTCAGATGACACAAAAAGAATCCATCAAAATGTTTTCAACAACCACAACTACTTTTTCTTCTGTAGTTGTGGCATGCTTATCTAGCATTGAGTCTAAAACCCAGATTTTTTGTAGTTCTGAGCTACATAATTCAGGTATTTATTTACTCCATGGTAAAAAGGTTGTATATGGTAACTTGCACTGTATTACATCAAGTGCAAGTTAAGCTATCTCACGTTACATTTCATTTACTGAAGGATAAATGTATGCACAGACACTACTGTAAATGCAGTAATATCTTCTGTGGGTTTCCTTTATTTTAAAATACAAATAACATTATTCACTTATTTTAAATTGTGCTGCTTTTCAGAAATATTCGGAACGAAAGCAGACAAATTCTCAGCAATTGTGTGATCAGTTGAATGAAGAAAAAAAGGAAAAAATATTCAATGGGAAAAGGAAGGGTTTCTAAAAATACCTTGTTGTTTAGCTGAGTTTGAGGTGGTTTCCATTGTTCTAACCTCATTCACAAGTTTTTTTCCCACCCTACCTTCAAGTTTTATTCAAGACACACAATGTCACAGTATTGCTACAAACCTTAGAGATTAGAGATAGTTAAGGGGCATGGGAGCTTAAGACAGGAAACTGCATTTTCAGATAGTGTTAAGTCATTGTACTTACAAATTTTAAGAAAACATTTCCCAGTTCATGCTGAGACTGAGGTTCTGGTTGTAAACAAAATTCCAGGGCAGCCAGGAACTCCTTGTGAACACCAAGAATGTCTTCAATGTTAGAAAATAGGATCTGAAACACACAAAGTCCAGTGTCAACAATTAACAAAACCCTCTTAGGCACACTGAAGTACTAGCACCAAAATACTATGGTTCTAGACTTAGTCATGAAAGGACCTAAAGCACAGATGATAACTGCTATCTTTCCTATGGAGATCTTTATTGCTTACTGAAGTACCTACTCTAAATGAAGGTTATCTTTCCAAGCACCTGAGCATGATGAATGTAAACAACCTCCTTTAAGTCTAGAGAAGGTCTCCTATGAGACTGAACACATGAACGAAATCACAAAGACCAAACTGATTTGGCAGGAACATGAAATTATCACTCAGAAGATGTACCCGTAAACCACATCTCTGCCATGGTGTTTACAGTGTAAAGTATTTCCAAACTGAAAGAGCAGAATCTTAGCATTCCCTTCCACCAACCTCTGTGACTGTAAAAGGCATTTGTAACATGATACAGGCCCTCAATTTTAATGTGTACTAAAAGGAAATTGCACAATCTCACAGCTAAATGATCCCTAGGAATTTAACATACATGTGCTAAGGAAAATAAACTTCCAGGTCCTGATGCAATGTGATGCAGCTATCAGCATTGACAGCCACGGGAGGAATGCTTGAACAAGCAGACCAAAGCCTGGAGACTGCAGTGACATACACACTGTGAACAGCATTGTCCATCTCTTTGCTTTAGCCGTGCCAGTTGCAAAGAGATTTGCAGTGTAGTCAAACCAGCTTTCATATTAGGAGCAGCCTCCCAGGGCTGGCATAGAGCAAACGTGTCACTGCTACAAATCCCAAAGAATGCAGCCTGACAGAGCAGCCTTCAGCTTCCTGCTATTTGGTGGGCGATCTTCTGACACTTCCCAAAGCACCTTACAGTAAAACCAAACTTTTTCAACTTTATGCAGTGGACTTTATGCACCAGATGAGACACTGATTCAGCCTGGTGGATGGTGATGCAGCAGTAATTACAAAATTCTGTAGATTAAATCTAATCCTTAAAGGAGGAATGAAACCAAACTCAGTTTAAGAACAACTTATCTCTGATTTTCTAGGAGTGGAAGACTGGGTAAGGAATTAAAGACCCTTCTATGCACGTACCCAGATTCAACTCTCTACCTTGTGTTATTCAAAGATGGAAAGAAGATTTTTCTTCAAACCCCTGCAAGCTGGCTGCATATGCAAAGCACAGCACATGGCACCTTTCTTGTCTTTGCTCACCTCTCACACCAGTACATGGCAATCCTCACTACCCATGTGCATACTTGTGCCTCATTGCTTTTCCTGGCTCTGAATAAACTGAAGACTCCAACACACTCTACTTGCACTAATGGGTTCTGAACCCATCAGAAAATAAGACAGGAAGCTGGGACTGATTACTTTCAGAAAACTTCCACTGCAAATTTGAAGAGCCTATGATGGTTCATTCTATAGCATGACTGAAAGTGACGTGATGACACATAAGCCTCAGCCTGCATGCCAGAAGCTGTGCCAAAAGGGGATTAACAAGGAAGAGGAAAACATCTGTCAAGGATGATTTTATCCTTCAGGAGAGTCTTCAGGAGTGTAATTTGTGATTCAAGGAATATCTGTGTAGTCTAATAAATCATGTGATGGTCAGCAGAGCTCTGCTTGCAGCAGTTTTGCAGGTAACAAAAATCACCTGAAAAATCAAGGGCAGCAGAAAGACCTTAGCTTAGCTACATTTGCTTTTATATCTGATGCAGTCACCATTTATAAACCTCACATGGAAGATCCATGTCTGGCAGCTTGTGTGCACCATCAAGCTGTTCTGCATCAGTAAAATGACGTCACCATCCTGCAGCGAATGCAGCGCAGTACTAACGTATCAGCAGTTATCCTCACATAGGGCAGGGAACCAATTGTGCAAATTTTTTAGCTGATACTGCTGCAGCCATCTGTCAGTGAAGGAATTATAAATATATGCCTGGCATAGGATTCAAGGTGGCCTGTCTGGAAGGGGATGCAATAGCCAGAGGCTACTGTAAGCACCACTGCTTAGTAGCAGCAGAAGAAGCCTACAAACATAATACCAGGAGTAATATCCCATGTTATTCTAAAAAGTACTTTCTCCTTTTGCTTAGAGGAGAGTGACTGTCAGAATATCCTTGATTTTCCTCTAGACGTTCCTGCTGCATGAAGACAGGGAGGAAAATACTGGTTTTTCTTTACATAAGCTGCCAAACCATCTATATACTCTCTGCTGCCACCTTTTCTGTTGCTCTCCACCTCACAGCTCCCTAATGACTCAAGATTTATAATAATAGCAGGCAGAGTTATTGGAAGTCCCAACACAGCCTTGTCTGTCCTGCCTCTACAAGCAAAGATTTGCAGAAGGGAAGAACATTCATCTTTCCACTGCAGGAAAGACAGTTAAATTGTTTGATGAGAAGGAAAAGGGATGACACTGATCAGAGAAAGCACGCCTTTGTGTTTCTACTTCACCATTGGTAAGCTTACACCTTTTTCTTCAAAGAGAAGCTGTGTTATTATAAGCTGAATATTGTAATAAGGATTAATGAGGTCTCACAGTGGCCTCTCAAAGGCACCTCCAGGCAGCTCAAGAATGACACAGAAATGAAGTAGTACTTCCCCAGAGGTTGTGATGGACTTCAGAATACAAATACATTTAATCACTGGAGAAAATAAAGACTTTCTGCAGGGGTCTTCTGAGCACTGCATCTGAGTATATGGCAGTCATAGCAATACATGAATAATGGCAGAATTAACAACTGTTATCAACATCTGCAGTCTGTCAAATTAGCAAATGGTTACGTAGGCTTATTTCTCAAGCAGAGCTTATTTTTTTCTGTTTCTCTGCACACAGCACCTACTGCCACTAGTCATTGTCCACTTTTCCCTCAGCTATGCTTAAACATACTCCAGATTGTAAATAGTGAGCTTCCAGTGACCAGGAACTTTCAAATTTGAACACAGCAAGGAGCCTTAGTTCCAACAATCCTCCAAATCTTCTTGCTACCACCACCTATTGATGCCACTCAGTAGTACACTATTGTTAACATAGTGAATGGATACCATAATGGGAGCTGAATCCCCTGTTAGGATTTTTAGACTTTCTGGTAATATTACTATGTAAAAATTGATGAACCAGACTTGAGGAAATACACACCAGCTGCAGTAGTGCTGGACTGTGTAACATACCTATTATTGATAGGCACTGTGCTGTCATTAATGAAAAGAGCAAAGTCTCTGCTGATTTAGGAGCTGTAGGATCAAAGGTAAGCCCCAAAAGCAATCCTAATGGCAAACACTGCATCCTCTCCCACTGATCACGAGGTTTCACTTATACATGTGTACAAAGAGAATTTTGGTTTCACATGTATGTGAATAGCAAGGAGAGTTTTAAGTCAAATTGCTACATGAAAGTGTTGCTTATTTTTACGAAAATAAACCACAAGGCATCCTACAACCATAGGCATTATAAGAGCTAGTACCTCATACCCACTTTCTGTATCTCATGTGTCTTTCCATTGCAAAATTCATTCAGGAATCTCATCATGCAAGAGTCTCCCATTCCTCAGCTCTCCCATAGGAGTCCAAATTCCTTCCTACTACAACCCAACCAGATATTCCTGCCACCTCTTCATAACTCCCATCAGTTTTAGATTTGTAATGACAACAGATGCAAATTGGCTCACTGATTACTGTCAAGCAAAACACACAAGGGCATTGCATTCTCTGACTTTCCCCTTCAAGATACTAATGAGGTCTCTGTGTCCTCTACCATTTCACAAATCTTGCCAAAACTTAGCTCCTGACTACACTGTTAGCAAACTCTACTGAAATCAGCTGGTGGAACAAAACAAATGTTGGAAGATGAAAGCTAAATAAATGGGCAAACAGACTGAAAAAGTGTCAGTGTGAATTTCTTATCCTCTCGGCAGCAGTTTAAGAACAATGATCAGACAGGTAAAAGAATATTTGATATCCACGTCCCTTAATCTAGCCTTTCATTAATTAAAGGATGAGGAAGATGGAAGAAATACCTTAACGTTCTCCTCTGTTATGTACTTCTCAGCTTTGTCCACAGCGTTCTGGCGGATCCGATGAAGAAATGCCTGCAGAGAAAAAAAATGTTCAAATGTCTTTATAAAGTTTGATTTCACTTTTTTGTATCCCCTTGCTTTCCAACAACACAGTGTGCCTGATTATCTTTAAGACTGAAAGAATATAACCATATACCAATCACTCAGTTCTTAGACTCAGAGCTGCCTTCAAGATGGCAGAAACGGCATTTCCTAAAACACTGTTGGGTTTTGCCTGGCAATAAATGTCTTCCTTCTGCTGAAATTTTTAGACTTAATTATCTGTTGCTACCAGTACACCACAGCAAGGCTCTGATTGTTCTTTTTTTTCTTTGGAAGCTTCCCCTCTTTCTGAGATGCAGCTGTTTTGACTTTGAGAGGCAGAGTGCCTGCTGCACATCAAGACAGAAGGCAGTGAAACAGACTGCAAATAATTTAAAAACAAGAACAACAACCCAAAAAAGCAACAAAAGGACATTCCTGGTGCTGAAGCTGATACATGTCAGAGCTACAGATTAAAATTATGGACAATTTCAACAGACTCAGTACTTAAGGAAGGGAAATGAAATTCTCCAGACAATGCATGGGACACGTTCTCCTGTTTGCTGTACTTTATCTGCTTAAAAACAGGTGAAATAATGCTGGAACTCTTCATCTAGGTCAGGTTTCCCCTTTCCTCAGCAACCACGGGCTAAAAGGCTTTTCTGACATGAAAGCAGGGGATTTTGCCTTCCACAGAAGTCAGCAAAGAGAGATGCAAATACCTGCAGGTGATAATGAAAGGAAACCACTGAAGACAGAATCTGCTCCAACAAACAACACCAACCCTACACAGAAGGGGAGAGGCTTTCCTCAGTCCTTCTTAGTGGTTTTTATGTTGCCTCACACACAGAGGTAAGCCCTGGGGAGCACCAATAACAAAGAGGGAAGGAACTTTTCTTAGCCACCTGAGACACAGGGGAAATGGGTCCATTCTCTGTGTTTATAGTAAAAAGTAACTTTGTTTCAGTTTGATAATAGAAGTCTTTTTAAAAAGTTGAACCACTCCCGATCAGTGCCCACCTCAGCTGATGCACGTAACTTCTCTTTAAAGAAAAAAGGCAGCTTTTTTTTCATTCCACCTGCTCAGTCTTTATGGGACATACATCAATAAAAATAAAAAAAGAAAGAAATTGATATAAGAGGCACACAGACTCTGCATTTGTTTTGAACCCTAGGTTCTCAATCTGCTTCTTGTGAACAGATGTCAAGGACCACAAGAACATTCCTTCTCTTGTATCACTAAGCAGGAAGGGGATCTGCAGCTAGACTGCAGTTAGATATGGAGAGTATGGAGGAGGCTGCTTGGATTGAGACATGTGAAGAACAGATTCCTGCACTGAAGGCACAGGACACGTGTCTCAGTGGCAGAACAGCCATTTTACGAAAAGCAGCCCATCCACCTTGCCCAGGATCTTGGCAGAAGTCAGGGACCTGTCTGAGATGAAGTATTCGGCATAATGACTAATGGCAGGAGGACTGACAGGAGGAGCTGCCCTCCCACTTCACTGCTGGGTGTGATATCCAGGCACTAATAACCAGACATCTGACTTATACAAGGTAGCGTGTCATATTGGAGACGTTTATCCACAAAAGATAAGCCAGTCAGAGACCGTTCCTTGCTTTAATCTTGTCTGTTTGGAGACAACAAATCCAATTGGAATGACTAACTAATCTACCCAATTAGTAGCTCCGCTGGTGACTTATATTTACCTGCATATTAGTCTCGGTGTGTTCAGTCTAATAATAGAAATTTGCTAAACAGAAGTGCAAATCACATTAGCTGTTTCAGGCCAGTCAATATAAGAAGCTGAGTTTGTGTTAATCTAAAAACCAGCCTTTCTGTAATGCTTGTCTGAAAAGATCATTTACTGGAGCATGAGAAATGGAGAAAACAAGAGGGGGGAAGAAAAGAGAAAAAGGCACAGAAGCAGGGAGAGAATAGTAAGGATGAAATACATAACAGGAAAAGGGACCAGCAACTCTACAGATAGCTGGTCACACCTCCTGCAGCCTCTGGTTTGTGCACAAGCAGCAGTCTCTCCACTAATAAAGGACAGCTCCAAGTGAGGTTGGTCCTGGCAACTTAGCAGTGTGCTTTCCAAAACACAGGTCCTAAAGCTCTGAACTTAGCGGATGCAGAACTGTTTGTTCCCCAGTGTTCAATACCTTTTCATCTGCAAACACAATCTTTTGCAAAACAGTCTTTCATATTAAAAGCATGATAAATACAGCCCATCAAACAGCAGCCCATAGAGCCAGTGTTGCATACCCTGTTCACATGACAACACTGCTTTTCTTCCAAACTGCTTCTAGCTCAGAAAAAGCAGCCCTTTTCCCAGAGACATTGTTCAGACATTTAGGTCACTGTTTTCCAAACCAGGTTATTTTTATGCTACCAGCTTTACTATGCTCCAAGCTCATCTGTACCAGTGCCACCTCTTTGTTCACCCGGTGACACAGGCTCTAAGCCCCACCACACAAGTAGTAGGCAACCCCTCAAGAAACAGCCACAGGGAGCAGTGATCGTCCACCAAACCAATTGATTCATCTGCAAAAATCGGACTGATATTTGGGGCAAGGCACAACAAAGGTGGGGAAAGTAGAGAAAGAGTGAGAGAAGCATGTTGTAAACATGCCATGTACGTATCTTATTTATATTCCAGAACGTACTGTGTCGTTGAAGAGTGAATAGCTGAAGGAGTAAGAGCTTTTCTGGACATCTGAATTGTCACAGAGGCAAACGCCATTTGTTCCATCTCCTCTAACCTCTTCACATTCTGGACAACTCATACATGAATGCAACAGAGTCAGCCCTAGACCTTTGCCACAAGGAACTTTCAGTATAATTCTCCCCTAATCTGTAACACCTTTGATCTCTGCAAAAGTGGACATGGTAACCTCAGTGGATATGTGGAAGCACAGCGGGCAGCTTTCTTAGGAATGGTTGTCACAGCCCTCCAATAGTTCCTAGGATACAGCAAGATGACCAGGAGCATCTTTCCTGTGCAATTCATAGAACTCTGTCATGCTGTTAGTTTCCTACATGTACAAAGTAGCATGGATCCTGCAAAGGACAGCAACTAATGATACACTTTATGCCAAAACTCACATATCAGATGGTTACAACCTTACTGAGGAGCTGGAGAGAAATTAATAAATAACAAAAGCAGACTGCTCCCTTTGTATGCTGGTCATGATTGATATAAGGTGAGCATTTCACTGATGAAAGGATGGCAGATAAAAATTTGACATCTTTCTTATGGTCACAGTTGCTGATTTTGCTCTCTTGCCATTTTTAGTGCTTTGCTGTGCTCCCACTGGGCCAGCCCCAGGTCTCTGAGCAACCCAAGCTGCAAGGCAAACTGCTGCTTCCACATCAGTAAAGGGAGGAGGACTGGTAGAGCCAATGGGTCCAAAGCAAAAACAGGTCACTGCATAATGTAGGGTAAAAATGGGAAAACAGACTGCTAGATTTTTGTTATCCTGACAAAACCCTGTGAAGGTCTCACCTTCTATGTGCGCATGCTAATCATTAGGAAAACAGCCTACAGGGGATTTCTTTTTGTTTCAAATTCTGTTGCTGCATCAACATAACATTTATTTGTGCACTGTGACTTGTCGCCCTAGAGATCTGCTGCTTCCAGACCCAGCAGGCCATGGCTGAGGGCACTTCATGTCATGCAGAAACACAGCTTCCAGTTTTGTCTTACAGTATACAAATGCCTTGCAGGACTCAAGCAAACCTATAACAAATTGGAATGAGCACAGACAAAGACTTCCTTTCTGCACTGTATCATGTTGAGTAAGTTCATAATGGCTGGAGAAACAGCCATCTCCTTCCAACAAAGACCAAGACAAACACACTACAAATCCAAAAAGCAATTTAGGTACAAAATTTCATTTTACCAAACGAGTACCTTTAATGTCCCCAAAATGTGTTGTTCTGCAGTTCATGGCTCTTAAAATCCATAGTTGTAGTGAAATCTCACTGCTTGGAATGTCTTTGCTGCATCTCTGAACCATGAAAACAAGAAGCACAATTTAAGGGAAGAGACTGCTAATTGTGAATTGCTCTCACACAAAGCACACTTTATCAGCTGGGATTTCTCTTAGATGCTTTTCAAACAGCTTTTGTTGAAGGTGGACTCCTAGTACTAACATAACACATGGCTAATCCTGGGCATGAGGCAATGAGAGTTTGCCGAACCCCTTCCTAAGGTTCGTGTTTAATAGACACTTCCTCAAATGTTCAGAAATACTAAGAGATTTCTCATTAAATAGCAAGGCAGGCAAACTGTGCATAGCCCAAAGGGAAATGAAAGGGAGAACAGAAATAAGCAATGCGGAGGCAACTGAATACCGTATCTATAAGGAGCAAGAGCTGAAAGCACAGTCCTGTGAAATCTGTTTGCTGAACAGGTGACTGCAATTTCACATTGCCCTTGGGAGACAAGCGATGGACAATTTTGTAACAGTCAGAAGGGAATAACATAGGGCTCCATATGTCCCTTGTATATTCAGCGTTAAAACAACCAAATTGCCTTGCATTTGTGCCACAGCTGCTCAAAACTCCTTGCAAATGCTGATATTTTGATTCCAAGAAAACAAGATCACAGTAGAAAAACTGAGGAGGTGAGGTAAGCAATGAATGTCCCCATTTGATCACTGTTAGCATCTTCATCATGCAACCACAGTGTAGCACATATACCTTAATCCACCTCTGAAAATACAAAGTAAAATCTGCTAGAAAGACTCAAAGAGGAACTTGAAAGTGTAATTCTTTTTTAAAAAATTACCTGAATAAATAAGTGGGCTGTTAGATACGTTTTGACACCACTGCAGCACCACCTATATACCAAAAAATTCTTTTGTCATTAGCAAAGCCACGTGACAGTCTTGCAGGAACACAGCTCTACTGAAATAGCCCAGCGATGCAAAGTGAGTATTTGCTGAAGTTTGTATTCTAAGAGCAGGTGCATCCTTGCTCATGC